AGTTTTAACATGATATCTTTCTAAATATATTACATGTTTTTTTATTTAACCATTTTTCCTGCCCAAACATTTTTCCCCAAAAAAGAAGGTTCGTTGTACTTTTTTAAAAAAAGGTTTCTTTGTTCCTTCTTTGTTCCTAGTTTTCAGTCTAGTAACTTCGTTAAATTCTTTTAAACCGTCCGAAGTCGAAAGAAACCATTATGTTTTCAATAAAGGCCCTCAGTTTAGGAAGCTGATTTTCGGTTGTTTTCATGATAAATTCAAGTTCAAAATATACGTACTTGCATAACTTTATTTCAGAAGTCTGAGATTACTAAAAGAATTACCTCATGGTCTTGGAGTTGTTGGTATTGCAAGACAACAGACTGTCGGAAAAGGTTTGTAATATGTTTTTTGATATTTTCTTTTTAGTACCATTGCAACATCTGATTAGTTTTCTTTGTCTTACATTTTTTTGTATTTCCCAAAAACTATCCACCAATTATTGCTGTTCTTTGAGAAATAAATGTTTAAGTATACCGGGAATGATGTTTTTCTGTAGGTCGTGGAGGAAATGCTTGGCTATCTCCGGATGGTTGTCTTTCATTTTCATTTCCTTTGGAAATTGAACTTAATTCTAATCTTGGTCAACGTCTTCCATTTGTACAACATATCGCAGCCCTAGCCATTGTTGATGCTGTGAGGGACATATCTGGATATCAGGTGATTTATTTTTGCGTTTTTCATGTGATATGTTTGAACATAATGCATGGAATAAAAGGATCTGTGAGAAATAATGGAGGATTTAAATTAAGAACCGACGTTAAATCTTTCCTAAAGAAGACTGGTGTCTTCTGTAGTAAATGCGAATTAAAGTTTCAACATCAGAACATTTCTGATGAAGACATGAAACATGAGTATTTAAAGATGTAGATCGTCCAGGTTAGTATAGTCCTGAGAAGGACTGTTTTTGTTGTTGTTGACTGACGTTTCGACAACCTTAGAGGTAGTCATCTTCAGAGTCAAAATGGCTACCGCTAAGGCTGTCGAAACGTCAGTCAACAACAACAAAAACAGTCCTTCTCAATACTATACCAACCAGGACAATCTCCATCTACAAACATGTAAGGATACTCCCGGGTTGAAACCATTTACTTTAGTATTTAAAGAGTCGAGTTTCAACAACAAAATACTTTTGACGAAGTTACTAGACTGAAAAGTACTAAAGTTTTAGTGTCAAATCATTCTTGACAAAGAGGTTAGACTGGAATATTCAAATTCAGGGAATGAAGTTTGATGAAGGAAGATTTATGACTGAAGTATAGCACGTAACGCAAATTTATGAAATTCGCTCATAAGCAACCAAAGACAGTATCATAATTTCAGTCATATTCTTAGGATTTAGATTTCCGAATCAAATGGCCCAATGACATCTATTTTGGAAATAAGACAAAAATTGGTGGTGTTCTGGTCAACTCTATTATTCAAGGAAGATGTCTTTGGGCTGTTATAGGTATTTGAACTTTTTACTTGTCTTTTTTTGTGTCCCATGTTAAAGTGTTTATATGACACACAATATATTCTTGTCGCAAATTAATGAAAATTATTTTCTTAAATGTGACTTTAAAAGGTTTTGTCTCTCATTCCGCTCGTTTAACGCGTGTTTATTTTATGTGATGTTCAAAATGAATTACATTTTGCAACTCTTTTGTCTCATCAGCAGTTTCTAAACTGAGAGTGAACATAGAATTTATAGCATAACATCCATTTCATAGAGTTATGACTGCAGGCTAATCGTGGAAGAAAATTATAACATTTCAGCGTTATCAAAAATGTGATTTTTCATAATCGCTGCTCGGACGTTTTTATCCAATTCTTTCCAAGACTTGTAAAAACATGTTCTCATACTAAATCCTTTCCATACTTAGCGTAAATGGTCTAAACACCTACAGTTTTAAACATGAGATCATTTGCAATATTTAGAAATCTATTATTTATACAGTGACAGAGTAAACACCAAACAAAATGACTTTGCAGACCAAACTTGTTGGCTGGCTATGTAACAGATGCCTGCATTCTCCCACAATTTTTGTCTTTTCGAACTTTTCAATTTTAGGGATTGGAATAAATGTTGACAACCATCAGCCAACAACTTGTATTAACGAAATCATCGAGCAACACAAGTTATCGAAAAAAATCAGCAAAGAAGAACTTCTTGCTAGAATTCTTAACAAAATGGAAGAACTTGTCGAAGACTTTCAGCTCAATGGACCCGAAATGTTTCTTCAACAATACTACTCACGCTGGCTACACAGGTCAGTTTATGATTTTCTACGACGATAAAAAACAGCTGAGCTTTGTAGAGCATGAAAAAATTCTTCCGTCGAGCTAAGCTACAAGAAAAACTGCGGTTTCTGACTAAGCCGATTCTTGAATTTTTTATGACCCCTCAGCATCGAAAACTGTGGCGTAGCAAGCCGAACCTTTTACTCCAGATATGGAAAAATTGTTAGGTAGTTTCACTGATTATATGAACAACTGAAGAAATGATTAATGATAAGGTGTAATAATTTGCAAAGTGCGATCACATCTGCTGGCTGGCTACGCTACTGATTGATTTAGAAATTAGATTTAGTAAAGACAATCGCTTCGTCGCTTTGGTCTTTGAAACTTGAAAAATTGATATCAACCTGTAGGGTATTTAGCTCTCGTAATCATCAATGAGAGTGTTCATCACAAAGAACAAAAGCAACGAGTTTGTGAATACGTAAATAATTTTACTTTTTCATCCCACTTTAGTGAGTCCAAAGTAAGACTGGATAATGAAGATGGTGAAATAGTTACAATCAAAGGTTTAGATGACATGGGTTTTCTCTGTGTAGTTAATGACTTGAATGAAGTTAAAACACTTCAACCTGATGGTAATAGTTTTGATATGATGAAAAACTTAATAACAGTTAAAACAAGAAAATAATTCAAATTATTCAAATAAGGTGTTTAACCAGTATCATTGTTGGTGATGACAGGGGGGAGTGACTTGAAGGTGAGTGGCAGGGGGGCTGCTATTTTCTTATACTCAAATTCACCCACCACAGAAACTAACTTCAAAGTTTCAATGCATGCTACTTTGGAGGTGAAAAGTGCCAAAATTATTTTCTTATTGGCCATTCACACACCTTAACAATATGATGAAACTACCGTTAAGCAAAATAAGTTACAATACTGGTTTGAATTTAATATTATTTGCTATATAAGTTAGAAAAAGTCTATTCATGTATGATGTGCTATTAATGTTATGTGAATCTCTATTTTATCAATTAATATTTCATTTTATAGTATATCTATGTATTGAACACATTATAATTTATAAATAAAAAGGTGTATTTATTAAATAAAGGCACTATGAATACTTTCTACTGACTGTCAATAAATATCATTAACATGAGCACAAAGCTGTGTTAACTTAGCATAAACCTCTCACTAATTATAACATAAGTACTTTGTATTAGAACTTTAAAATGCTCTATTTCTACAACATGGATTTAGCCAGCACAATAATTGTGGGGGACATATATTCATTTATGAATGTTATTGTAGGCAAAAATGGATTTCAAAGGAACATAATATGTAAGTGTATGCATATTGACCCTCCCCAACTATTGAGCTCCTACGTCCCTGCTCTATATTCTATAAAAAATGCAAATTTTTTGACTTGCAAGTACACCATCATTCTCAAATGGACTGGTGATCAAACAACAAGATTTAGTCTTTCCCCATGTTGTACTGGTACATTAAAAGCTGGAACGAGGAACTGCCACCAACTTTCACGTGAATGCCAGAACATGACTTGAAATCGACTTTTCTTGCTTTTAAAAATTCTCTTAAAGATAAATTGTAGGAAATCTGTGAGATTTCGAGATCTCTGCATTTTGGTGAGAAGTTCAACAGTTGAGCAATTGGTTGCCAGAAGCAAAGACTGTAATAAGAACATTGAACCACAAAACATTGCCATGAATACTACAGGAATAAACAAGATGGCAAAGTCACCAAGCTTTTTGCAAACACCATTATGATACCATGACAGTGTGTCCAAGCGATCTCTTGTAGGTACCATGCATTGGTAAAATGGTTCATATGTCATGTACATTGCAAATAGTAAACCAACGTTACTATAACAAATAAATAGGAAAAAATATGAATAATTTTTGAGGCCAACACAGTTGCTTGTAAATGGACAGTGATGACACATCATGGTAACGCATGTTCCGCACGTGCTTCATTGGTGGGTGTCAATTGATTTCATTCGATCGCATTTACATTTTACAACAAAGGACGCTTGCTTCGTCCATTTAGAAACCGTTTTCCTCCATTTCGGACGCCGTTAACGGATATCCAGGAGACTTAAGCATCGCCGCGAAATAATTGAACGCGACATTTAACCAGAGGTAGCAAGCTGAAGCGATTAAAATAATCCTCTCTCTAGACGTGTACGGTTTGTCAACTTTTACTGGCAGAAATATTAGGAAAAATAGCCCAGTAGTTGATAGGACCATTAGGATAATGGGACTGACAAGAATGAATCGGATGGTTTGTCGAAATGCTTTGTACTTTGCTAGACCTGGAAATAGCTTTCTGGATTGTGCTGATAATAAATGAAAATTGAATTATACCCACTCCGCCAGCTAACAACATCACAATTGCCATTTTTTGACAGAAGTTCAGCTTTCTACTCGATCAATCAATATCGATGTGTAGTAAACAAAAAGATAGTCCAGCTATGTGTAAACAGTTCAGTGATTGATATTGTGTTTTAATATGACAAACACTTTGTGTCTTCAGTGAAAACACAAATTTTCTTCTGCTTGTCAGTAAGATGCAACCAAATATTTCACATAACTTACTTAAATAATTCATTGGTCTTGACAAGTCAGTAGAGAGGGAGCTCCTTTTATAAAATCAAGAACTTGAGTGACCTGGACACCTGTGACGTAGGCCCGTAAGCCTGGAACCCATGTCTTGAAACTACGACTAAACAACGATCATAGGAAAACAATGTTTGATAATTTAAGCGATTTTCTCAATCAATGAAGACAAGGATTAACTTTCTATTGTTTGCACATCTTAGATGTCAACTCGTCTTATAAATGATGATTTTTTGTTTCAAGTTTGAACAAAGCGAAGCTTGTTTTTTTTGCGAAGCTTGCCATCACATTGCACCATTTGGCTGAAGGAGCGTCTCATAACGGCATAGCTGCGCACTATCGACTGGGTCGTTCAACAGTATCAGAGATTATTTACAGCACGTGTGATGCTCTTTGGAAAAAAATGCAGCCTGAATATATGACCATGCCATGTTGTCCAGAAGCATGGAAAAAGATATCTGATGGGTCAGTTTCTAATTTAGATAGCTGAGTACATATTGATTGCAATTGTGCAATAGAACATTAATATTATAGAACTATTTGCTAGTCAATAATAGCTGTATATTTCATTTATGCAATGTTTATCAGATTTGAAAAATGGAATTTCCCCCATTGTCTTGGGAGCATCGATGGAAAGCACATTTTGATCCATGGTGGATCAGAGTATTTCAACTACAAACAGCGGGAGTCCATTGTACTTATGGCTGTAGTTGATGCATCATATAAATTTATTACCATCGATGTTGGAAAATCTGGTAGCAACAGTGATGGTGGCATTTGGGAGTCATCAGGTTTTGGAAGAGCTTTGGAGAACGGTTAGTACTTGGTTTGTCTACTTAGAGCAATTTTGCTTTTTATTATATAACTTTTTACTTGTCACAGGACGTGTAAACCTACCATTTCCAGCACCTTTGTCAAGAATTGAATCAGGTGAAGCATTGCCCTACATGTTTGTAGGAGATGAGGCATTCCCATTGCGCCCATACCTGATGCGTCCTTTTCCTGGCCGGTCACTGGACAATGATTCACGCCAGATATTTAATTATCGTTTGTCACGTGCTAGGAGAGTGGTAGAGAATGCATTTGGTAAGTTTTAATCATTTTGTGAATTGTTTTATTTAATATTAAACTTATTATGAATGACACATGTTTGTTTCCTTGTAGGTATCATGTCTCACAGATGGAGAATATTATTCAAACCCATCATTGCAGAACCATCAAAAGCTATTTCCTTAGTTAAAGCCATCTGTGTTCTACACAACTTCCTGCGTGTTAAGAATGATCTCAACTATACTCCTCCAGGGTTTTTAGATTCTGTTAATGAAGCTGGCAACATAACAGAGGGTTTCTGGAGGACAAATGCACCTAATCAAACCTCTACCACTGGCTACAACAGTCGCAGTGCTACTCAACAAGCCAGTCAAATTAGAGAAAAACTTTGCACATATTTTATAAGTTCTGAAGGTTCTGTGGGATGGCAGTGGAAGCATATAAATCGTCGATAGTGGATATTATCTTTTGTAGGATTTTGTTTTAATACATATGGTCATTTGTTTTTGAAGCAGGAATAACTTTATATATGTTGTAAAGATATACAATAAGTATAATAATAGGAAAATAAACTGTTAGTAAAACATTAAAATAGTTGTGTGCTTAATGATGACATAAGATATTAAAAAAGAAAAACTACAGATACCAAATTTTTTTTTAAATAATTAACCTAGGTTGATGTCAGTAAGTGCATTATCTGGTGCAACAGACTGGATAGTCTGATCAGTAGTATTAGTAACAGTTGTGGGTTGGCTATAGGTAAAATTGGGACCGTGTGTTTGTGAAGGTGCAAATTGAATTTGAAATAAAATATTTTCAATTTCTTTTCGTGCCACAGCTTGTTGACATTCGCTCATTTTCCGCATTTTACCAGCTATTGACATGGCAAAATAGTGTAAGTCATCATTAGGATCCATCTGTGACATGCTAGAAAGTTCAGAGTTAACAGATGCCAACTCTTTAAGCAGCAATGCATTTTCTCTCTCAGCATTACTGCGTTTTCTTTTGCTTGATCTCTTTGGTGTGAAGGTGGAATTACAGGTGGAATTACAAGCAGAGACACTGGATGTTTCTTCCTGGTCCTCCATATCATCCGTTTCAGCAATATATTGTGAACTTGTTTGATCACTTTCATGGCTGCATGGTGATGAAACTCGAGGCTCAATTTCAGGTAAATTGGAAAATGAACTGCTCCTGAGAACGCAAATTTACCCGTGAAATAAATAAATATTTTATGGCGACGAAAGAAATTATGGAAGGCAAAAGAGAATATGTATCTGACTTACGTATTTTGTTTTGTGACATCATGTAACCATTGGAAACACTTCCACCATTTCCACACTGGCTCCTCCACTGCTGGAGCACCACTTGCAAGCTTTGCCTCATATGACCGTCTTTGCTGGTGAAACGTATCACGAAGGTTAGCCCACTTTTTCTTCACATCTTCATCTTTTAAAAAGATGGAAAACTAAACAAACATTCGACATAATACTGCGAGTATAATTCTATTAATCATTCGAATCCCGTTGAGTCATCTGAATTTTTCAGGTTCATGAGACAATTGCTTAAATTGCCCAGCAAAGTGCGAAGATCATATCTTCATTTAATTTCAAACACCGCACTGCATATAACATTCAATCATAACAAAATATTTAAAACTTTACCTGAATGATCAATATTGGTTGCAACTTTCATTTCCCGAGCAACATCCTTCCAATTATTTTTCTTTATATTCCGTGTGTCTTTATAGTCAGGATGAAATTTGTCCCACAAACATCGCCTCTCTCTCACTAGCTCAATTAATATTTCTTGCCAATCCGCCATTTTGCCACAGCACAGTGAAAGCAAACATTAGTCATGTGATTTTTTTGTCCAATCAGAGTAGATATGCAACAGATTACTCGTCACTCGTTGACGATTTCGGTGTGCATGCTCAACGGCGACGAATTCGGCCATATCGTCATATTTTCTCGTTGACGAGCGACTCGTCACGAAGTTCGTTGCATTTCGACGATAGTGTGGCCCACGCTTAAAACTGCCACACATTTTGTCTGAAATGTCAAAAAAGCCAAAAAAATTATCATCTTTTGAAGTCAATGTGAATATTTCACCTCCGAAAAAGCCATAGACGGCTGAAATAAGTAATTTTATCTTAAACTGTACCGAAAAAAGTGCTGAACCAATAACAAAGTTGAGCGAAACATCCATAAAGTCAGTGTACAACGCGGCGAAAATTCGTAATGACCAAAAAGTTATTTCGATCATCGACTCCTTTCGAGATGATTTGCCTTCAGCAGAAAAAGGATACCACAGAAAATGCTATCAAAGCTATACGCATGGTAAAGCCCTAAGAAAATTGAGCGTGTCAGAATCGGCTACATCAAACATCAAGGAAGCGAAGAGTCTTCGTGCTACATCGAAAAGGAAAAATCGGAAAGGTATGAAGCAAAAACTTTCAAAAAATAATGGTAATAATTTCCAGAAACATAATGTACTTCCAAGCGATAGTGAGAAAATCTTTAACGAGCTTTGCACTGTTATCGAAAACAGGGTGATCACAGGTTGCGAAGTTTTTCGGTTGTGCGATTTACTGAGAATGCATTCGGAAATCAAAATTCGTTTGTTTGGAGAAAACTACGAGATTGGTTCGCCAGCACCTCATCGACTGAAAGAAAATATTCGTAAATTTTCCGGCTCAAAAGTTGGATTCTGGTCTCCGAAGTATGGTAGCGATTATGCATATAACAACAGCATTGAAAAGGGGCAGTTGATCGAAGTAGCAGTCAGGGCAAAACTTGGTAACAGTCGATGGGAAATGACATTAGAAGAGAAAACAAAAGAAGTTGGGCGTGAAATACGTAAGGAATTGTTGGAAAGTATCAGCACATTCAGCAGTTGGCCACCATCGAAGAGTGAGCTCCTTTCAAAAGACACGAGTGTTCCATTCTTAACAACATGCCTTTTGGAGGAAATACTTAGGAAAAAGCATAAAAAGTCTGCAAAAGTTTCGCGTTTGATTTCTTCTATTGGCCAAGATTTGATATACCACGCTAATAACGGGACCAAGAAAACATCAAAACATATCTGTTTTCCTTTTACAATTAAAAGGAAAACCGGTTCCAAGGATGTCATAAATTGGATAAACAAGTTTGGTCACGGAGTATCATACGACGATGTCCTGATGATCGAGACAAATTTAGCGATGGAACATGCCAAGAATCAGATCCACAGATCCTTTACTCCATCTATAATACAACCATTTCGATTTGTAACGTTTGTGTGGGATAACAACGACATTAATCCCAAGAGTCTCAAAGGACTTAGCTTGCACTGCACTAATGGTATTGTGATACAATCCTCTAACGTTTTCTTTAATACGCCCGAGCCATCTTTTACAACTGTGTCATTAGTCTCAAAGACAACTACCAAACGTAAGAACTTTCATGCGCTACCTAACGAGATACCATCTTATGTAAAGGTAAAGCGAAAGAATACAGAGGAAAGTATTACAGTTAATCTTGATTTATACCAAGAGGAAGTCCAAAGCTCGCACGTGATTGATACTATATGGGTCATTGCTTGAAGTCAAGCAAGTAAGAAGAATTTCGAACAGAAAACACCTAATTGGACAGGATTTAACTTTATGGTGTGTGAGAATGACAGCAATAATTATGACAAAATTGGATACCTGCCATCTATCAAACAATCTCCGACTTCTCATGATACTGTTTTAGAGCTGCTAACTCAATCGAAACTTAAAGCACAAAAACTTGGTTTAAATGAAACGGATGTCGTTCTCGACATGGCGATCTACTCTAAAGCAGTTGAAATCATGATGAATCCTAAACATATTGAAACCTGTTACATGCCTTAAACCCATGTCTTGAAACTACGCCTGAACATCGATCATAGGAAAGCTATGGATATGCATACTGGATAGTGACAGTAGCGATGATTTGAACGTGCGCTCCGTTAAAAGCGAGAAAAATTAAAAAAATTTGCCTAATGAAGGAAACTGCCGTAAAGATAAACATGTCGATGGTGTTAAGACGGTGAGGTCGAAAATGGGTAAACTCAGAAAGATGTTTGATGAGGATAGGAGATTGAAAAGCAGAGGAAAAAATGGTAAAACTTTTAAATCATTGCTTATGAAGTCTAGACTAAACAATGCTATTGGTATGGGCATAATTTATCATTATGTGTTTTATGTGTGTTGGACTAACTGCAAATTTTATTTTCTTAATACCATTTCATAATAGCAGCATTTGTATTTGTGGCTACCTAACTCAATGAGTAATGAGAATTGTTATACCGGTATTGGCTTATTACGTATTTATTAATGTTAAAGCTCCTTTTATTTGTTTGTGTTTTTGAATAATTTTAACTTTCATGATTTTATTATAAGGTGATTTTTCTATTTCTTGTGTGCACTGTTGAATTATAAATTTGAGTTTTGCACCAGCACATCAATAAGTTCACTGCTTGAATAGAATATCTTGTTAAGAAGAACATTTAAACTTTTCAGATTGGGTGAAGGGGGTTTGTAGTTGTATATGATGATAAATGTTTGAGTATTCGAAATAAAAGGCTTATGATGTGTTTGTGTATGGCTCATAACATTTATACAAAACAATAAATAATACTTTTTGTTGTTTGATTTTTATAGAATGTGGTTTTATTCTATTGGCTTGCACTTTCAACGTTCTTTGTGGAGGCATTATTCAAATTTGCAACTGTATTGCTGGATACTTTGGAGCAAGTTGCACCTATCCTCAAATTTGCCTTTCCTGAAGAATCAAAAAATTTGAAGGAGGACTGCTCATGTTTCTGGGTTTTAGATTGGCATTTCACGTTCGTATCTTGCAATTTTTTTATCACAATCTTTTCCATGGGGACAAAGATTTATTGTCTGAACCAACTTCCAAACTTCCAGAAGATGAAGCAGATGGACCAAATCAAATGGGTGAAGAAAACAGAGCAATTTTAAGCAGGTGGAGCAATTTACCACATTTTGCAAAATTTAATATGGTGGGAACGGATATGGTGGATCGTTATGTTGAAGTTCCGTAAGCCCAACCTGTATAAAAAGTAAGATTTCAGTATTCCAGTATGAATAGCAAATGTAATTGGCAAACTACTTGAGCACAAATAGCCATTGTGTTCTTAATTTGTTGTTTATATCTGGCACCGTTTAACATATATCGAAATAACTCAATTTTATGTAATTGTATTAGTTCTATGTTTGTAAATCTAGATTGTCCAAGTTGGTATAGTCCTAAGAAGGACTGTTTTTGTTGTTGTTGACTGACGTTTTGACAACCTTAGCGGTAGTCATCTTCAGTGTCAAATGAAGAGTTAGCGTCAGGTTGGCCGTATTTGTTATCTGGTTCTTACGTCATTGTATTGTGTGTACATGAAATGTGTATTGTCATTGTGAATTAGTGTGAAGTGAAATGTTTTTAGTTGTGATGTGTGATTTAGGTGTGATTTAGGTGTGATGTTTTTAGTTGTAATGTGTGGGTGTCTATTGTGTATTGTCATTGTTAATTAGTGTGAAGTGTAATGTTTTTAGTTGATTGTTTGTTTGTATTGTGAATAAGTCGTTTGTAAGGTTCCAGTAATTCCTGTGATCTGTTCAGGGGGGTTTGTTCCAAGTTGGTATACCAACTTTCTAATGTAAGCCGTTGTCTATAGTCAGTACTGTAAATAATGCATTTTGCTGAGTCCCAGTCAATTTTGTGTTTTGTGATTTGGTGATGCTTGGCAATGTGAATATTTTGTCTTGTTTCTTAGTTGCTCGTTTGTGTTCAGTAAGTCTTATGTTTAAGTTCACGCCAGTTTCCCCTATATAGGAAGCATGGCAGTCGGAGCAGTTTATTTTGTAAACTGCACATTGTCATTTGTTGGGTTGTTCTTTGTCTTTTATGTTTGTTAGTACTTGTCATAACGTTGTGATTGGTTTATGTGCGACACATACAGTATCGACCTCGAGTAACATGTATGTTGTATGGTGTAGGCGACTGCCACCCCTCCTATATTGGGGATCCTCGTCATAAATTGTGTCAACTAAGATAAGTTGCATGAAACCAGTAGCATCTAGTTTGAGTTGTACAATGTAAAATTTTAACATTCATTTCTCTAGAAGTATATAGTTATAGCAGCTAGTGAACACAATTTCAATTTTGAATAACACAACTTAGATTGTGCAAAATATGTAACAATGACTCTAAAGATGACTACCGCAAAGGTTGTCGAAAGGTCTGTCACAGTCAACATCAACAGTCCTTCTCAGGATTATAATATGCTAGACGATCTACATCTACAAACATATAATTATACTCTCGTGTTCAAACCATGCATTTTACAAAATATGTAGCTTGTGACACATAATCAAAAATAAAGCAATCAAATTAATGTGGTCAGCTGCTAGTTATGTTAATCCAGAATCAAATGGTGATTTGCAAAAAAAAACATAGTCTTATTTCAATAATTTAGTCAACCTTGCAACGACTTGGAAGTGTTGGCTGTCACATCAAAAACATCCCTACCTGTTATCATCCAGGAATCTCATGGTAAAGGCATATTGATGTTATCCACAGTAACTGAACTGATCTCTAGTATTGCACTGGATGGAAATACTGACAGCAGTATTGAAATATTAATGAAAATGCTGTTATGCAATCTTGGAATGATGTGTGAAGATGTCCCTGAGTGTTCACTTACCCCTGCAATGTTATTGGTTGATCAACAGGTAAAGGCTCAACTCCATTTTTACATCTCTTTCCCCTGGATTGAAATTACTCATGTACCAATTTCTGTTAATCAATTGGTTATATGTAAGTAGTTCATAGTTAATCTGGACAAAATAGAAAAAGTACCTTATTGGTCTTCAAGATAGTCCATAAGTCTTCTACATAGGTACGTAGGTATGGCCTTTAGAAGATCAAAATCATTACTCTGGGGGGAGGGGGGGGCTCATATTCATATATGCATGATATTCAAATTTATATATGTTGCAATGAAACACATTGTTTTCTGTGAATTATTCATATTTGAATATGAGTTACCCTTCATAATTTCGTAAAAGCACTATTGCTAATGCGCATTTAATATACACGACAAGTTTTTTTAAAATAGACATGTAGACATGTTTCGACATCTCATGATGCCATCTTCAGTATGAGTGAAATAATAAGTGATACAAGGTTTATAGAAAAGTAATATGGTACAAAAATTACTACAATAAAAGGAAATAAGATAAATTAATGGGGAGCGTCCGAGCGTATTATAAACTAAATATTGTATTGAATTTAAAAACTTGAACGTGAAGCCAAACTACAACGACTGTTAAGGAAGCTTCTAACGAAAGACTCGATTAACAACAAAGTTTATAATGGAATCTTTCCCAGAGGTTCTCAACCCTCACGCTTCTATGGCTTACCGAAACTTCACAAGAAACGAGAACCAGAACAATCGCCTCCACTATGATCGATAGTTTGATCAATTAACTCATACAACTACAATTTAGCTAAGTATCTTAGTTCTCTACTAACACCACTCATACCAGATGACCACTCCACTAAAGATTCTTTCACTTTCCTCGACGACTTTTCATCTTTCAACTCATCAACTTCTTGTCACAAATTCTTCATCTCCTACGACGTTGAAAGCCCATTTACTAACATACCACTTACAACCCCAGGTTCAGTATAAACAGGACAGACCTCACACAACTGTTTTTAATAGCAACAGCACAGACGCATTTTATTTAATGGACAATTTTATGACCAGACGGACGGTGTTGCTATGGGCTCTCTCTTAGCACCCATACTTGCTAACATTTTCATGGGCTCACATGAACGATACTGGCTAAACTACAACGACACTAAACCACTCTTTTACCGCAGATACGTTGACGACATTTTTTGTGTTTTTACTAACGAAACTGAGGCCATGATGTTTTATAATTACATTGACACACAGCACCCAAACATTACATTTTCATTTGAAACTGAACAACAATTTGAGTAAAATGCCATTTCTTGACATTTTACTTACAAAATCCCATGACAGCTGTACAACATCTACATATCACAAACCAACATACACAGGACTTCTGACGAACTATTTTCACACCGCTTTCATACAAAACCGGACTTATACGCACACTAATCAACAGAGCATACAAACTTAACAATACGAACAATGGCTTTCAACGAAACATCCCATCCACTCTTTTACGAAACTCTTTCCCAGTACACTTTATTATCAGAACCGTAAAACGATATCTCGACAACAAACAAAGCAACAACCTCAAAGTAGACACCAAAACTCCTAACACGACGATCACGACCAACAAAAATGAAAATTCCAAAATAACAACTCTTAAAAGAGGCATTTAATACATAGAAAGAAATATTTATTTAAAAGTGGAACGTTTCGTCTTGACTCTCAAGACATCATCAGACAATATTGATATCTACCAACACCTTCTTAAATGTCACTCATGTAAAACCAACTATTCACCCTCTTGTATCAAAATCATCGACACTGCCGATACCTCATTCACCCTTAAAATCAAAGAAGCACTCCAAATTAACAAAACTAACCCTGACCTTAATGTTCAAGTTTTTAAATTCAATACAATATGTAGTTTATAATACGCTCGGACGCTCCCCATTAATTTATTTTATTTCCTTTTTATTGTTGTAATTTATGTATCATATTACTTTTATATAAACCCTTTATCACTTATTATTTCACTCATACTGAAGATGGCATCATGAGATGTCGAAACATGTCTATTTCAAAACAAAGTTACCATTCAAATATCAATCTTCCATCAACCTTGGTATGTAGGTCTTCATGTAGCATTGCTTTATGCTTGGTGGAAAGAATGATTTTGATCGTATTGCTATTGAGCTCATTCTGACCTTCCTTCATTTTAACACATAGAACAAAGACCTCTTTCTGCATTGTATACAAGACCTTAGAACTGATAATTGTTTCCATGGTAACGGTATGACTGTTTTATTCACGGATGACCAAGATGCCATTGCTACTGTTGACAATTTTCCAGTTATAACAAAACCCATTCCCTGAACGTTACAGTACTGCGAAATTTTCTCAATACAAAGAATTATTGAAAACAAAACATTTGGGTCACGTGATGATCTATACTGACGTCATCACATCCACACAAACCATCGTGAATGGGTAAGGCAACAAGCTAAATTCGTGGTCTTAGTATTGCTCCAGTCTGAGTTTTCCCTTTGATACTGCAGTTAGATTGTGAGAATGTTCATATCATACATAGTTTTAACATGATATCTTTCTAAAAATATTACATGTTTTTTTATTTAACCATTTTCCCAGCAAAAAGATTTTTTCCCAGAAAAGAAACTTCGTTGTACTTATTAAAAAGGATACAATGACTTCGTTTCTTCCTTCGTGTTTGAAGATATTTTATCTCGTACAACTGTAGTGATTATTTTTTTCCTGGACAAATACCATAAAAATCTTTTTACGAGACTTTCTACAACAAGAAGAACTGTGGATGATCAAATGTACATACATACACCAATACGCATCGAAAAAGAATGGAAATTCTTTTGAACGTTTCATAAGCCAAAAGAAAGCACAATGTTTTTCACAAAGGCCCTACGTTGTCTGTTTTGGAAGCTCGTTTTCGGTTATTTTCGAAATAAATTAAGTTCAAAATATACGTACAATAACGTACTTGCATAAATTTATTTCAGAATTCTGAGATTTCTGAAAGAATCACCTGGTGGTCTTGGTGTTGTTGTTATTGCAATTCATTAGACAGTTGGAAAAGGTTGTAATATGTTTTTGATATTTTCTTTTTAGTACAATTCCAACATCTGATTAGTTTCCTTTGTCTTACATTTTTTTGTATCTCCCAAAAACCATCCACCAATTATTGCAGTTCTTTAAGGAATAAATGTTTAAGTATAGTTGGAATGATGTTTTTCTGTAGGTCGTGGAGGAAATGCTTGGCTATCTCCGGATGGTTGTGTTTCATTTTCATTTCCTTTGGAAATTGAACTTAATTCTAATCTTGGTCAACGTCTTCCATTTGTACAACATATCGCAGCCCTAGCCATTGTTGATGCTGTGAGGGACATATCTGGATATCAGGTGATTTATTTTTGCGTTTTTTATCTGTTATGTTTGAACTAAATGCATGGAAATAAGGATCTGCGAGAGGATTTGAATTAAGAACTCAACATCAATACTTTCCCTAAAGAAGACGAGTAGCGAAATACGAATTCAAGTTTCAGCATTAGATCATTCCTAATGAGGATACTAAACTGGAGTATTTAAAGAGTCGAGTTTCAACAACAAGATACTCCTGATGAAGATACTAGACTGGAGTATTAGAAGAGTCGAGCTTCAACAACAAGATACTCCTGATGAAGATACTAAACTGGAGTATTTGAAGAGTTGAGTTTCAACAACAAGATACTCCTGATGAAGATACTAAACTGGAGTATTTGAAGAGTCGAGTTTCAGCAGCAAGATACTCCTGATGAAGATACTAAACTGGAGTATTTGAAGAGTCGAGTTTCAACAACAAGATACTCCTGATGAAGATACTAGACTGGAGCATACGTATAAGGACTAAAGTTTCGGTATCAAATCATTCTCGACAAAGAGACCTGACTGGAATATTCAATTTCAGGGATTTAAGTTTGATAAAGGAAGATTTATTACTGAAATATAGGTGTACCCAGCACAAATATATGCAACCTGTCCATAACGAACTAAAGACAGCATCATACTTTCAAATATATGAAACTTGTCCATAAGGAACTAAAGACGGCATCATACTTTTAAATATATGAAACTTGTCCATAATGAACTAAAGACAGCATCATACTTTCAAATATATGAAACTTGTCCATAATGAACTAAAGACAGCATCATACTTTCAAATATATGAAACTTGTCCATAAGGAACTAACGACAGCATCATACTTTAAAATATATGAATTTTGTCCATGAGGAACTAAAGACAGCATCATACTTTCAAATATATGAAACTTGTCCATAAGGAACTAACGACAGCATCATACTTTAAAATATATGAATTTTGTCCATGAGGAACTAAAGACAGCATTATACTTTCAAATATATGAAACTTGTCCATATGGAACTAAAGACAGCATCATACTTTCAAATATATGAAACTTGTCCATAAGGAACTAAAGACAGCATCATACTTTCAAATATATGAAACTTGTCCATAAGGAACTAACGACAGCATCATACTTTCAAGTATATGAAACTTGTCCATAATGATCTAAAGACAGCATCATGCTTTCAAATATATGAAACTTGTCCATAAGGAACTAACGACAGCATCATACTTTCAAATATATGAAACTTGTCCATAATGAACTAAAGACAGCATCATACTTTCAAATATATGAGACTTGTCCATAAGGAACTAAAGACAGCATCATACTTTCAAATATATGAAATTTGTCCATAAGGAACTAAAGACAGCATTATACTTTCAAATATATGAAACTTGTCCATAAGGAACTAAAGACAGCATCATACTTTCAATCGTGTTCTTAGGATTTAAATCTCCGAATCAAATGGCCCAATGACATCTATTTTGGAAATAAGACAAAAATTGGTGGTGTTCTGGTCAACTCTATTATTCAAGGAAGATGTCTTTGGGCTGTTATAGGTATTTGAACTTTATTGTAGTTTTTTTTGTGTGTCCCATGTTAAAGTGGATATATAACACACAATATATTCTTGTCTCAAATAAAAGAAAACTCCTGTCTTAAATGTGACTTTAAAGTTTAAAAGGTTTCGTCTTTCATTCTGTACGTTTAACACATGTTGTTTTATGTCATGTTCAAAATGATTACATTTTGCAACATTTTTATGAGTTTTGTCTCATCAGCAGTTTCTAAACTGAGAGTGAGCGTAGAATTCAAAGCATGACATCGGTTTGAACAAGTTATGACTGCAGGCGAATCATGGAAGAAAATGATGATATTTCAGTGTTCTCTAAAAAAGTGTTTTGATTTTACAATGCTAGGGACGTTTTTTATTCACAGTTCTTTCCAAAACTCTTAAAAACCTTTAATGGTCTAAACAGTTGTAAATATGAGATCATTTGCATTATTTAGAAATCTATTATTTTTACATTGAGTGAACATCAAAATAATTTACTTGGCACCACAAAACTTGTTTGCTGGCTATTGAACAGTTGCCTGCACCCCCAACCATTTAATCTTTTCAAATTTTTTAATTTTATGGATTGGAATAAATGTTAACACCATCAGCCAACGACTTGTATTAACGAAATCATCGAGCAACACAAGTTATTGAAAAAAATAAGCAAAGAAGAGCTTCTTGCTAGAATTCTTAACAAAATGGAAGAACTTGTCGAAGACTTTCAGCTCAATGGACCCGAAATGTTTCTTCAAAAATACTACTCACGCTGGTTACACAGGTCAGTTTATGATTTTCTTCGACGACAAAAAACAGCTGAACATTGTAAAGAATGAAAAATTTTTTTGCCGAGCTAAGCTACAAAAATTGCGGTCTCTCACCAAAACGATTCTCCAATTTTTTATGACCCCCTCTCAGCATCAACAACAGTAGCGTAGTAAACCGAACCTTTAACTCCAGTTATGGAAAAATTGTTACGTAGTTTCACTGATTGTATGAACAACTGAAGAAATGATTAATGATAAGGTACAATAATTTACAAAGTACGACTTCACTACTGGCAGACTACGCTACTGATTGATGTAGAGAATGGGTTTAGTGAAAAGACAATCGTTTAGTCGCTTTGCTCTTTAAAATTTGAATCAATCTATCTTTAATCAGAGGGTACATCACGAAGAAGTAACGAGGTCGTGATTACGTAACTAATTTGCTTTTTCATTCCACTTTAGTGAGTCAAAAGTAAAACTGGATAATGAAGATGGTGAAATAGTTACAATCAAAGGTTTGGATGACATGGGTTTTCTCTGTGTAGTTAATGACTTGAATGAAGTTAAAACACTTCAACCTGATGGTAATAGTTTTGATATGATGAAAAACTTAATAACAGTTAAAACAAGAAAATAATTCAAATTATTCAAATAAGGTGTTTAACCAGTATAATTGTTGGTGATGACAGGGGGAGTGACTTGAAGGTGAGTGGCAGGGGGGGGTGCTATTTTCAATTTCTCAAATCTTGAAGGTGATGACAGGGGGGAGTGACATGGAGGCATTCATGGAGGTGAGTGGCAGATGGAGAATGGCAGGGGGGTGTTATATTCTTATAGTCAAATTCACACATCACACAAAGTAGTTTCAAAGTTTCAATGCATGCTACTTTGGCGGAGAAAAGTGCGAAAAATGTTTTCTTCTTGGCCATTCAAACACCTTAACAATATGAGGAAACACCCATAAGTTACAAATACAATACTGGTTTGAATTTAATATAATTTGACATAATTTATTTTACCTCTGTCTTTGTTATTGAACTAATCATTTAAATACCATTAAGTTTGATATTGTCTATACATGTATAATGATGTTTTATTAATGTTTGGTGAATCTCTATTTCATAAATTAATACTTCATTCTATAGTACATTTAATATCTACGTATTGTACACATTGAAATTACATTTTATAAATAAAAGCTTTATAAATACTTTCTACTGACTGTCAGTAAATATCAATAACATGAGCACAAAAGCTGTGTTAACTTAGCATAAACCTCACTCATTACAACATAACTACTTTGTATTACAACTTGTGAATGCTAAATTTCCACAACATGTATGTAGCGAGCTCAATAATTGTCTCGGGCCTATATTCATGTATGCATGTTATAATCTGTAGGAAACAATGCATGTCAAAGGACCATAATATGGAAGTGTATGATTATTGACCACATCCTCCAAGTATTGAGCTCTCACATCCCTGCTCTATGTTGTACTCTATTAAAAATGTGAATTAAAGTACACAATCATTCTTAAATGGACTGGTGATCAAACAACAAGATTTAGTCTTTCCTTCTGTTGTATGGGTACACTAAATGCTGGAACGAGGAACTGTCACCAATGTTTATGTGAATGCCAAAACATCACCTCAATTGACTTCTTTTGCTTTTACAAATTTGCTTAACGATGAATTGAATGATATCTGTGGGATTTTGAGATCTCTGCATTTTGGTGAGAAGTTCAATAGTTGAGCAATTGGTTGCCAGAAGCAAAGACTGTAACAGGAGCATTGAACCACAAAACATTGCCATGAATACGAAAGGAATAAACAAGATGGCAAAGTCACCAAGCTTTTTGCAAATACCATTATGGTACCATGACAGGGTGCCCAAGTGATCACTTGTAGGTACCGTGCATTGGTAAAATGGTTCATATGTCATGTACATTGCAAATAGTAAACCAATGTTACTATAACAGATAAATAGCGAAAAATATGAATAATTGTTTAGGCCAACACAGTTGCTTGTAAATGGACAGTGATGACACATCATGGTAACGCATGTTCCGCACGTGGTACAGTGGTGGGTGTCAATTGATTTCATTCGATCGCATTTACAACAAAGGACACTACCTTCGTCCATTTTGAAACCGTTTTCCTCCGTTTCAGACGCCATTAACAGATATCCAGGAGACTTCAGAATCGCCGCAAAATAATTGAACGTGGCATTTAACCAGAGATAGCAAGCTGTAGCGATTAAAATAATCCTCTCTCTAGATGTGTACGGTTTGTCAACATTATCTGACAGAAATATTAGGAAAAATAGCCCAGTAGCTGATAGGACCATTAGGATAATGGGACTGACAAGAATGAATCGGATGGTTTGTCGAAAAGCTTTGTACTTTGCTAGACCTGGAAAAGCTTTCTGGATTGTGCTGATAATAAAGGAAAATTGAATTATACCCACTCCGCCAGCTAACAACATAACAATTGCCATTTTTTGACAGAAGTTCAGCTTTCTACTTGATCAATCAATATCGATGTGTAGTAAACAAAAGGATAGTCCAGCTGTGTGTAAACAGTTCAGTGACTAATAATGTGTTTTAATATGACAAACACTTTGTGTCTTCAGTGAAAACACAAATTTTCTTCTGCTTGTCAGTAAGAAGCAACCAAATATTTCACATAACTTACTTAAATAATTCATTGGTCTTGACAAGTCAGTAGAGAGGGACCTCGTTTTATAAAATCAAGAACTTGAGTGACCTGATTTGAACGTGAGCTCCGGGAAAAGCAAGAAAAATTGTGAGGGTGTGTTTCTATGTATTTCATTCACGCATTCATGTGTCTTTGACTAATTATTGTCTTCTTTATGTTTACAAATTACAGAAATAAATGAGAATTTTTCTTCGAAAACACAATTTTAAATTCCACTGGAAGAATGTGTATCATTATACCTAGTACTACATGAAGTTGCCTCTTTTTTGGTGCAAAAACTGACAATATAACCAAAACACAACATAACATTTACTTTGTAAAAGAAATGATCGAAACTGTAAAAAAATCATGTTTCTTTTACCGTACGCAACTCATATTGTTAATAGTTTACGACTTGGCATTCTACAAGCATCAACGGCCAAAAATGTTGTGCTTAAAATGTCAACAAGACCTCCTAATGTGCTTATTTACACTGGGAAAGGCATGAACTCTTCAGCAGCGTTTCAAAATTTCAAGAATTTCTTCGGGCGATGGTTAAGTCGGGATAAATATGTTTTATATCAGCTCAAAGATGAGTCATACTTGCGAGAACCTTGGCAAGAAAACACTGAACTGTTGATAGCCGCTTCAGATTTATCTATAAACCTTGAAGAATCTCACAAAAAGTCGTTTGAAAAGTTCTTTCGCTAAGAGGGAAAGCTGTTGGTGTTTTCTAGTAACATTTCATTAAGTGATAACATCAACTTGGGCCAACTTCCTACTCTTGATGATGAAATATGTTTTACTGAGAAAATGAGCAGGAAACGATGCAGCATTGTGGCTGATGTAAATACAGGGTGCGAATTAGTTGAGAAAAAACGATGTGCAAATTTTTTCGACAAAAATTTTTCTCCAGAGGCATAATCAAATGATATTAAATTAATTATTATACTGTACTACATACTAAATTAATATTTTTAGAACGTAACATTTTTATAACATTTTATCAACGTATACATATTTACAAGTTATCATGTTATAGTACACGATTAGTCACTTTCTGACGAGTCTTGGTCCGAAAAATAAGCATGTTTGCTGCTGCTTGATGCGTCTAACGTATTGACTTTCTTCTTTCGCTTCTCTGGGTAAGCGTGGCCTCCATATCCTATCCTTCGTTTCTTTTGTTCATACCACCGCTCTATTGCGGGAGCTGGATCATAATCTTCCACTGATGGACCCTCCTCACTAATTCGTAACAGACTGTCCAATCTTTCTCTTGGCATTCTGTTACGTAGCTGTGGCTTCATTCTGGCCATTGTTGAGAACATTCGCTCAACCACAGCATTAGAGATGGGCGTGATTAATAACAGTTCCACAATGTTAAGAACGTTTGAAAACTTTTCTTTACTAACTGGTGAAGAGAGAATGGCAGCCCAAACATCTAAGTATGGTATAGCTCTGCCATACGTCTCTGAAATCAACAACTTAAGCCCACTCCATTCTGTCAGCATCGTATCGTGCCACACATCGCATCCGTTATGCTTCAAAAGCTGAATGAAGTGGTCGACAAGTAGCGTAACCGATTCGTCTCCATAGCTCACCAAATTAACTTCCTCACCTGGCCAGGACTGGGTGTCTATAATTGGACAAAGGTGTTTGTAAACTGGTGTCTCTTGAAGATCACTAAAGCGATTGCCCAAACAGAGGATAATCGCATCTATCCACTCTTGTCGTTGTCCCGCAGCTCCATTTAGTGCACGGGGATAATTTGTGAGCACAACATCTTGATACGAAATCTGGTTCTTGTCGTCGCTAGTAGGTTTGCAATCCTTCCTAAATTTATCGAAAGTAGCATTGCCAAATGTACTAGCTTGAGGCTTGACCATAGTCCAGTCAAATTCCTTGATTCTCCTTAAAGCTTTAACTGGATCATTGTCGTCAGTTTGTAGTCCAAGAGACAAAACACGCAAAGGACCAATAATGTCCACAAAGATAGAAGCATACATTGGGAAACGAGCGTCTTTCCATTTAGCTAGGAAGCCATTTATCTTCTGCTTTTGGGCATCAGGTGAAGTAGTTGCTGCCTACATAAGAAACAAAAAGTAACATATTACATGACATTAAATAATTTATTAAAAATGCTTATTACTGTTATTACAGGCAAACATTATTCTAGAAAATTTAAGGAGGCGATGCAAATTTGATGGAAAACAGCAAAAGTTGGAAAATTAGCCATTTTTACCTGCTCAAGATGCTGCATATACATGCCGTAGTTCTCCAGGAAAACCTTCGTGGCGCGCACTTTGTGATCTATCCACCTTGTCCCATTTGCTTTGATGGGCTTATAGACAGTTTCTCCATACACTTCAGCTAGTTTTTTCAGCTCTCTCAGTTTCTTGGGTGACTTCTGGTACAGAGAAAACAGTTGACGCAATATTTCATCTACTTGTGCAAAAAACGTAGCATTGAATGCGTTGGCAGCAGCTAATTCTAGACGGTGATTGAAGCAGTGGACTACAGTGAGCCAAGGAGCGACTTCTTTTAGACGAGCTGCTAAACCAGTATTTCTCCCCATATTAACACTTGCCCCATCTAGACCAGTTGCAGCTAGTTTCGATTCAAAGTTTGTAATGCCAAAACGGGCAAAAGCTTCGTTCATAGCTTCCTTCAGCCCTGCAGCATCTTCGTTTTCAACTGTTTCAACCGACATCAATTTGCAAGTACTACGACCGTTCTTATTCACATATAACACGTAAAATAATTCTTGTGATTTTACACTGGTATCGGTGCTGCCATCGCATAAAACTGACAAATATCTAGCATCCTTTAAATCTTCATTAAGATTTCCTTTCATGACCCCAGAAATGTGATCTGACAACTCAGCGGCTGATCGGTCTGTTCGATACCATTTACCTAGATCAACGCCGCACTTCTCCAGGAGCTCGCAAATGGGGATATACTTTTTGAAAGGCAACTCTTCTTTACACACATTGTAAGTGGCATTAAAGAGATATTCCATCCTTTCGCGATCAGCAACTGCCATTTTGTTGAGTCCTTGCCCAATGGGAGTTTCGTTTAAGTATTCTTCAACATATTTCTCATTCAACGTTTCTTTCAAATTTAGCTTAACTGCTATCTTATGTTGATCAGAATTCATATGATTTACCAATGTGTTTTTCTTTACAACAGCTGATCCTGTTATGAATGTGCGAGAGAAATTTTTTGCGCTTGTTATTCTGTCTTCTTTGTTTGTACAAACTTTACAGCGCAGTGAATTCACCACTTGGCCATCATTCTCGTATTCAAGCCAGTCGGCATTTAATGTTTCTATCCATTTTATTACTGTGTTAATTTTGCTAGTACAACCTTTCGACGAAGAAGCCATCATGGCAAGAAAAACAAAAGCGAGAAGAGAAACATGCACCTACTTTTGTCTTCTGATTATCTAATATGTTCTATTGATGTTTATTTATAACAAAAAATATTATTGTCATATTACAAACAATGCGTAAAAGCAAAAAGGACGGTTAATCAAGGTTGCCAGTTTGGTTTTTTTTCGAACGTTTCGCTCCCAAAAATCTTTTTGGCTTATTTTTCAAATTTGAAAATTATAAAGGTTTTTTTAGGAATCAGAAAGAAAATGTCTCCTGATTTTATCGAAAACACTCAAAATAGCTATGATGCCAAAAAAAGAAATGATGTACAAACTACAAAACAACGCAATGCAAAAATTAACATTTATATATGTATTAAATCCGTATATGGTCAGAAGAAAAATGTATGTCGACCAGTATGTCGACTGTTGACAGACTTTCCAGTCTCAAAGTGACGACGTTTTTGAATTTGATGACATTGTTTCAACATGGCCAATTACTTGGCCTAAGATTTTAAAAATTTTTTTTTCAATATATGTGATAGTAATTAATGAAAAATTTTTTTGCACATCGTTTGAAAAAGTGATGTGCAATTATTTTCATTTTAGACAAAACGATGTGCAAATTGCACATTGCACACCGTTAATTCGCACCCTGTGTAAATACCTACGTCAAAGGTAGGTGCCACAATGAACACAAGGGGGTATTTATGGCACTTGTCATACAATGCAATTGTGAAGGAAGTTGTGCTAAACATTGTGATCCTCATCATAAATTGTGTCAATTGAAATAAGTTGCATGAAACCAGTAGCATCTAGTTTAAATTGTACAATGTAATATTTTGAACATTCATTTCTCTAGAAGTATATAGTTATAGCAGCTAGTGAACACAATTTCAATTTTGAATAACACAACTTAAATTGTGCAAAATATGTATGATGACTCTAAAGATGACTACCGCTAAGGTTGTCGAAAGGTCTGTCATAGTCAACATCAACAGTCCTTCTCAGGATTGTAATATGCTAGACGATCTACATCTAAAAACATATAATTATACTCTCGGGTTCAAACCATGCATTTTACAAAATATGTAGCTTGTGACACATAATCAAAATAATGCAATCAAATTAATGTGGTCAGCTGCTAGTTATGTTAATCCAAAATCAACTTGTGATTTGCAAAAAAAATAAAGTCTTATTTCATTAATTTAGTCAAACCTTGCAAAGACTTGGAAGTGTTGGCTGTCACCTCAAAAACATCCCTACCTGTTATAATCCAGGAATCTCATGGAAAAGGCATATTGATGTTATCAACAGTAAATGAACTGATCTCTAGTATTGCACTGGCTGGAACTACAGACAACAACATTGAAGAATTAATGAAAATGCTGTTATGTAATCTTAGAATGATGTGTCAAGATTTCCCTGAGTGCTCATTTACCCCTGCCCTGTTATTGGTTGATCAAAAGGTAAAGGCTTTAGTTCATTTTTACATCTCTTTCCCCTGGATTGAAATTAGTCATGTATCAATTACTGTTAGTCAATTGGTTATATGTAAGTAGTTCATAGTTAATCTGGACAAAATTGCAAAAGTTCCTTATTGGTCTTCGATATAGTTCATAAGTCTTCTACTTAGGTACGTAGGTATGTCCTTTAAAAGGCCAAAATCTTTACTCTGGGGGAGGGGGGGGGTGCTCATATTCATATATGCATGATTTTCAAATTTATATATGTTGCAATGAAACACATTGTTTTCTGTGAGTTATTCATATTTGAAAATGAGTTACCCTTCAAATATCAATCTTCCATCAACCTTGGTATGTTGGTCTTCATGTAGCATTGCTTTATGTTTGGTGGAAAGAATGATTTTGATCGTATTGCTATTGAGCTCATTCTGACCTTCCTTCATTTTAACACAAAGAACAAGGACCTCTTTCTGTATTGTATGCAAGACCTTACAGAATATAATTGTTTCCATGGTAACGATATGACCGTTTTATTCACGGATGACCAAAATGACAATTTTCCAGTTAAAACAAAACCCATTCCCTAAACGCTACGGTACTGTCAAAATTCTCAATAGAAAGAATTATTGAAAACGAAACATTTGGGTCACGTGTTGATCTATACTGACGTCATCACATCCACACAAACCATCGTGAATGGGTAAGGTAACAAGCTAAATATGTGGTCTTAGTATTGCTCCAGTCTGAGTTTTCCCTTTGATACTGCAGTTAAACTGTGGGAATGTTCAGATCATACATAGTTTTAACATGATATCTTTCTAAAAATATTACATGTTTTTATTTAACCATTTTCCCTGCATTAAGATTTTTTTCCCCAAAAAAGGAACTTCGTTTTACTTATTAAAAATGTACAATGACTTTATTTCTTCCTTCGTGTTTTATGATATTTTAGCTATGTTCATAGCTACAGCTGTAGTGATTACTTTCTTCCTGGACAAATACCATAGAAACTTTTTTACGAGACTTTCTACAACAAGGAGAATGTTACATGATCAAATGTACAAACATACACCAAAACGCATCGAAAAAGAATGGAAATTCTTGTGAACGTTCCTGAAGCCAAAAGAAAGCATAATGTTTTTGACAAAGGCCCTATGTTTTCTGTTTAGGAAGCTCGTTTTCTGTTATTTTTGAAATAAATTAAGTTCAAAATATACGTACAATAACGTACTTGCATAAATTTATTTCAGAATTCTGATATTACTGAAAGAATTTCCTCATGGTCTTGGTGTTGTTGTTACTGCAAGACATTAGACAGTTGGAAAAGGTTTGTAATATGTTTTTTTGGTATTTTCTTTTTAGTATCATTGCAACATCCCTTTAGTTTCCTTTTTACTTACATTTTGTTGTATCTCCAAAAACCAATCCACCAGTTATTGCTTTTCTTTGAGGAATAAATGTTTAAGTATAGTGGGAATGATGTTTTTCTGTAGGTCGTGGAAGAAATGCTTGGCTATCTCCGGATGGTTGTCTTTCATTTTCATTTCCTTTGAAAATTGAGCTTAATTCTAGTCTTGGTCAACGTTTTCCATTTGTACAACATATCGCAGCCCTAGCCATTGTTGATGCTGTGAGGGACATATCTGGATATCAGGTGATTTATTTTTGTGTTTTTCATCTGTTATGTTTGAACTAAATGCATGGAAATAAGGATCTGCTAGAGGATTTAAATTAAGAACTCAACATCAAATCTTTCCTAAAGAAGACGAGTAGCTAAATATGAATTCAAGTTTCAGCATCAGATCATTCCTAATGAAGATACTAAACTGGAGTATTTGAAGAGTCGAGTTTCAACAACAAGATACTCCTGATGAAGATACTAGACTGAAGCATACGTTTAAGGACTAAAGTTTCGGTATCAAATCATTCTCGACAAAGAGACCTGACTGGAATATTCAAATTCAGGGATTTAAGTTTGACAAAAGAAGATTTATTACTGAAATATAAAAGGACCAACCGCAAATATATGAAACTTGTCCATAAGGAACTAAAGACAGCATCATACTTTCAAGTATATGAAACTTGTCCATAAGGAACTAAAGACAGCATCATACTTTTAAATATATGAATTTTGTCCATGAGGAACTAAAGACAGCATCATACTTTCAAATATATGAAACTTGTCCATAAGGAACTAACGACAGCATCATACTTTAAAATATATGAATTTTGTCCATGAGGAACTAAAGACAGCATCATACTTTCAAATATATGAAACTTGTCCATAAGGAACTAACGACAGCATCATACTTTAAAATATATGAATTTTGTCCATGAGGAACTAAAGACAGCATCATACTTTCAAATATATGAAACTTGTCCATATGGAACTAAAGACAGCATCATACTTTCAAATATATGAAACTTGTCCATAAGGAACTAAAGACAGCATCATACTTTCAAATATATGAATTTTGTCCATGAGGAACTAAAGACTGCATCATACTTTCAAATATATGAAACTTGTCCATAAGGAACTAAAGACAGCATCATACTTTCAAATAAATGAAACTTGTCCATAAGGAACTAAAGACAGCATCATAATTTCAATCGTGTTCTTTGGATTTAAATCTCCGAATCAAATGGCCCAATGACATCTATTTTGGAAATAAGACAAAAATTGGTGGTGTTCTGGTCAACTCTATTATTCAAGGAAGATGTCTTTGGCCTATTATAGGTATATTAACTTTATGTTAGTTTTTTTATTGTGTCCGATGTTAAAGTGGATTTATAACACACAATATATTCTTGTCTCAAATAAAAGAAAACTCCTGTCTTAAATGTGACTTTAAAGTTTAAAAGGTTTTGTCTTTCATTCTGTACGTTTAACACATGTTGTTTTATGTCATGTTCAAAATGAGTACATTTTGCAACATTTTTATGAGTTTTGTCTCATCAGCAGTTTCTAAACTGAGAGTGAACGTAGAATTCAAATCATGACAACGGCTTGATCGAGTTATGACTGCAGGCTAATCATGGAAGGAATTATAATCTTTCAGCGTTCTCTAAAAAAGGGTTTTTTTTCAAATGCTGGGGATGTTTTTTATTCACAATTCTTTCCAAGACTCATAAAAACTTTTTCTCATACCAAACCATTTTGCGTGTTGTGAAGCTCATTTTCTGTATAATGGTAACTTGTTCTAGTCGCGATCCTTTGCATACGACGTAGCGTTAATGGTCTAAACAGTTGTAAATATGAGATCATTTGCATTATTTAGAAATCTATTAGTTTTACATTGAGTGAACATCAAAATAATTTACTTGGCACCACCAAACTTGTTTGCTGGCTATTGAACAGTTGCCTGCACCCCCAACGACTTAATCTTTTCAAATTATTCAATTGTAGGGATTGGAATAAATGTTGACAACCATCAGCCAACAACTTGTATTAACGAAATCATCGAGGAACACAAGTTATTGAAGAAGAGCTTCTTGCTAGAATTCTTAACAAAATGGAAGAACTCGTAGAAGACTTTCAGCTCAATGGACCCGAAAAGTTTCTTCAAAAATACTAGTCAGTTTATGATTTTTCGACGATAAAAAACAGCTGAGCTTTGTAAATAATGAAAAAATTCTTCCGCCGAGCTAAACTGCAAGAAAATTTGCGGTTTCTGACTAAACCGAATCTCGAATTTTTTATGACCCCTCAGCATCGACAACTGTGGCATAGCAAGCCGAACCTTTTACTTCAGATATGGAAAAAATTGTTAAGTAGTTTCACTGATTGTACGAACAACTGAAGAAATGGTTAATAAAAAGGTACAATAATTTACAAAGTACAATTACATCTGCTGGCTGGCTACGCTACTGATTGATGTAGAAATTAGATTTAGTAAAGACAATCGCTTCGTCGCTTTCGTCTTTAAAAATTGAAAAATTAAAGTCAACCTTGTAGGGTATTTAGCTCTCGTAATCATCAATCAGAGTGTTCATCACAAAGAACAAAAGCAACGAGTGTGTAAATACGTAAATAATTTTACTTTTTCATCCTAATTTAGTGAGTCAAAAGTATAACTGGATAACGAAGATGGTGAAATAGTTACACTCAAAGGTTTAGATGACATGGGTTTTCTCTGTGTAGTTAATGACTTGAATGAAGTTAAAACACTTCAACCAGATGGTAATAGTTTTGATATGATGAAAAACTTACCTTCTATACGTATAGATAAATGGGGATTCCATGGTATAAACATAAAAAATTGGATGTCTGAATTAATTTGAGTATATTATCGTCCATCAAACAATCCTCAAATGTTATATTTATGATACAATGCAAGAAAGTCACAAAATTGACAATCATTGAACATATGCAAGCTCTCAATTAAGCAGAAAACAGTTTTTTATTAATGAGGAACAGAAGGCCGTGAAAAAGAAAATGAAGACACTTATATGAAACCATAGCACACTATAGTCATTAAAGGGATGTAGAGAACTTTGTAGTTTATCAAAACCTTGTATTAATTTTCATGATATTTCTTTTTATCATTCAACATTTGTATTCATTTTGTTTGTAACATGACTATTAAAATCAACAGGAAAGTTTTGATACTTGCAATATAAGAAAAAAAATGGTGTTTACTGTTGATAAAATTCTCATCAAAAATACCCATACATTTCAAGATTGATTCAAGAAAAACCTAGGAAAGACCAAAGTTCTGGAAGTACATAAAAGACTTCCGATTGGAGTACATGTCATTTCCCTGTGAAGTTTGGTGCTCTGTAGTTAAATAACTGTAGTTAGCCAGCTCACTGTTCCTATTGGCTAGTAAGTGCAATTGACTGTCTGCCATTAAACTAATCCTATACATCAGAAGTTATGTGTCACACAGAAAATAGGTTTAAAAAGGTACCTTCTATAGGTAGTGTGCAACCATTCTCTGGCGAGAGAGAAAACAATGAAATGTTCGTCATATTGGATGACATTTGCATTCTAAATAAGGAAAATGCTTTATTAAATTTGTCCAAAATGAGGGCCATGACATTAAGGCCTATATTCAAACGTGGAACTTTATATGAACCGAACGCATTTAAAACAAAAGACAATGAGGGGAGGAAGTTCATTTCATTTTCTTTTGTTTTAAATGCGTTCGGTGTATGTCAAGTTCGCCGTATGAAACAGGCCTAACTTGCACACCAAGAATTAAAATCAAGCCTTTTCTTTGTAAACCAGCGTTTTTGAGTTAATGACATGCAATAAATATGAATATCTACATGTGTAAAGATTTTGTATCTTGTACTCTAACGATGACTCATAAGACATGTCGCTAAATGCTGGCGAAATCCGTTATTCTTTTTGGAACGTATTCTTCAATGGAAACATTGTGGTTGAAAATGAATTTGAACACCGCCACCAGTTGAGCGTTAAAGAAATGATTGATGATGTTTTACGAGCATTTTTGTTGTATTTTGTGCTAAACTAAACGACGGTACGTGCAGAAAGTCTGGTGGCTGTTAATTTTAGTTTATACTTTATTCATTTGTTAGTATAACTTAAGACATTCCATAATTCAGATAAACGACAATTGTTTCAATTTTAAATTTGTTTAAGCAAACTTATGCAGTCTTCAGTTTGACTTTTTTTTTTTTGCAAGCGAGTACATAATGATTATTTGTCTAAAAATGATTACCTCAACTATAAAACAATAGCGATGCAGAAAATACTTACATACTGAAGATATCGTGTTGAGATGGTAAATATATTTGTTAAAGTTTGGTAAAATTTTATCATTCGCCTGAATTGAACTTTGACTATCTGAAATTCATTTAAGATTTTGTAATTTCAACTCCAATCATAAATTTATTGAGAAAATTATGGATTTGGGAAAAAATATATAAATTATAATGACAAGAATTATGCAATAAGTATGTGAATAGTGAATACAAAAGACAGTGAAATTGAACATGTCATCAATGACACCAAAATGATGATAATAATAAAATAAAGTGAAATAAGTAATTGATAAACACAATAAACCTAAATCCATGTATATGAATACGAAAACGTACTTTCGCAACTAATAAAAACATGAATATAAACTATTCTCAGTCCAAACTTCATTAAAATAAGCCCAAGATCATTCTATGCATTCAAGTACCAAAGACAGTTCTCTAAGTTTAGGTTTTTCAATGCGACGTCCAATCTAAATGCTATATAGACAATTTTTCCATCATCTTTTTTATGTTCGCAGACTCCGTAACCCAGAGGTATGTGTTGTTCTGTGTCTTCATTGTAGAAATATATTAACATTCCAGAATCTCCATCTTTAAGAAAAGGATGGTCGCATTCAATGGTGATAACATTGCTAAAGATTTCACATCCGGTTTCTCTGCATATGTGTGAATAGCTAATGTCTAAAATTTTTCCTTCAGCGCCTCCAACATATTTCTGAACCTTTACATTTCTTTTCCTTAGTTGTTTTTCAACTGTTTTCCAATTAGGCTGCATGATTTTGAAATGGTTGCGATTAATCATTTCTTTGTCATCAACTTCAATGGCCATGATGTCAGTGTTTTCATTAAATGATCGAAAACAAGGAGTTCCAAGTTTTATTTCTTCACCCATAAGTGGAACGTAATAATACCTATTTTCATCTTGGATCTCTCCTTTAGAAATTTTCTCGTATAATTGTTTTATATCTTTCCAGTTGTGCGAAAAATTAAATTTGTTACCAGCTACTTGTCCGTCAGTGATGAATGAATTGTGAAAACATGTCAAAGCGTAGTGTTTCTCGTCTTTGTTACAAAACATTGTGACAGAACCTTTTGCCATTGTTTCATGAATCTCTCCACTCATTGGATTTGGACCGTTTTCTGTTTTTACTACTTTAAGATCTGACAACCATCGAAACTGCGATTTTCCTTTTGGTTCTGGTTCAAATTCAAAATAAGGAGAAGCTTCCCATCCAAAAGTTTTATCAATTTCTTTTCTTAAGGCATCTTCATCATTTCGTCTTTCAGCTGCCACTGTCACATACAAAGATAGGTGGGGTTCCCATCGTACACCATAACCACCACAAATCCAAGGAAAACTACATAATATATAATACTATTCAATAAATTAAGTACAACAAAAACAGCATGTATTAATTAGAATTATGTTTAACAATTTTCCTGTCATTCATAGAAAATGCTAAAATCAAATTAATGATACAATAAAAGAAAGTTGCTCAGAGGTGAACGTATCACTAAATCATGTTGTTTTTAATGTTATTACCAACTGAAATTTGCAACTTGATTTTTAGTTCACAGGAAAAAAGTCAAAATCAGTGAACACAGAAAGATTTAAATTACGCGTGATTTTATTTAGCATAGTTATTGAGCATCCTTTCAATGCAACCTGTTTTTTCTGCTAGAATGCTAAAAAGTCCAACTTTAACTATATAAAAGAGAAGAGAACTTTGTATGGCAAAATATATAAATATTGTATTTATGGGAGTGTTTCGCCATGATATATGGCTAGTAAAAATTTAGCGCAAGTAACTATTTTCCACAACTGTTTGACACTGTTCAGTTTGTTTTCGCAAAAAATGTAGCTATTGTGTCATGTATAATCTATTTTAAAATTTTTTTCATTTTTGAAATTACATAGGTAATAGTGGCGTTGACCGTTTTAAACATGCTCTTTAAGTCAACATTTATAAGGGAAGTGGGGTAAATATTTTTGAGACAAACCTTTTTAATAATTTACGAACATCATATTGAATACCGTAGTCTTTGTCAAGAAATTTCTTCTCAAAGAATTCGTCGTCATCCTCTAGATCATCATCAAGAGATATATTAGGTTTCTTCATTTCGGTGGCAGCATCCATAGATGTATCCACAATAAAATCTAAATCGGCCACTGCTTTCATTGTACAATCGATGTCTCTTTCTAAAATCAAAGCAATTTCGTAGTAAATATTTTACGATGTTTTAGGTGGTCTATAGTGGTGGACTTTGTAAATATGCATAAATTCTTCACGAAAGCAATTTATGGCATAATAACTAATAGCATGAGTAGAACCATGTAAAAGTACTTCTACAAATACTAAAAACAAGAAATAAGGTTTAAAAATAAAAACATTACTCGTAGATAAATTAGCTACATATAAAAAATGTGATGGCTGCTAAAAAGTGCTTTATAGTATCAATGTATGCGATGCACAGGATTAAGATATAACTACTTCCAGTTTCTGACCATTGAAGTCAATCGGATGTACTTTGGCATTGCTTAACCTAATATATTGAGGACAGTGCAGTAGTTTTACTGTTGATATTGCAAACACTAAGATTGCATAATCAAATCATAATGATCAAACTATTTTTATGAGCTTTTGACGCAAACAATTGTTTTAACTAGTCTATCTTACAACAAGTTTAGCAATTATAGACCAGAAAAAAGCCACGTGTACTATCACTTGAAGAAGTGAGCTTTTCACCCAAAGTAGGCGCCATTTCTTAAGACATACCTAGCAAAACGTCTTTATGTCATCATCTGTGTTAGAAAAGTGATAAATAGATAGATGACTATATGAATGAGGAACAAAATTCTTCTTGATAAAAGCCATGTTAGATAAAATTAAGATTATTGCACATAATGACATGCATAACTAAAATTCAATGACGTGTCATTATTTTGACACATCCTGTTGATATTTTAAACTTGTTGTATGAATAATATTTGAAATGAACAATCGGAAATTTTTTTATTAATTACATCGTATTGCTAGCGATGATGATGGAAAGTTAAGTGTTTTCTAACGTTAAATTATCAAAAACCATCAAAAACAACAAATGTTATTCATATCAAAAATGCCTTTCAACAAAGACACAGAAAGAATACAAAAATAGTGATCATGAAAATCTGTAGCAACTATTTGTTCCATAGTTATGTAACAAGAAAAATGGGAAATATAAAGATCTAGATAATAAACTTCATACTCTCTTTCAATGTAAATATTCTGGTCCTATATTCACTATAATATTAATGGTTGTACGTTGACATACCAATTAAATAACCAAAGATCTTTAAGATATTGTTGAGTGTTTTTGGTTGACGATTCAGAATATGCTTAACAAAAGATTTGTAAATTGCATAAGACGTAACAAATTAATGAAAAAAGTAAAATGTTGTACACGTCTTTATAAAAGCCATATTAGAAAAAGTAAAATTATTTCACATAATGACATGCATATCTAGCATTCTTTGACGTGTCATTACTTTGACTCATCTTGTCAATTTTGTAGCTTCTCCATACATATAATATTTAAAATAAACTTTTGGAATGTGTAGTTTATGTTAATGTGAGAAAGATCAGTATTTTCCAATCGTAAAATGTCCAAAATAAATTACCGTTTGTTTAAAAATTTCATCAAAATTGACAAGTGTTGTCCGTATAACACATGCGTAGTACTGAAATTATAAATATAAGTTATTTGTGACAGACTACATAGAAACAAACAATTACAGATAGAATTTAAAATCAAAATACCTTCACAAATTCAGAAACATTAAAGACGACACATCCAACTATATGATGCCTTTGCTTCTGCTTCATAATAAAGAAATTGAAATATTCAATAAATGCTTTATTTTAATCACCTGCTGTTTTTATTGTAAAATATTGAACTCTGTTCACACCCAATAGAATATGAAATGAAAATTTTTTATTTTAGCTTAAACTGAAGTAAACACAAAGAAGTTTTGATTTGGAAGCTTTATGCCAATAAACCTTTCATAGTTTACAATTTTTATTTCAATTATTGAACATCCTGACTTACATGCAAACTAACTGAAATAATCATAAAGGAAGACACGGCAGTCAGTCTTTTACAAGGAAGGTAGATCAGAAATTAAAGATTCATAATTTAGGAAGTTAAGAAAATCGATAAAAAGAGCTTCTCGGAAATTGTCAGCGTTACAACTTTGAAACGTGGTCAGTGAAGTTTTGTCATTTTGTAAACTTTTGATACAGATAGACAAATAATTTGATCAGGGGCCTGAGAAGCATGTAAAAGTTGGGTGGCTCAAAATTTTAGGGGCAGTCTTTATTTAAAAAGGGAATTTCAGAAAATTAGTCTCGAAGTCTCTACTTTCGAATAAGTTTGTCACATCTCAGTAATCAGAGATACTTCAAAATGGATAGCGTTTGGACTTGACAGTTTATCATGCAAAGGTTTCTCATTCTGTAAACTTTTGACGCAAACAAATATTATAAATAGTCTACCTTACAACAAGTTTAACAATTATAGACCAGAATAAAATCACGTGTACTATCACGTGAAGAAGTGAGCTTTTCACTCCAAGTAGGTGCAATTTCTAAAGATTTAACTAGCAAAACGTTTTTATGTCATCATCTTTCTTTGGAATGAGATAAAGAGATAGATGACTATAAGAATGAGGAAAAAAATTCTTCTTGATAAAAGCCATGTTAGATAAAATTAAAATCATTGCACATAATGATATGCATAACTGATTTATGTGACGTGTCATAATTTTGATTCATCTTGTTGATTTTTTAGCCCTGCCGTACCAATGATATTTTACAGGGTAATGAAATTAATTGTTGGTGATAATGCAAGAAAGGTCAGTATTTTGAAATGATAAATTATCCACTGTGCTATTGGGAAAATCCCACCAAACTCAACTGATGTATCAATATAAACATATGAAGTGCGAATTCCACCACGAAAATGACATTCAGGTTTTTTATGACAAATATAACAAAATTCTAGACAACATAAGAACGGACAATGACACTATGATAGGTACACTTTATACTCAACATACCTTAACAGATTTAGAGAGATTAATGAAGACGCAACCATCTACATGATGTCTTTGCTTTTTCTTGATAATAATGAAATTATAATGTTCAATAAATGCTTGATTTTAATCACCTGCTGTTTTTATTGTAAAATATTGAACTCTGTTCATACCCAATGGAATATAAAATGCAAATTTTTTATTTTAGCTATGACTGAAGTAAAAACAAAGATTTGACTTGGAAACTTTATGCTAATAAACCTTTCATAGTTTACTATTATTTATTTCAATTATTAAATATCCTGACTTACATGCAAACTAACTGAAATAATCATAAAGGAAGACGCGGCAGCCAGTCTTTTACAAGGAAGGTAGAGCAGAAATTAAAGATTCATAATTTAGGAAGTTAAGAAAATCGATAAACTGAGCTTCTCTGAAATTGTCTGCGTTACAACTTTGAAACGTGGTCAGTGAAGTTTTGTCATTTTGTAAACTTTTGATACAGATAGACAAATAATTTGATAAGGGGCCTGAGAAGCATGTAAAAGTTGGGTGGCTCAAAATTTTAGGGGCAGTCTTTATTTTAAAAGGGAATTTCAGAAAATTAGTCTCGAAGTCTCTACTTTCGAATAAGTTTGTCACATCTCAGTAATCAGAGATACTTCAAAATTGATAGCGTTTGGACTTGACAGTTTATCATGCAAAGGTTTGTCATTCTGTAAACTTTTGACGCAAACAAATATTTTAAATAGTCTATCTTACAACAAGTTTAACAAATATAGACCAGAAAAGAATCCCGTGTACTATCACGTGAAGAAGTGAGCTTTTCACTCCAAGTATGTGCAATTTCTAAAGACTTAACTAGCAAAACGTTTTTATGTCATCATCTTTGTTTGGAATGAGATAAAGAGATAGATGACTATAAGAATGAGGAAAAAATTCTTCTTGATAAAAGCCATGTTAGATAAAATTAAAATTATTGCACATAATGATATGCATAATTGAATTATGTGACGTGTCATAATTTTGATTCATCTCGTTGATTTTTTAGCCCTGCCGTACCAATGATATTTTACAGGGTAATGAAATTAATTGTTGGTGATAATGCAAGAATGGTCATATTTTGAAATAATAAATTATCCAATGTGCTATCGGGAAAATCCCACCAAACTCAACAGACGTATCAATATAAACATATGAAGTGCGAATTCCACCACGAAAATGACATTCAGGTTTTTTATGACAAATATAACAAAATTCTAGACATAAGAACAGACAATTACACCCTGACATGTAAACTTTATTATCAACATACCTTAACAAATTTAGAAAGATTAAAGAAGACGCAACCAACTACATGATGTCTTTGCTTGTTCTTGATAATAAAGAAATTAGAATGTTCAATAAATGCTTGATTTTAATCACCTGCTGTTTTTACTGTAAAATATTGAATACTGTTCGTAACAGCGAGACGATAAAATGAGATGGGCAAATTTTTTATTTTAGCTATGACTGATGAGAATACACGAAGAAGAGATGATTCAGTTAAATTTGATAAAACTTATACACATTTACATATTATTTATAAGACAAGGCGTCGAGGCAAAATATATAATATCATTTTTATCAATAAGAGAGCTCAAAAAAATTAAGATTATAAACAACAACTTTTCCAATAAATATTTCTGACGACTGATACTAAGTAGGAGGGTTAATTTCGTCACATCTCAATGATCAGAGACACTTCAAATAAACGTTCGGACTTCAAACTTGAAATCCTAATTATTAAATCTGATTTTTACAATTTTCGTTTCAGGATAATTTAATATGTATTTTTCATACCTTGGCGGAGGCAAACAAAGATGTCAGTTTTTTCGTTTTTTTTATAAAATCGTATTGTGTTTTTTGGAATTTATTTTGAATCTTGATTGTGCTAAGGCGAGGAACGAACTACCTTATCGATCTCTTAATCTGGAAGGTCCACCACGATATGACGTCATCTCTCACCGGTCTGTGAAACATAAGTACAAAATTCTTGTCAAGATGAAATTAAACTATCGAGAAAGCTTGGCGAGAAGAAATTTCTACTTGATGATATTGTCACAGAGACAAGCAAAGGTTATCTACAGTCAAATAATCTTAGCAACGAAGAAAGTCATGTGAAAAAAATGCTATTACTGATTATTCATTGAACAGTATAGAGTATGTTTGATGTACACAATAACTGGTTGTAAGTACATTTTACTTACATTATTACTCATTTGCATAATTAATAATAGCTGACTTATAACCATGAGAAATAATCTTTTTCTACTGTTTCATAGGTCTTCCTTCTAAAGTTGTAATATGAATTAAATAATATACCTATTCAATTGGTTTAAAGAATGCTATCATCCATAGACATGTGACATACATTCAAGTTGTGACATACATGTGACATACAATCCAAGAACACGTACAGTACTGGTTTTTGTTAATCGGGGTATTATTTTTTGGGTACACCTGCAAAATGTATCAATTCAGGAAGAAATTCAGACGCTCAAATGAGTTCTTTTATAATAACGTGGAGAGGAAAGAAAACACACAAAATGATGATGCGGTATGAATTTTAAAGTGTTCTTTTTATTGTTTCTAGTTGGAAAAATTGATACTAATTTATATTTATTACCACAGTCATATTAACAAAAGTATGTGTACAAATTTATTTATGCCCACAATGTTGCGTAAGGAAAAACAATTATTCTGAGCAAATTTTCCAGTTTCAAGTCTGGATTCTCTATATCCTTTAGTCACAATGTCATATATGTTAATAGAATAGCAGTGTGTCATAAGATTCTCAATTATATGAGCAAGAAAATGAATTTGGGGATTTGGTAAGTTTACATATATTGTAAAACTATGTAGATATAAAAATACGCTATGTTCATGATTTTTTTTCATTTATATGTAGAATGAAAAAAGTGAAGATATTGCTGACAATTATGACAAGCACCAAGAGTTAACCACCAAAACACAGGTTTGTAAAGTACATATTGATCTTGTTTCTCTTAAAAAATCATTGGAAATGGCTATATGTATGAATGCTTTCACTAGAAAAAACTGAAAAATTTTGAAGTAATTTAAAGAAGGCATACATTATTTCAACACTTATTAAAAGTCTGTACACATTTTAAATTAAATAATGGTCTTTATTTGTAGAACTCTGAAGATATCTTTACCAAGCAATTTATCACTATTATTACAGAGGAATCCAAGCAACCATGTCAACGTAGTCAAGTAGTTCTCACTTATACAGTTATACTGTTAACCACTAGTCATGTTTTTAATGTGAACATTATAAATTGACAATATGCTTGATGATTGCTTATGCATGAAACACAGTGTAGCAAAACTTTATTAACATCTGGTAGAGATGTGCTCAACAAACATAAAAATATATTACCATAGATATTTTTGAAACTGTGAAAATGAATAATTACTGTATACTTGCTCTTTCAGAGTCATTTGTCACCCACTGGCCACTATACTTTGTTATTGTTACAGTTTGACTTTGCATCAAATGTATCACGTCAGCAGTCCTTTGTTGTTCATGATTATAATGCAAAGAAAAGAACAATTATGGTGATGTCAAATTTTATTTCTGCAATTTCAATGTTGGGTATATACCCAAGTAAATGATATTACTCAATACTCTTTTTTTGGTGCTATAATCTGCATGTATTTTTTCTTCAGCATAATTCATTTGTATTTGTTCATCGATATCACGACTTATTTCTTGATAGCTACAGTTGGATATTATGCTGCTCATTTGATGCAAGTGGAAAGAAATTTTTTGAAGCCCCACCTAACAATATAAAATTAGATCCTCAAAAAGGTATGTAAAATAGATGTTACTGAAATGAAATTATTAAAACAGGCCAAACAACATTTTTGTACTTGTTAGCAATTGAAACATATTCTCAATGAAAAAATAGCTGGTTGTGTATGATAGAAAATTTGGTATTGAAGCCAAAGATTTTATTGAAAAAAGTAAGTGTTGTGTTACTTTTTCAGGATATAAGGTCTCTGAACAGCTTCACAAAATTTTGACCTAAACTTACATACTAATTGTTTGAAGACCCTTGTCAAAGATGTGAGAACTTGTTGCATATTAATCTGACATTGCATGTAGTGAATGTCTCAAATTTGTATTTGGCTTATTTTTTCAATCTAAAGTTCTTCATGTGGTATGGGAGGAAATGTCTTCATCCTTAAATATCAGTTTATTGTACATTTCAAACCCTTGTGAAGTCATCCTTCTGTGTTTTTACAAGGCCCTTCGTCAACATTGTTCTTATTACATATGGACGTTAACCAGCACAGCTTTACAAGCAAAAATATTGTTAAAACTTGTGAATGATTATTTACACAATATATTTATCTCATCCAATTTCTTTTATGAATCCACATCAACGATGCAGTCTGTTTTCAGTGATCATTCCCACCATGAGATACAACATGAAGAAGTATATTTTGTTTTGTTTTCTTTATTTGAAACAGGTATGCAAGATAATCTGCAATGGTGAACATTCTTTTAGCTTTACATATACTATTTCCTTTATCGGTATGGTATTTATCACTTTCTAGCATTTTGTAAGTATTAAAATCTAATCATTTAGCCAATGAAAAAGATGCAAGCGATTTCGCTGGTCTTCCTGAAATAATGGTCATAAAATTTTGGCGCCATCTTGAAGTGGTATTTGTTCTTGTGGTTCAGAGTGGAATAGACGTTCTATTCAAAAAGAATGGCTATACGTAGACTTGTGTTCAAGTGCGTACTTTTATTCAATCCATGATGTGAAGGGTAAGTTCTGATTTGTTATAGGTTGCGCTTCACTTTATAATTATTTGACTTAAATAGATTATTTAGTGTATTGTAGACCTTGCTCCACATGTGCTACGAAAAAGCACTATGATGGCGTTGAAAACAGGATTGTATGGTTTGGATCATATGCAAAATCTCATGCCGTTCTAAAAGATTACATTTGGCTTTTCATAACGTCGAGGTACTTTTTAATAAAAATTTGCCGAAGCATTAGTAGCTACGTTTTTCCATTATTCAATTTCTTACCCTGTCTCTATTGAATGTTCTTTTTTTGTTACACATTTTAATTTCCCAAAGGAAATAACTTACGCCAAGTTTTGTCTCGCTATCATTGCCATGATACGGTAAGCATCATTTCATTTTCAGTTGTAAAACGTGAATATTCCATTAAGACAGTGCTCGCTTGTTTTATTAAGTTAGGAATTTTCCCTTATTAAGGTTGCTTGATATTGATTTTGATATTGCGTTTTTTTTTGTGAATTGTGCGGAAGGATTCCCCAAAAGGTGGTGATGGATGGAACAGCTCTTGGAATACAGAAAACTTTACATCTTTGTAAATCTCTGATACCAACATCTTTGTTGGTATCGTCCTTAGAAGGACTGTTTTTGTTGTTGACGACTGACGTTTCGACAACCTTAGCGGTAGTCATCTTCATAGTCAAATGAGGAGTAAATGTCAGGTTAGCCGTATTTGTTATCTGGTTCTTACGTAACGGTGGTTGAACCAGAGTTGTTGGCGTATGCGTCTGACGTTGCTTGCAAAACGTATGTAGTCGTTAGCAAGTTGTTCGCTCTGTCGTCCAAATGATTGTAATAAAGTAAATGGTTTGAACCCGGGAGTATCGTTACATTTTTTAGTCTCTGAAGATGACTACCGCTAAGGTTGTCGAAACGTCAGTCAACAACAACAAAAACAGTTCTTCTCAGGACTATAATAACCTGGACGATGTACATCTACAAACATGTAACGATACTCCCGGGTTCAAACCATATTTTATTACAGAAAACTTTCTTATCAAATAATTTAAGAGAGTCTGATACTAGATTGCTAGATGAGAAATAAGTATTTTTGAAGTTTATCTGTAATATATAGTATATACAGATCTGCTAATTGGTAAATACTAGTGTTCATCTACGTATTAGAAAGCATTTTGTGCATGATGGTGACTTCTCTCACTTTGTTTTTGTACACAGCTTATAGTTATAAAAATAACAACCTGTTTTCTTTTGTCCAATACTAGGTTTGAAATGCGCAATTTCATCAACAGGAGAAATGTGCGAGCTTTATTGAAGAAGTACAGTGATTCGAAGCTAAGTTGGGACGAATTTCAAGAATTAAAATCTGAAGTAAGAAGAATTTATCAAACCACGAGTACAAAATTTTGTATGACCACTCCAGAGCTCATTTTATACTACAATTCCTCGTATTTATAAATATTTTCAAAGGAGTTTAAGACTCTACTTGATTGTTTAGAGAAACAAGGATTCATCACTAGTTCTCCAAACTCGTGCTGAAGGTTATTGGCAGCATTGGCTTCTGACAAACCAGTATGCGCAATTGTGCCCCCCAAAGAAGTTTTGAACCTTATGATCAAGATGTCTGATGGAGCCAATCCAAAAGACAATCCTTCGACTGATTTAAAACTTCTTCATGAAGAAGTGCCCCTACAGTTTAACGTCATTGAGACTAGCGAAGAAATTCCTATTACTATTCAACCGCTGCTAAAGGAATTGGTACAAAAGGCTATAAGTCCGTTCGAGGTCAAGGACGGTCAATGGCGTTTGCCACACAACTTACCAGCGGTGTCTCAAAATTCATCCCTTGGATATATACCTTGTCTGCTAGAACTGGTTCAACGAGGGAATTATGTTCTTTACAATAGGAAGACACAGCGGGGAGATTGTTCCAAAGTCACTAGACCAAAGAAGAAGCATGGCACTTTGATCCCTGGAATATTTTGTATTCTTTGTCCCCACGGTACTTACATGATGAACAGCGCCAACGAAAATTTGTTTTACTATTGCAGTAAGTGACATTGCGCTTTACATCTCTATATATATCAGCTTTTCAGCTGTTACGTGTCCCCCTCTATAAATAAAGTCCTTACTTCCTTCCTTCCTTACTTACTTACCTTCCTTTTTGTTTCCAGGTATATGTTATGGATTCGAAATAATGAGGGATCACGAATCACCAATTATCCCATTTACCATTTTAGGAACACGTTTTCCTGATTGTAAGTTACGTATGTGTGTACCTTTTATGGTTCTACAAACAGAGTATTATCAGTGAATCGGACAGACTGCATGACGGTTTAGTCGCCTGACAGAGTTGCCAGTGCAGTAACATAACCGAATGTATCTGATAATATTCATATGTATTTTTATTTCTTTAGCGCCAGAGTTGGTCATTTACGATAATGCCTGCAGATTGCACGAGTATTGTTTGAACCGAGATCAAGCATTTTTTAAGAAAACAAAATTTGTTATTGATAAGCTTCATTGAAAAATCATTCAGGTAAACTGCCATACTCTTCCTATTTTACTTGAAGCGAACTTTTTGATCCAAAAATGGCCGTTTTTATGTTTTCACAAGATTTGTTGATTTATAACTGTCCTTTATGTATAGGATGCTGCGAAGGATATAACATGAAATTGTATCCCACGCTCAATATGTAGAATAGCCAAGCTGCTGAGCAGTGCAATTCGTGATTTAGCCTCTTGCCTACATGGTTTCTTACATGGAATAGGATAATTTTTTCTTTTTACTAAACTTCATATCTGGCACAGGAATATGTTACGCATTGTTGAATACAATCCTGAGAGAGAAATAGCCTACAAACACTATTTTCTCACTCTTATTCGCGTCATTCATTAGTCATCAATTGAAGTATTCCCTGCGTACATTTCAAAAGTTTATAACGTTCTGCACATGTTATAAACAGTAACGTAGTCAGCCTGCAAGTTTGTTAATGCTATGTAAATGTTTGGTGTTGATTAACTGTAAACTATGTTTATTGGAGCATGAAAGTTGGTATGTTTGTATGAAAGTTTGAGTCATTCGAATGATAAATAGCGCAAACAATACAGCATTGAAGTTTGAAAAGGTAATCCAAATGTGGAGTATTTACATTAAGATCTGTCATGATTATTGTCATGAGTTACAATCAAGGCTGTCATGATTCCTTTTTTTTGAAACTGGTTTCACTTTAGGTACATGCTTATAATATTGCAGACTATGGCCATACCAGTAAAAGTTACAACTTTTTATAACTAATTTCAGATTTCCTTTATATTGTTTTAATATAACGCGCTGTAGTTTCGGCCACTTTTTTCCTCATTTGCACTACTGTTTGTGGAAGGTGCAGATATATTGGACAAACATGTAAGCAAATTGCATTGGAAACAGCTAAAACGATTTTAGAAACTGTACATTGATGAACACCAAAGGCATTCGCTGTCATCCAAATAGAACCAGTGTCTTTTAGGAAATATAAAGTGATAGCGATTTTTTTTTCACGAGAGAGTGACCTATAATTTGGAGTGTTTATTCCTTCAGAAATGTAAGGTCGCAACTCCTCGCACAATTGAAAATCTCTCTTTCGACATTTTAAAGTTTCGCTTCCACTCATCATCTGGGGTAACTCCATCAAACATATTCTTCCACCATAAGTCAGTTCTTCCTTTTTTGGTCCATATAGCTCGCTTTTTCCGACTAAGTTTCCTAGCTCTTATGTATCGTGCTTTTTTCTCAGCTACTGATTTTTTTGTGGCATAGTAACTATAAAAGACTCTGTGAACGTATTGCTTGTATGCTGCCCATAAGTAAATGAAACAATAAAATTGAAAAAGTAGGCAGGAAACAAGAATGGAGTGATGCGAAAAATTCATTGTTTACAATTCAATGTTCGCCATAATTTCCCGCAAAAAATTCGAAGTCTCTCCCGGAGCCAGGAACCCGAGTACCCTAGAGAACTAACTCTGCTGGGACAACTCGGTCCATGTAATCGCTTGAAAAAAGCTAACCCGGATACCCGAGACAACTCACCTTGCGGGGACAACTCGGTCCATGTAATCGGCCCCTAAGAAGACGACCACTCACCACCTCTCTGGCTCTCTCTCTAGCCGGGCCAGGAAATTTCTGCCTCATAATGAATATTTTACACAACTTTTACTGAGGCAAAGGAATGCTAGAGTATTTAGAACATAAAAATACAAGATAGCAAACGATGGTAAATAAATTCAAACGATGATGATGTTTCAGGAGATTTCGTTCTTGCAAAATAAAATCGAACACGACTAGCTAATAATGCCTGCTGTTGAAAATAAATTAATTGTGAGGGTGTATTTCTATGTATTTCATTCATGCATTCATGTGCCTTTGACTAATTATTGTCTTCTTTATGTTCACAAATTACAAAAATAAATGAGAATTTTTCTTCGAAAACATGAATTTGAAATTCCACTGGAAGAATAAGTATCATTATACCTAGTACTACATGAAGTTACCTCTTCGGAGCAAAAACTGACAATATAACCAAAACATCAACATAACATTTATTTTGTAAAAGAAATGATCGAAACTGTAGAAAAATCATGTTTCTTTTACCGTACGCAACTCATATTGTTAATAGTTTACGACTTGGCATGCTAGAAGCATCAACGGCCAAAAATGTTGTGCGTAAAATTTCAACAAGACCTCCTAATGTGCTTATTTACACTGGGAAAGGCAAGAAGTCTTCAGCAGCGTTTCAAAATCTCAAGAATTTATTCGGGCGATGTTTAAGTCGGGATAAATATGTTTACCTGATGATGAAATATGTTTTACTGAAAAATAAGCAAGAAACGATGTAGCATTGTGGCTGATGTAAAAACGTACGTCAAGGGTAGGTCCAACAATGAACACAAGGGGATATTTATGGCACTTGTCATACAATGCAATTGTAAAGGAAGTTGTGCTAAACATTGTGATCCTCATCATAAATTGTGTCAATTAAGTTAAGTTGCATGAAAACAGTAGCATCTAGTTTGAGTTGTACAATGTAAAATTTTGAACATTCATTTCTCTAGAAGTATATAGTTATAGCAGCTAGTGAACACAATTTCAATTTTGAATAACACAACTTAAATTGTGCAAAATTTGTATGATGACTCTAAAGATGACTACCGCAAAGCTTGTCGAAAGGTCTGTCATAGTCAACATCAACAGTCCTTCTCAGGATTATAATATCCTAAATTATCTACATCTACAAACATATAATTATACTCTTGGGTTCAAACCATGCATTCTACAAAGTATGTAGCTTGTGACACATAATCAAAAAAAGGCAATCAAATTAATGTGGTCAGCTGCTAGTTATGTTAATCCAGAATCAACTTGTGATTTGCGAAAAAAGCATAGTCTTATTTTATTAATTTAGTCAAACCTTGCAAAGACTTGGAAGTGTTGGTTGTCACCTCAAAGACATCCCTACCTGTTATCATCCAGGAATCTCATGATGAAGGCATATTGATGTTATCCACAGTAACTGAACTGATCTCTGGTATTGCACTGGATGGAAATACAGACAGCAACATTGGAGAATTAATGAAAATGCTGTTATGTCATCTTGGTATAATGTGTGAAGATGTCCCAGAGTGTCCGCTTACCCCTGCAATGTTATTGGTTAATCAAAGGTAAAGGCTCAACTCCATGTTTACATCTCTTTCCCCTTGATTGAAATTACTCGTGTATCAATTTCTGTTAGTCAATTGGATATATGTAAGTAGTCCTTACTTAATCTGGACAAAATAGAAAAAGTACTTTATTGGACTTCAATATAGTCCATAAGTCTTCTACATAGGTACGTAGGTATGGCCTTTAGAAGATCAAAATCAATACTCTGGGGGGAGGGGGGCGGGGGGCTCATATTCATATATGCATGATATTCAAATTTATATATGTTGCAATGAAACACATTGTTTTCTGTGAATTATTCATATTTGAATATGAGTCACCCTTCAAATATGAATCTTCCATCAATCTTGGTATGTAGGTCTTCATGTAGCATTGCTTTATGTTTGGTGGAAAGAATAATTTTGATCGTATTGCTATTGAGCTCATTCTGACCTTCCTTCATTTTAACACATAGAACAAAGACCTCTTTCTGCATTGTATACAAGACCTTACAACAGACAACTGTTTCCCTGGTAACGGTGTGACCGTTTCATTCACGGATGACGAAGATGACATCGCTACTGTTGACAATTTTCCAGTCAGAACAAAACCCATTCCTGAACGTTACAGTACTGTCAAATTTTCTCAATACAAAGAATTATTGAAAACGAAACTTTTGGGTCACGTGATGATATATACTGACGTCATCACATCCACACAAACCATCGTGAATGGATAAGGTAACAAGCTAAATTCGTGGTCTTAGTATTGCTCCAGTCTGAGTTTTCCCTTTGATACTGCATTTAGATGGTGGGAATGTTCAGATCATACATAGTTTTAACATGATATCTTTCGAAAAATATTACATGTTTTTTTTAACCATTTTCCCTGCTCAAAGATTTTTCCCCAAAAAGGAGCTTCATTGTACTTTTTAAAAAAAGGTGCAATGACTTTGTTTCTTCCTTCGTGTTTTAAGATATTTTATCTCGTACAACTGTAGTAATTACTTTCTTCCTGGACAAATACCATAGAAATTTTTTTCAAGATTTTCGACAACAAGGAGAACTGTGCATGATGATATGTACATACACCAATACGCATCAAAAAAGAAAAGAAATTCTTTTGAACGTTCCTCAAGCCGACATAAAGCATAATGTTTTTGACGAAGGCCCTACGTTTTCTGTTTCCGAAGCTCATTTTCGGTTATTTTCGAAATAAATTAAGTTCAAAATATACGTACAGTAACGTACTTGCATAAATTTATTTCAGAATTCTGAGATTACTGAATGAATCACCTCGTGGTCTTGAAGTTGTTGTTATTGCAAGACAACAGACTGTTGGAAAAGGTTTGTAATATGTTTTTTTGGTATGTTATTTTTTGTATCATTCCAACATCCCTTTAGTTTCCTTTTTACTTACATTTTTTTGTATCTCCCAAAACCATCCACCATTTATTGCTGTTCTTTGAGGAATAAATGTTTAAGTATAGTGAGAATGATGTTTTTCTGTAGGTCGTGGAGGAAACGCTTGGCTATCTCCGGATGGTTGTCTTTCGTTTTCATTTCCTTTGGAAATTGAACTTAATTCTAATCTTGGACAACTTAAATGAAGATATGATCTTCGCACTTTGCTGGACAATTTAAGCAATCGTCTCAGGACCTGAAAAAATCAGGTGACTCAACGGGATTCGAACCCATGACCTCTGCGGTCATTTAATTTCTAACACCGCACTGCATAAAACATTCATACGACATTCCTTTCACGAGAAAACATGAGCCCAACAATATTGACCTGCTCACCACTGTGTGACTTCATAGCTCAGTTGGTCAGAGCACTGCACCGGCACCGCAGAGGTCATGGGTTCGAATCCCGTTGAGTCACCTGATTTTTTCAGGTCCTGAGACGATTGCTTAAATTGTCCAGCAAAGTGCGAAGATCATATCTTCATTTAATTTCTAACACCGCACTGCATAAAACAATCTTGGACAACGTCGTCCATTTGTACAACATATCGCAGCCCTAGCCATTGTTGATGCTGTGAGGGACATATCTGGATATCAGGTGATTTATTTTTGCGTTTTTCATCTGATATGTTTGAACTAAATGCATGGAAATAAGGATCTGCGAGAGGATTTAAATTAAGAACTCAACATCAAAACTTTCCTAAAGAAGACGAGTAGCTAAATGCGAATTCAAGTTTCAGCATCAGATCATTCCCAATGAAGATACTAAAGTGGAGTACTTGGAGAGTCGAGTTTCAACAACAAGATACTCCTGATGGAGATACTAGACTGGAGCATACGTATAAGGACTAAAGTTTCGGTATCAAATCATTCTCGACAAAGTGACCTGACTGGAATATTCAAATTCAGGGATTTAAGTTTGATAAAGGAAGATTTATTACTGAAATATAGGAGGACCAGCGCAAATATATGAAACTTGTCCATAAGGAACTAAAGACAGCATCATACTTTCAATCGCTTTCTTAGGATTTAATCTCCGAATCAAATGGCCCAATGACATCTATTTTGGAAATATGACAAAAATTGGTGGTATTCTGGTCAACTCTATTATTCAAGGAAGATGTCTTTGGGCTGTCATAGGTACTTGAACTTTTTACTAGTCTTTTTTTTTGTCCAATGTTAAAGTGGATTTATAACATACAATATATTCTTGTCTCATCGAAAAGAAAACTCCTGTCTTAAAGGTGACTTTAAAGTTTAAAAGGTTTTGTCTTTCATTCTGTACGTTTAAAAAATTGTTGTTTATGTGATGTTGAAAATGAGTTACATTTTGCAACATTTTTATGAGTTTTTCCTCATCAGCAGTTTCTAAACTGAGAATGAACGTAAAATTGAAAGCATGACATCGGTTTGAACGAGTTATGACTGCAGGCTAATCATGGAAAGAAATTATGATATTTCACCGTTCTCTAAAAAAGTGGGGTTTTTTTCAAATCCTAGGGACGTTTTTTATTCACAATTCTTTCCAAGACTCATAAAAACCTTTTCTCATACCAAACCATTTTACGTGTTGTGAAGCTCATTTTCTGTATAATGGTAACTTGTTCTAGTTGCGATCCTTTGCATACGACGTAGCGTTAATGGTCTAAACAGTTGTAAATATGAGATCATTTGCATTGTTTAGAAATCTATTATTTTTACATTGTGTAAACATCAAAATAGTTTACTTGGCACCACCAAACTTGTTTGCTGGCTATTGAACACTTGCCTGCACCCCCAACGATTTAATCTTTTCAAACTTTTCAATTTTAGGGATTGGAATAAATGTTGACAACCATCAGCCAACAACTTGTATTAACAAAATCATCGAGCAACACAAGTTATCGAAAAAAAATCAGCAAAGAAGAGCTTCTTGCTAGAATTCTTAACAAAATGGAAGAACTCGTAGAAGACTTTCAGCTCAATGGACCCGAAATGTTTCTTCAAAAATACTACTCACGCTGGTTACACAGGTCAGTTTACGATTTTCTTTGACGACAAAAAACAGCTGAACTTTGTAAAGAATGAAAATTTTTTTTGCCGAGCTAAGCTACAAAAATTGCAGTTTCTCACCAAAACGATTCTCCCGTTTATCGACCCCTCTCAGCGTCAACAACAGTAGCGTAGTAAACCGAACCTTTTACTCCAGATATGGAAAAATTGTTAGGTAGTTTCACTGATTATATGAACATCTGAAGAAGTGATTAATGATAAGGTTCAATAATTTACAAAGTACGATGATATCATCTAGCTGGCTACGCTACTGATTATCGCTAAAGACAATGGCTTAGTCGCTTTGCTCTTTAGAAATTGAAAATTTGACATCAACCTTGTAGGATCTTTAGCTGGCGTATCTTTATTCAGAGGGTACATCACGAAGAGGAAAAGCAACGAGGTCGTGATTACGTAACTAATTTTTCTTTTTCATTCCACTGGATAATGAAGATGGTGAAATAGTTACAATCAAAGGTTTGGATGACATGGGTTTTCTCTGTGTAGTTAATGACTTGAATGAAGTTAAAACACTTCAACCTGATGGTAATAGTTTTGATATGATGAAAAACTTAATAACAGTTAAAACAAGAAAATAATTCAAATTATTCAAATAAGGTGTTTAACCTGTATAATTGTTTGTGATGACAGGGGGGAGTGACATGGAGGCATTCATGGGGGTGAGTGGCAGATGGAGAATGGCAGGGGGGTGTTATATTCTTATAGTCAAATTCACTCATCACACAAAGTAGTTTCAAAGTTTCAATGCATGCTACTTTGGGGGTGAAAAGTGCCAAAAATGTTTTCTTCTTGGCCATTCAAACACCTTAACAGTATGATGAAACAACTATTAAGCAAAATAAGTTACAAATACAATACTGGTTTGAATTTAATATAATTTGGCATAATTTAATTTACCTTTGTCTTTGTTATTGAAGTAATCATTCAAATACCATTAAGTTTGATATTGTCTATCCATGTATATTGATGTTTTATTAATGTTTGGTGAATCTCTATTTTATAAATTAGTACTTCATTCTATAGTAAATTTAATATCTACGTATTGTACACATTGAAATTACATTTTATAAATAAAAGGGTTTATTTATGAAATAAAAGCTTTATAAATACTTTCTACTGACTGTCAGTAAATATCATGAACATGAGCACAAAAGCTGTGTTAACTTAGCATAAACCTCACTCATTATAACATAAGTACTTTGTATTAGAGCTTGTGAATGCTCAATCTCCACAACATGGATTTAGCGAGCTCAATAATTGTCTCGGGCCTATATTCATGTATGCATGTTATAATCTGTAGGAAACAATGCATGTCAAAGGAGCATAATATGGAAGTGTATGATGAGTGATCCCATCCTCCAAGTATTGAGCTCCTACATCCCTGCTCTATGTTGTACTCTATTAAAAATGTGAATTAAAGTACACAATCATTCTTAAATGGACTGGTGATCAAACAACAAGATTTAGTCTTTCCTTCTGTTGTATGGGTACATTTAATGCTGGAACGAGGAACTGCCACCAATGTTCACATGAATGCCAAAACATCACCTGAAATCGACTTTTTTTGCTTTTACAAATTCACTTAACGATGAATTGAATGATATCTATGGGATTTCGAGATCTCTGCATTTTGGTGAGAAGTTCAATAGTTGAGCAATTGGTTGCCAGAAGCAAAGACTGCAACAGGAACATTGAACCACAAAACATTGCCATGAATACGACAGGGATAAACAAGATGGCAAAGTCACCAAGCTTTTTGCAAACACCATTATGGTACCATGACAGTGTGTCCAAGTGATGACTTGTAGGTACCATGCATTGGTAAAATGGTTCATATGTCATGTACATTGAAAATAATAAACCAATTTTACTATAACAGATAAATAGGGGAAAATATGAATAATTTTTCAGGCCAACACAGTTGCTTGTAAATGGACAGTGATGACACATCATGGTAACGCATGTTCCGCACGTGGTACAGTGGTGGGTGTCAATTGATTTCATTCCATCGCATTTACAACAAACGATGCTTGCTTCGTCCATTTTGAAACCGTTTTCCTCCGTTTCAGACGCCATTAACAGATATCCAGGAGACTTAAGCATCGCCGCGAAATAATTGAACGCGACATTTAACCAGAAATAGCAAGCTGAAGCGATTAAAATAATCCTCTCTCTAGACGTGTACGGTTTGTAAACTTTTACTGGCAGAAATATTAGGAAAAATAGCCCAGTAGCTGATAGGACCATTAGGATAATGGGACTGACAAGAATGAATCGGATGGTTTGTCGAAAACCTTGTACTTTGCTGGACCTGGAAAATGCTTTCTGGATTGTGCTGATAATAAAGGAAAGTTGAATTATACCCACTCCGCCAGCTAACAACATCACAATTGCCATTTTTTGACAGAAGTTCAGCTTTCTACTCGATCAATCAATATCGATGTGTAGTAAACAAAAGGATAGTCCAGCTATGTGTAAACAGTTCAGTGATTGATAATGTGTTTTAATATGATAAACACTTTGTGTCTTCAGTTAAAACACAAATTTTCTTCTGCTTGTCAGTAAGATGCAACCAAATATTTCACATAACTTACTTAAATAATTCATTGGTCTTGACAAGTCAGTAGAGAGGGAGCTCGTTTTATAAAATCAAGAACTTGAGTGTCCTGATTTGAACGTGAGCTCCGTAAAAAGCAAGAAAAATTACAAAAATTTGCCTAATGGAGAAAACTGCGGCAAAGATAAAGATGTCGATGGTGTTAGGACGGTGAGGTGGAAGATGGGTAAACTCAGAAAGACGTTTGATGAGGATAGGAGATTGAAAAGCACAGGAAAAATGGTAAAACTTTTGAATCATTGTTTATGAAGTCTAGACTAAACAATGCTATTAGTATGGGCATGATTTGTCGTTAATTTTAAAGAAAGTCGTTAATTTGTCGTTAATTTGAAGTCTAGACTAAACAATCCAATTTTAAAGAAAACAAATTTTTCATTTTTGGGAAAATATTTGGTCGGGCTGGGCCCAACCAGCCAGACCGCTAGCTACGCCACTGAATGTTACCGACACTTGCATTTTACATTACACGCTTAGTTTCTGGGATGAAAATTTTTCAGTCTGTCGTTTTTGTTCTTTGGGTTCCATTTTCTACAGCACTCGTTTGTGTTGTGAATTTTGTACCTTGGGTTAAGCGACAAACCCAAGGAAGTAAAGAATATAGAGAGGAGGAAGAATATTTGGTTTTGCCACAAACCGAAGGGAGTGAAGAAGGTGGAGAGAAGGAAGCAGATGGTGCAAATGAAAAAGGTGGAAAAAGTAAAGCAGATGGAAAAAATGGAGAAAGTGAATCAGGTGCAGCAAATGGAGCAAATGAAGATGGTATAGCATTTGGAGAAGGTGAAGAAAGTGGAAAAAGTGGAGAATGCGCAGCAGGTGGAGCAGATGAAATAGGTGGATGCAAAAAGGGCTTATTAAAGTGCAAAAATGTTTCTAAGGTTTGGTTCTATTGGGTTGCAGTTTTAATCTACTTCTTTGAAGTATCCATTAAGTTCATATCTGTATTGCTGGATACTGTACAAAACCTTGCACCTATCGTTAATGTCGCTATTCCTGAAGGATCAAAAGACTTAAAAGGAGAAATTCTCATTTTAATGTTTTTTAGATTGGCATTTCACGCTCGTATATTGGAATTTTTTTACGACAAAGTTTTTCACGGTGACAAAGATCTGTTGTCTGAACCTTCTGACAAACTTAAAGATGATGGAACAAATGAAAAATGCAAATATGTGGAAAAGGTGGAAAATGTGAAGAACGTGAAAAAGGTGAAACAGTTAAACATCATTGAGCTTCAAGATGTTTGATGCAGCAACTACACGGGACCAGACAACTGAGCACCAACTTTGCAATATGCAAAGGCATAACATTTAACATTGATATATCACACGCACGAGAGTAAAAATAACTTTGTAACAAAAAATTGAGGATAATATGGCATGTAGGATTTGTATTAATAAAAAAAGGCTTTTCTGCTGGAGGTTTCACTGAAAATCATTTTTGAAACATGTTCAATATCGCAAACTTTATATGGCAGTTTTTTATCTTAGCAGGCATGTTACAAACAACTGCACAGTTAGCCAGTTTCTGCTGTTTTTACAGGGTCAACCATTAGTTAGCAACTAGGTTGATTGAATGTGAAACATGTAAGAAGTATTTAAACTTTATACACAACTAAACAACGTTAAGGCCCGTTCACACGCTCCAATTTTTCGGATACGACTGTTTCAGTTCCGACTTTTGGTTGCTTGTTCAGACGGTCCGATAGTTTTGTTGACATTTATAATCGTTTAGATATTTATAGTCTTGAAAGCAGCCATTTGAGTTATCAAATACATTTATCGACATATTTGCGTATTTTTCTACTTGTTTTCAAGTCTTTTTCAAATCTAATTTCTCGCGTTATCTGAAATTTGGGAAGTATAGAGAGTAAAAAGCTTCGGTCACAGTATAATGAATGAATATACAGTAGAGCCACTCCATTGAATTTTTTTGTGCCACGCAAATCTTGTTACGCATGTGATTACCATAGTGGCAGCCCGTCAATTGCTTTTTTTGACCAATAGGAATGATGAAATGGCTAACGGCAGCCTGTAATCTAATTAAATATACAGCAGCCAGTAGCACACGAAGTGGACCTACAGTATATCCTATACAGTGCTTCATTCTAGTCGGCTTCCTTTGATGTTGTCGGGGATAAAAATAGAGCAAGTTTTATTTCCATCCGATTTTTGAGACTGACGGACCGACTGTCGGATGCTCACTCTAAACATGCTCACACGATCCGTTTTTGGGGATTCGAAAAATTGGATCGTGTGAACGGGACTAGTGGGACAATATTTACACAATTTCCCTGAAGTCATACCCACCACTTGCACACATGTATATTCAATCCAAAGTTTGCACAATAAGTAAAAATAAATAATACGTTTCGGAATAAAATCCACACAACTATGGATTCTTTCACTAACTTTCCACGAGTTAATGCTTAAATAGGCTTGTAAACATAAGATACTTAATCACTAATCAATTTGAAGCCATGCTATAATTTATTAGTATAGTTTTGAAATAGTTTTCAAATTTGCAAGATGATTGGTTGTCAAAAACAATGACAACGTCACGTTTCAGCTATTAGTGAGTTTACGAAACTTCATATTTTGACGACGACGCTGGGAGTTAATGCTAGTACGCATGCTTCTTGACATTTTGGCTGCTTCCTTTGGCGATGACGCCGTAAAATCGTCTTCTTTGGACGCGTCCTGCATGTTCAAGATGGCGGATGAATATCAAAATACAAAAAGGTAGGAATCGAACAGTTTTAAGTGTTTAAAGCATTTTTTACCAATAAGTTATTGTTATGTTCAGTTTGTACTGAGATAAGGGCAAATTATTTAAGACAGAGTACTAAATCGATTTTTTTTCAAATATTACCACTCAACTAATATTTCATTATACTTTTATATCACACGAAATATTATATATTTATAATTAGTTTATTTATTTGGTTTTCTTAGCATCCTTAGTTATTTTTGTAATTTTAGCAAAAAAGCAATGACTTCGACAAATGAACATAATGAAATTCTAGTTCGTGAAATGTACTTATTCAAACCATGGAACTTAAAAAAGGATGACAGCGACGAGGTAATGCATGGGAAATGATCAGTGATTCCTTAAATGATATGGATCGCCCAAAGTTTAACGTGACGCAAAAGTCTGCTGAGACCACTACTTTTTACTTCAAAAACAACAAAAGAGAAGATTAAGGGAGGAGGAAAAAGCTTCTGTGATCTCTCCAGAGCCATCTGCAGTAGAAACTTCCATTGAGGAAATTATTCACTTGTTCAGAAATAGAAATAGAGATGAAGAAGAGAAAATTTTGGAAGAGAAACAAAAACAAAACTCTGTTGCAGAAGTAGAAAAGGCTGTGGAAATGAGACAACAGTCAATGGAATTATTAGCTGAAACTTGCAAAAGAAAATCTCAAAGTACACAAACAAACAAACAAACAACATTTATATACCGGCCAGTATTAATCCCCGCCAGGGGGGTTGACCGGTCCATGAATTTTTCCACGCCACACATCTCTATCTCTCGCCATATCTCTCGTTATACCCATCGCCTTCATATCACTGTTAAAATCTCAAAGTAAAGATGGTGAAAAACCTTAAAGAAGAATGTCATCCAATGGAAGTGAAATCATTTCCTATTTACAACAAAAGTCAAAAGTTGATGCAGACTTTTAAAGAGAAGAATTGATGTTGAGAATAGCTGAAGCTGATGAAAGAAAACAACAACAAAACAAAAACATTTCTCAGCAGGAAGCTCTCACTAAAGCATTAACTGACAGCATTACTGCTCAACAAAGGCAGCAAGAGCAACTAATGCATCAACTGCAACTTAAAAACACTGCTTTACTAACATTGATGCAGAATATTGTTAAAGAAGACTGAAATGTTTTGTTAAAACAGTGCATATATTTTTGCTTGAGAGTAGACTAAACCTTTCTCACATAGACAATTTACTGTTATTGATATTATAAATGAAACATTCATAAAGTTATCCATAACAAGAGTATATTTGAGTGATGATAAAAAATGTTCCTGATGACTTAACTCTGTCCATTAAACAATTAGTATACTTGATAAGATTGAATATTTTTGAACTTTTTACACAAAATATTCATGTATAGATGGAGGTTGAAGTTCAAAAAACTGTGAGGTCGTAGATCCACAAAAACAGCATCTTGCATTATGAAATAAGGTAAAAGAAGTGTACATTTCCCCTGCTACACTAAGTTGTACTTTTAGGTTCTTTTTGAAGTCAAAGAATTTAAAATAATTAACTATTTCCCCGAAAATCCATTCGACAAACACTCTTACACTGCTCATTGCTTTGTTTCATTGTTGTTGTTGAGGAGTTATTCTTGCTCCTTTCAATGGGCATTGTAGTTGAGGTCGATGAGGATAGGCAGGGTCACAATAATAGCAAACAGGAGTTTAGTTGTTCAAAGGATCCAGATGCTGAAGCTTGTTATATAAACTGGATTGGGCAAGCATCGTGCTGTCATGGCGTCTACTCTCCACAGGACCAAAGAGATTAGCCATAAGACCATTTGGAACAGCAACTGACTGAAATTTTATGGCATGAACTCTTTTATGGCCATTATAAAGAACTCTTTGATTTTGACCAGGTTCAGAAATTGGAAGTACTGTCTCATCGACAAAACGAAAAAAATTTCTAAGGCACCACTCTTCTGAAACACTGCATTACAAAATTCTTGAATGTTGCTTGAAGATAACCATGTTTGATCAAATGTTAACAGCAAACGGTTCCATTCCATGTATAAAAAGTTTATGACAGCATTACTGATCATACAGAGTTGAGGGACTGGTCTACCAAATCTTGGCAACATATCTAGGTATCGACAAGAGTAGGCAAAACGTTTCAAAAATATGTACAATGCCTCAACTCTATCAACCTTAAGGCCGTTATAAGATGTAATAAATTGTGGAAGCCTCAAGGCATCCACAAAAGTGTAAATGTGTGTTTTTTTTAAAGCAAAATTCTGTTTTACACTCCTCGTCGCTTAATTTATCTAAATCAAACTCTTCGTATTTCCAATAAGGCAAATCCGGACTGTTAGCAGTATATAAGTTGAAATGCAAAATAAAGTCTTCGTCGTCGATTGATTGATCCGAATAAGACATAAAACGACGCTCTCGAATTGCTCTCCATTTCGGCCTTTTTTGTTTTTGAATTTTTTTGAAAGCAATGTTTTCTGATTTATATTCCCCCCATTTTTTTTCTGCTGAGGCGGCGTTGTACATTTGCTTAAACTAAAAATGCGCTTGCGCCGGCGTTGTGAAAAGCAAGATGTCGCCTTCACAAAAAGCCGTGCAACGTAAACTCTCTTTTATGCGCGTGGAGGAGTGGACTATAGTGGCCAATTCTCGACACGGATGGAAAACAAAAAAAAAAAAACACAGGGAACTTATAACTCTGTAAGTATACCCTAGGGGTTCCCGGAGTAATAAAGAAACCCATCTAGCTATTTAATTGTGAATTCTGTTTTTCAACTGGTTCAGTGAACTTGTATATGAATTTGCTTTGCAAATACATATTGTATTTTAATTATTGTTGAAGATGTTGATGGTTTATCATTGGATTTCTCAAGTTAGTGACAAGAAAGTTTCTAACGCGAGGGAAAGACGGTTTCTGTTACCACTCAACGACATAAATCGTCAGGCACTAAGGCTTGTAATAACGCTAGTTTCGTGATTTGAACTTTAGGGCGAAAGATTTACTCTTGTCAGTCTGAACAGTCGAGCAAGAGGACTTTCTAAACTAGCCCTCGAAGTGCAGTGGTTTCAAAGGACTTGCCGAAGTACGTCAGTAAGCGTCCTTTAATAACAAAAGATCCCGAGGCAACCATGTGATTAGACGCTACGATAGTTCGAAATGGCGACAATTCTGACGTGGAAAACATCAAAGATAAGAAACTTTGCACTGCATAATCATGAAAATGCACGAGAATTAACAAATGCCTCGAAGACTCGACAAAAAAAGCAAACAAGAGGCCAAAATATGACTGAAAACGTGTTTTGGAGGAAGACAGGTAAAATATAGTGCATCATATGTCAACGAAACAATGTCAATCGCTTTCAAATAATGAACTATTAAAGTGAGTTAAGTGTTCTTTTTCGTCTCATGTGATATTTTTTTTGAAAATATGAAAATGCAATCTCTGAGTATTTTTCAACTTATGCCAAATTGATTTTTCACCAGAGATAATGCATGTTAATTTTCTCAGTAAATATTGATCTTAAGCTTCTTTTTTCCTTCAATGACCATGCGGCGTTTAAATTGAACCTTATAAACATGTTAAGCTCTTCAGAAAAGTAATTTACTTTTGTATTTGGAAATTAGAGCTTTGTTCACACTGCCATTTCAGGGGGCTGTCGATTTCTAGACTTTGATCCCGGATTGAGAAAATGGCGCATATGCCATGTTGTTCATCATAGACATTTTACCCAAAAACATTTGAGATTACTTCCGGCTAAATGAAGTGCATACAAACTTTATTGAGGTACTTTACTATTTTCAAATTAAAATGCAAAGTGCTTTTGTTCATCTAGCGTTTGGCTCTCATGTATAGTTGCTTGCAACCAATGCTCAATATCGCATAAATGAGCAGCTCGTTTTGGTCACTCCTCAGAGTTTTCACTGTGCATGTATATCGTGGTAGATACATATGACTGCGTCAATGGAGACTACGCTCTACACTTTGTAACCGTAACGCTCCGTATGTGTCTCTCTCCGGCATCGGTCAAAACGCGATAACAATATTCTCAGCTTGAAATTAAATACATTGAAGCTCATAGCTGTGTAAAATTATTAATATTTAAATGCAAAGTTCTAGTTTTGCATATGAATTTTTTGAAGTGGCTCATCGCCAATAAATTTACGACAAGTTTTTTGCTGCCAAAGTGAATTTATAAGAAAACATCAAGACTATTTAACATACTAAACAAAACATCGACCACTTCATGGACTCAATTCTTCTCTTAAACAGTTAATCTCTCGGGACTAAAGAACCCATAGAGCGCACGTGATCATGCTTGTGATTCTACACTCCAACCTATAAACGGAAACTTCTTGTTAGTTCTAAGCAATAGAGATAGGTAACCATGCAACCATGGTAACATGATTTGCCAGAAACAGTACATCGAGAAAGAAAGTGAATTTGTAGAAAAGGTCAAGAAATTCGTTTGGGAGGAAACACTTGTAAACGCTGCCGAAATTTTACTCTTGCTTTACAATTTTATCGCGATAACTATTATTTGTATCTTCAGTAATTTAATGTTGCTCATTTTTTTCAGTGAACCCACGCAAAAATATTTACCTGGAAATTATATTTTTCATTGTATCCTACGTATTATGCACCGAAATTACAGCATTTGCAAAGCAGCACTGTTTAACTCTTAGTGGAGTGAAACAGCAGTTGACATACGCTAAAAGAATAATTGATGATGTCAAGGCAGCCTACTGAAGGGTTTCTCTGGAAACATAAACAGTAGTTAGTGCAGAAGATCTAATGGTTGATGATTTTGCTTCATTTCTTGCTGTAATAATTAATGTGATGTACTCCAAACAAACTACAACATCTTTAATTAAGGATATATTTCAAAAAACTTATGCTATCCTCTGCACATTGTGAGAAAATTTATTGCTTCTATATAAATATCCGGTCATTACAAGTTTAAGTATTAAGAATATAAACTACAATAATAGGCATGCAAAAAATACTGAAAAATTAAAAACATTATTAAGATGGTAATTGGTAAATTTTTTTCTTAACACCAAGTACAATTTTATGATTTTGTCTCAAATCGACTCTAAGTCAGATTCATCTCTAACTTTTTCTGAATTTCAACTGCATTGTATATTTATTTGCTTTTTGGTTTATTTGACCAGTAAATGTATGTTATAGTGAAAAGAGATGTGCAATAAAAGTTTTAAAATGTTTGAATAAAGTTAAATACGAAAGTTATAAGCACAGATATATCCGTAGGCGTACAAGTCAATAAAAATTACTTTGGGGGGCAGAAATAAATATTGCCCGGCATTTTTCTCTTAGTTGCCAACATTTTTTGAAATTTGTTCAAAGTTGCTCGAATTTTCTAATTACTGCCGAAATTATCGAGGAAGGACAGTTGTACCATTTCCAGCTGAGTCATATACACCTATGGATATATCAAGTTAACGTAAAGTTTATACATATAAAGTTACATTGTTACGGATTTGACACTAAAATAAGTCCATGCAAGATCACATGTTTATGACGGCGAGTACCAACTACAATTTTCTAATTTTAGATGCCTTAATGCATCGTTTAGTCTAAATACCAAATAGAAAATTTCATCATTGTCTCCTTCATGTGAGCAAACTCCGTACCCGAGAGCTATTTCTTTTTCTGTGAGTTTATCATTGAAATATATCAGAATTCCAGAATCTCCCTTTTTAAGAAAAGGATGTTTGCATTTAATGGTGATGGCATTCCTAAAGATAACGCGATTTGTTTGTGGGCTTCTATATGAGTAGCTGATGTCTAATATCTCTCCTTGTACGCCTCCAAAGCATTTCCGAACCTTAGCACCTCCATTCCTTATTTGATTACCAACTCTGTCCCACAATCTTCTCCAATCAGGCTCCTCAATGAATGAATGGTGGCCATAAATCATTTTAGCGTCGATTACTTTAATGGCCATGATATCAGTGGTTTTGCTAAATGAATGACAACAACCAGCCCCAAGCTGTGTTATTTTACCAACAAGAGGAACATAATAATATTCATTTAAATCTTCAATTTCTCCAGTGGAAATTTGGTCGTATGTTTGCATTACCTCTTCCCAGTCCTCATGAAAATTAAATTCGTTACCAGCCACTTGCCGTTCAGTGATGCAGGCATTGTGAAAACAAGTCAAAGCGTAATATTCCTCATCTCCACAGCAAAACATTGTGACTTCTCCTTTCATTCTTAATTCCCGTTCAACTTTATTGTTTCCTCTGGTGGGATTTTGGTCGTTTTCCTTTCTTACTACTTCAAGATTTGACAACCATTGAAATTGCGATTTCTTTGGTTCAGGTTTAAATTCAAAGTAAGGAGAAGCTTTCCATCCAAAATTTTCATCAATTTCTTTTCTTAAGGCACCTTCATCATTGTGTCTTTCTGCTGCCACCGTCACATACAAAGAAAGATAAGGTTTCCATCGTACACCATATCCACCACGAATCCAAGAAAATCTATATAAAACGTTATTCAGTCTAGTTAGACACATAATGCAAACCACCAAATTTCAATACATATAAATATATTCTTTTATTTTATGTTTTATATTGTATTCTCATTGATGGAAAGCCTTTAAGAACATGCAGTCATCTGTACTAGGCCCGGAAAAATTACCGTGTTTGTAGGTGAAGATGAAAAATAAACGTCAACATTAATGAGTTATTCACCAAAATTCAGTGCATAAACTTCTATTTCATTTTTAGTAAATGTAGATATTTGTAAAGTGTGAAAAAGATCTATACGCACTTTTCTAATACATCATGAACGTCATCACGAATGCCGTAGTATTCGTCAAGAAAATTTTCGACAAAGAAATCGTCATTTTTTTCCCCATCATGTCCAGGAAGTGTGTCAGGTTTCTTCATTTCGGTGTTAGTATCCACAGTAAGATCTGAATCTTTCATTTCTTTCTCTGTACCGTCAATTTTTGTGGCTATAATTAAATCAATTACGAAATTTTATTAAATTTTACGTTGATAATATGATTGATCATCTAAATACACATGATCAAATGTTTTCTCACTTAGCACCTATCGCAAAACTGCCTATATTCAAAGCGAGAAATGAGGTTCATCAGATGTTGTTAAAAATTACTTATAAATAGTGTGATGAAGGCCAATGGTTGGAAATGAAGTTATATCAGAGACCTTATTTTAATATAATATTGAATTCAGAATAAACAGTGGGCCAGGTAGAGACACTTTTCCCGCAATGTTTCCTGAAAAATATTTCAATCCCTCTCATCAATCCTTAACGTAGAATCATCGAAAAATTAGTTGTTTAATCTGTTGTGGTCACTCGAAAACTGCTTTCTTCTTTATGGTCTCAAATGTTTTAATGCGTAAGGTGTGCCAAACGTCTAAGAAGATAACCTATACCTATATAAATCTTTCCATAGAAACCTTTTAATTCATTAATAATAGAAACTGCATGTAAAATATGACCTAGTCAAATTTTTAATCTTTAACATCATAAGTTAAATCGTTAAAAAAACTTATAAATAGCTACCTTGATTTCTGTTTTCTTCAGCATGTAAAATTGAACTTTTAACAAACTCTTCTGTTCCTAAATCTAAACAATAATTTGTACAATATGATATGATTCCCAGCATGCGGTAATTTATGATAAAGGAAATATATTTCTTGTGCATGAAAACATATTCCACGCAAAAGTACGATTTGATTATTTTAAAATCCCAAAATTCATAACGGTAAATTGCTACCTGTACAATTTATTACGCTACATAAATTTGTGTTTAGAAATACTATCATATGTTTCAAGAAAATATCTTAAGATTTAAATAAAAAATTTGTAAAACTGATGTCCTTTCAAAGTTGGAAATCTTTTGATTGTAAATTTTTATTTACCAAAAGTGCTGAACAATAATAGTTAAACACTGCATACAAGATTGTCTGCTTACCTGGCAACAATTTGACACTGTTGATAAATTTGCATGAGTTCACTTCCTTGGCAATTTCTTCAGCAGACGAATAGAATTTGCCAATTCTATGTTTTAAAGCTCGTTTGAACAAATTTTCTGCTTTGTCGTTTTCTCCAGTTGCAAAGCAAACGAAAATCAAATTTTGGAAGACTGTAGCTTTGTAGAACTGATCGGGAGGAAATGCTTTTGTTTCGACTTCTAAAGCTTGTCCAAGATAATGTTTTGCATTGTCATATTCTTTCAATTTAATGAAAGCACAACCCAAGTTGTTGAACGTTGCAGCTGTATCAATAACTTCAGCTTTAGCACCAATATCTAAAGCTTTTTGTAGAATATCTTTTGCTTCATTGTACTTTTCCAATTTCATGTAAACCAAACCCAAGTTGTTGCACATTGCAGCAACATATACGTGGTCAGAACCAAAAGCTTTCGTTTGAATTTCTACTGCCTGTTCGTACGATTCTTTTGCTTTGGCGTATTCTCTCATGGTGAGATGAACTGAACCTAAGTTGTTGTACGTTGTAGCTGTGTTGCCATGGTTATAACCAAAAACTTTTATCTGGATATCTAAAGCTCGTTCGTAAAGTCGTTGAGCTTTTTTATAAAGTTTTTCAGAAAAGTAAGCCCAACCTAGGTTGCTGCACGTTGTTGCAATATCGACATAATCATGACCAAATACTTTAGTTTGAATTTGTAAAGCTCGTTTGTACAAATCCTTTGCTTCTTCATGCTCTCCCATTTTAAGATGAACCCTACCTAGATTGTTGTAGGTTGTTGCAATAGCAACATGATCAGAACAAAATACTTTAGTTTGAATTTCTAAAGCTCGTTTGTACAAATCTTTTGCTTTATCATGCTCTCCTATTGCAGAATAAATCCTACCTAGGTTGACTTGTGTTGTTGCAATATCAACATGATCAGAACCAAATACTTTACTTTGAATTTCTAAAGCTTGTTCGTACAAATCTTTTGCTTTATCATGCTCTCCTATTCCAGCATAAATCCTACCTAGGTTGACTTGTGTTGTTGCAATATCAATATGATCAGAACCAAATACTTTAGTTTGAATTTCTAAAGCTCGTTCGTACAAACGTTTTGCTTTGTGATGCTTTCCAACTTTAGCATAAACCCTACCAAGGCTGTTGTAGGTTTGTGCAATACTATCATGACCGGAATCAAGTGTTTTAGTTTGAATTTTTATAGCTTTTTCGTTCAACTCTATTGCTTTTTCGTACTTTCCCATGTCACAGTAAACCAAACCCAGGTATTTGTATGTTAAAGCCATGTCAATATGGTCAGAACCCAACACTTTAGTTTGAATTTCTAAGGCTTGCTCGTACAAATCTTTTGCTTTGTCATACTCTCCAATTGTAGCATAAACTCTTCCTAGGTTGTCATACATTTTTGCACTATAAACATGGTCAGAACCCAACACTTTAGTTTGAATCTCTAAAGCTTGCTCGTGCAAATCTTTTGCTTTGTCATACTCTCCAATTGTAGCATAAACTCTTCCTAGATTGCTATGCATTATTGCACAATAAACATGGTCTGGACCCAGCACTCTAGTTTCAATGTTTAAAGCTTTCTCGTACAAATCCTTTGCTTTATCGTACTGTCCCATATCATAATAAAGCATAGCCAGGTCGTTGTATGTTGTCGCATTATTAACGTTATCAGAACCAAGTACTTTAGTTTTAAGATTTAAAGATTGCTGGTAAAAATCTTTTGCTTTTTTGTACTCTCCCATGTCATGATAAATGCTTCCCAGGCTGTTGTATGTTGCTGCACTCTCAATATGATCAGGACCAAATGCTTTATTTTGAATTTCCAGAGTTCGTTCGTAGAAATCGTTTGCTTTGTCATACTCTCCCATGTTTTGATAAATGCTTCCCAGGGCGTGGTATGTTGCTGCACTCTCAATATGATCAGGACCAAATGCTTTAGTTTCAATATCTAAAGTTTGTTCGTACAAATCTTTTGCTTTGTCGTACTCTCCCATGTCATGATAAATGGTTCCCAGGGCGTGGTATTTTGCTCCACACTTAATATGATCAGGACCAAATGCTTTAGTATAAATTTTCAGAGCTCGTTCGTACAAATATTTTGCTTTGTCGTACTGTCCCATGTTTTGATAAATGCTTCCCAGGTTGTGGTATGTTGCTGCACTCTCAATATGATCAGGACCAAATTCTTTAGTATAAATTTTCAGAGCTCGTTCGTACAAATCTTTTGCTTTGTCGTACTCGCCCATGTCATGATAAATCCTTCCCAGGTTGTTGTATGTTGGTGCGATATCAATATGGTCACGACCAAGTACTTCAGTTTCAATTTCTAAAGTTTTTTCATACAAATCTCTCGCTTTGGTAAATACATTCATGTCTTGATAAACTAAGCCTAAGTTGTACGAAGTTATTGCAATTTTAATATGGTCAGCACCAAACACTTTTGTTTGAATTTCTAAACCTCGTTCATACGAATCTTTTGCTTTGTTGTACTCTTTCATGTAGTGATAACTTAAGCCCAAGTTGCATAACGTTGTTGCAGTATTGATATGTCCAGGACCAAACACTTCAATTTCAATTTTTAAAGCTTTTTCGTACGATTCGTTCGCTTTGTGGTATTCTTCTCTGCTATAATATAGTCCACCAAGGATGTTAAATGCTATTGCATTAATTAGTTCTTTATACAGAGCTTCCTCGAGTTGCTCCTTAAAACCTTTGTCGGAAACCTTATCAAAGTTTATGTTCTTTGTTCGATCATTGATATTTTTCAGATCAAATGTTTTAGTCGTATTTTCTAAAGGTCGCTTAATGCTATAACAAACCATATTCAGGTTGTTTTATGCTAACACGGATTCAATCTGGTCAGCAAGACCTAATGGCTATTCGTTTCAGTTTTCTGTTTTGTCGAGAAAAAACACACCTGTATTAAAACAAGATGGAGAACTATTAAAAATTTGTAAATTTATATGACTTGTATAAAGTGCTGATAATAATAATTTCTTACAATAAAAAGTTTGCTTGGTGGGTTTGTTAATCATTGACAGTTAATCAGCCTTACGGCAAAACTTGCAAAAGAAAATTTTAATTTACAGCTTGCTAAATAGGCTTTAGGAGAGTTAACGTTTCATGCAAGGTGAGAAATCTGTTGTAATGAAACTTTTCGATTATTTCTCAAATCAAAGAGGTCGTTGCTTATATTGAAATATAAATAGATAGGCAAACAAATAGTCAGGAAGGTAGATTCATAAAAATTACTTCGCAGCCCAAACGCTGAATTACGTTATTGTTTACAAGTTATTTCACATTTCAATATTCAAAATTCTAGTTCTAACTCTAATTGTATACAAAAATGCTAATATACTTTTAAGATTCGTAATTAAATCTACTACACATAGCAATTAAAAGTGAACCTATTTTAATCCGATTTTATTGCAATAAAGTATAGTGTTGCCACTGAAATAGTTTAATTCAGGTTACACTAAACTTCATGCATCTTTTCGACGTCATAAGCCGTGAGTAAGAGCATGTTGCCCATAATTGGTGATAAACGACAATTTTTTGTGAAGATTCATGATGTAAGTTGTTTTACTAATGTGAAGTATATACGATAATATACTTTCTATTATTGCTGACACAATACTTGTTAAGACATATTAAAAACATAGTCATAAATTACAAAAAAAAATTTACTTATAAAGACATTTATCTCTATCTCATCCTGTAATAGTCGAATATTAATTAGTCCCCTGTATATAATTAGCATATATACTATAGGCAATAAATATAGACTGGAGGCTTTGCAGTGTTGCCAGATTATGAACAATGTTCATGAATTTATGGACTTTTGATTTTTATTTTGAATTTTTGCGAACAAAAAGAATTTGTGAGCATTTCATGAACTTTTACTAAAAATTAAAAACTTTTTATGAATTTATCAGTTATAAAGGACAAGGTTGTTTACAATGAATATACACTGGTTTAGAGATTCGAGACAAAGCATAATTCATTCTTCAATGTTGATGTGAAGAGAATTTTTTCTTCTGTGAATGCAATCAAAACTAAAGTAAGAAATAGGTTGAACACAAAGTCAGTCTGCAGTATTCTAAAAGTTAAGCAAGGAGTGAAAGAGTCAGGAGGCTGTGTCAAATATTCTTCTTCGACCAATGCTTTATGTCATATGACACCCGAGTTCTTTATGCTCAAGACTCTGACTCAAGCGACAAATCTGAATCGAACTAAATAGTTGTTTTTCATAGTTATTTTTTTGAGTTATTTTGTACAAATAAGCAGTGTGCGTCATTATAAATTTACGTGTGATTTAGCTTATTTCATTCATTTGGTGCAAATTATGCAATTTTTGTTGATTTGTGATCATTGAAGAATATTATGTGAACTTTTGAGCATACCGACATGAACTTATTTATAATTCATCTGGAAACACTGAGGCTTCGAGCCCTCCGGTTGTTGTGTATAGATCTCATTACATGGTGGCAGCGAATCCTAAAATTTTCAAGCAATCCTGCGTTATAAAGACGATTACCGTAACAGAATAGCTGCAAGAAGGCTTAAAAATTTTTTTTCAGTAAACATTTTTCTATTTATTATAGAAAATATGAGTCAACTAAAACCTCCCGACCCTCTTGTTTTCACAAAAGCTGACACTTGTTTGCGAGATTGGAAGAGACGATTTGAACGATATCGAACAGCAACTAAATTGTTCGAAGAAGACGAACACATCCAAGTGAGCACACTTATTTATACTATGCCTGAAAGCGAATATGTCTTTACACAGTTTGAACTAAGCGAAAAGGACGCAGGAAATTATTCACTTGTGGTTGGAAAATTCGACGGACATTTTAGACCCGAGAAAAATGTCATTCATGAACGAGCGATGTTCTACCAAAGATTTCAACAGACTGGCGAGTCAGCTTAGTCCTACATACGAAGTCTTCACGTGATGGCCGAATGCTGTGATTTTGATCTAGCAAAAGATGATTGTATTTGTGATAGATTAGTGAATGGCGTTCTTGATAAAGACCTATCAAAACGGTTACAGTTGAGAGAATATTTCACCCTTTGCTGAAAATAGTAAGATCATTAGACCAGCGGAAATTATAAAAGGTCAATTATAGACGCAAAATGAAACAGTGAAATCTATGGAAGACGTTGCAGAAGAAAAAATTCAAAGCAACATGGAGAAGCTTATCATCAAAAAAGAAGACGTGATTGGAGTCAGTCGAAAAAGAATCAAAAAGAATGCACTCGTTGTGGCTTGAAACATGGAACTTCATGCCCGGTAAAAGCCGCCAAGTGTAAGAAGTCCAGAAAGATTGGCCATTATGAAAGATGGTGTCGAACAAAGCAGTTAACCAAGATATGTTGCGGATATGGTAAAGAGCCTGAGTCTTTGGAAGGAGAACTTTTCATTGGAGCGATATCTGGCAATAAATCTAATCCAAATCACTCGGGATGGTATGTCAAGTTGCCTGTAAATGAGTATGCTGTGAAATTCATGATAGATTCTGCAGCTGACGTGTCGATCATGTCGCAGAGTACTTACGAAACGATGGCTAAACCACCGGATCTGCGAAGCAGTGCACATAAACCCAAAGGCGATGATGGAGCATTAAAGTGTAGGGGACATATATAGCCCATAAAAAATTCCACGGGAAAGCGTACACGTTTGAGATCTATGTCACTGATTCCGAAAGTAGTTTACGCAGCAGAACGATGGCAGAGAAAATGAATCTAATAAGATTCGAATTCCACGAATTACAAAAGAGAAAACAGTTTAGGTTAGTGAAAGGGGAAAATTTCCAGATACAATTGAAAGAAAAGGCTACTCCATTTCATTGTAACACCACTAGAAGTTACCAATACCACTTATCCCAAAAGTTAAACAAAAACTGAAACGAATGCAAGAAGCTGGTATCATCGAGAAGGTTACAGAGCCAAAAGACTGGTGTTCACCCATCATAGTAGTTCCAAAACATTGTGGTGATGTTCGAAAAAGTGTGGATGTCCGGCAGCTTAATCGGGAAGTTCGTCAGGAAAGATACGTCCTACCAACAATTGAAAATATAGTTACTAAGTTGGATGGTGCAACAGTCTTCACTCATCTAGATCTTACCTCAGTATACTACAATCTCCCACTTCATCCAGACAATACTAGATTAACAAACTTTATCACACCATTTGAAAGATATTGTTTTAAGCGTCTCCCGTTTGGAATTTCCTTTGCTAGTGAGATCTTTCAGCACCATATTAATGAGACATTGGAAAATATTAAAAGAGTAGAAGCATCCAAAGAGGATATCGTAGTTGCAGGTTGCACTATGGAAGAGCACGATGTAAAGTTGAAGAAAGTTCTGATGCTATCAATGAAACTGGTTTGAGGCTTAAGCTGGAGAAGTATGTGTGGAGACAAACTGAAATTGCTTTCCTAGGACACAGATTTGGAAAAAACAGTGTGCGTCCAGACCCAGTAAAGGTGAAAGCTATTGTTGACATGCCTGGACCGACAAATATCAACGATATCCAGCAATTCGTGGGATGATTAATTACGTTGGATGATTTATTCAAGATTAAGCAACCATGATAAATCCGATGAATGATCTCATAAAAAAGAATACGCAATGGATATGGGGTCCAGCACAATAGAAGCATTTTGCAAAGTAAAGGAATCTCTTGTTTCAGCAGTAACAATTAGCATATATTATTAGGCAATAAATAGACCGGAGGCTTCGAGCTCTCCGGTTTTTGTGTATATATTTCATTACAACTCTAGTTGGTTCTTGGTGTTGACTATTGTTTTGATGAAGCAAAAACTTCTTTTAAAGATTTTCGACAACATATTTTTTGTGAAAAAAATGTTATGGTATATAAACAGTAAAATATGTTGAATATTTCCAGCAAGAAAACTGCAAGGCTAAAATTATATTCATATTTGATATTGCTAAAAGTTTCATACGACTCTTAGTTAAAAGCTAGTTATTTATATGGTGTCGTTATTCAAATAATTGTCATTCAGTCACAAGCCCCGAATTTGACATTCATTGTCAAGACAAGGGCATTGAGTAAAAGTTACTAAGCAAATAATTTAATTTTTTGAATTTTCATATGCCAAGTTGAATAGTACTATATCTTATGAATTAAAGTATTTAAAGATAAAAATATTCACGTGATTATATAAAAAGGACTGAGGACAACAATATACATAATTTTTGTATTGTGGATACGGTTTTCTCTTCTGAAACTGTTATGTTTTATAGCATGTAATATATATAGACATAACAATTTTAACAAACTTTTAAGAGGTTACTTTTTTGTCTCTCAGGAAACAAACTGTGTTTGTTACAGTCTTTTAGACTTCTTTTAAAGATCATCAATATTTTTGTAATTTTAAGGAGCTTTATGGGGGATGATCAATATTTTAAGAATATTATGGTCACCCCAAAAATATTTAAAAACATTTAAAAACAAAAAACTGGCCAAAAATAAATTCATAAGTGTCATACGATTTTTAATATAGCGATTTAGATTTAGAATCTTCATATGAAACCATTTCATTTTAAAACGAATAATCGTTTTTTTCAGTAAATGTTCAATTGTCGTGAACAAAGTTTGATGCATAACACCTATATAGGCTATATAAAAATAGTAAACTCTTGGAAATCGTTATTTAAAACAAGACGAGTGCAGACAGAGCAACAACTTTTAGTTGATCAAAGTACTTTTCTGGTACAGCTGGCAATGAAATTTTAAAAAACGCATGATGTTTTTTACAGTGAAATATCCGCTGTTAAAAGTTCTTCAAAACAAGCCTTGCACACAAAAAATAATCATCGGACAAATAACTTAACCAACCTGAGTTTAGGTATGAACTGTGCTGTACAAGCTATCAAAATTTCAAGCAATTTAGGACAAGTGATGGCCAACGTTATATTTTTATTGTCGTTGGAGTTTTGTCCTCAAACTCGATTGGAAAAATAAAATTTTTTCGATAAAAAAATACAAGTAAACAGAACAATCACAGACTTCAAAAAATGCTTTGACTTCAAATTATTATAACGCTTGCATTCTCAAATTTTTTTCCTCTTTTCAAGGCATCAATAACATATATGTTAATTAAAATCTATTCGTACGTTAAACCCTGTATAAATCCCAGCATTTGATTTCAATACAAACGCAACATCACTAACTCACCCTTAATGTCGACAAAGATTTATACTGCCATACTTTGTGATCAAGTTTAATGCTTGTTTGTCGTTTATCTTTCACCTTTTCTAATGATGATGAATTAAACTTCCCATTTCCCTGACAAACTTTAAAAGAAAAACACTTTATAAGCATCTTTCACTTTTCTCTGTGATTTATCAAACTGCGCAATGGAATTTAAATCCTCCTAAGAATACATTGTTATGTAAATCAAAGATACACCTTATGATTTTAATTGTTTTTGTTCGTGATAGCTTTGATGTATAATGTAAGCAAATTTACAAAAAGTTTCAAAAACTTTATTTTCCTAATGCATTGTTACAAAATGCATGGTTTTCTTTCTATGAAGCGGATTCTATAAAACGTTTGTCTATGTCTTCAGTACTTTTATATTCTAGTGTTCTAATTGTATTAACCCAATTGCACAACACAGGAAGATTGAACGCAATAGAATGACAGCAATTAAACAATGATCATAGTGAAAATATTCCAACCTTTCAATGTAAAGCTCAATTCAGGTTGCACTAAACGTCACATGTTTTCAAAATCATAAAATTCGAGTGATTGTTGCCCACATTCCCAAAGATTTAATTATGTTAGAAATTGGTTTAATATTAAATATTTTTTATCACAATATTAAAGTGATAAGTGACATTACAGTGATAAATGATGATTATTTTCTTTTAGTATAGTTAATTAATACGATGATGTTTTCTTTTTTAAAACATTTATATTTTCAAACCATACTTTTTATGAAAAAAGACATTTTTCACATTTTCTTTCTAGATGTTCATTTTTGGTCTCAGAAGGCAGGTTATACTTTTTTGTCTTTTAAACTTCTTTCAAAGATTATCAAATCAGTTGAAAACATTCATTATAAAAAAACGGCCAAAAATATATTCAAGGCGCTAAAAGTTTCATATGCTTTTTAAAGTACCAATAATTCAAGGTATGTTTGGTGTCGTCATAATTCGTCAGCAAATATGACTTAAAATATTTTCGTTCATTTTTATAGTTCGTACTATTGATGATGACTTAAACCACCGGGAATCGACTCAGCATCATTTTTTTTCTTAAGATGAAGTATTCCCATAGTCTTATAAAAAACAAAGCCATTGACATAGTCTGTTTTAGCGAAGGTTTCTTTAACGTATCGCTATGGCAACAAACGCTGCGATTAAAAAAACATTCCGTAAAAATTATTACTCAATTCTCAACCGCAATTATTTACATTGTGAAAAGCTGCAATTTCATCTACCTACAGAAAATTGAGTAAATTATCTCATGGCTTACTCTGTTTTGCCATATCTACAACATAAAGCTTTAAAATTCCGACTAACTTGGGGTAAGGGTTTCATTGCATTATAATTACGTATGGTGTTGAAGGCAGAGAAACAACGATTTTAATGATTATAAAACATTTCCTAGTACTAAAATTTCTATCACCAGAAAACCCTTATTGCGGGCTATCTAATGGTGTAATTTATTTTACAAAAGCTTTAGTATTTAATGAGATATTTGTGATAAAACAATCACTTCCGGAAATATATAAGTTATTACAAAATTTTGCATAAATTTTCGCCGTCGACAACGAGTTAAAGTAATGTTCGATTGATAAATTATGTCATGCAGTAACATGCAAATTTAATTTTACCATGAAAGAATCTATTTTTATGTAAAGTATAAAAAACAGTTAATCATTTTTCATAATAAAATAAATAATAATGTTGATCTATATGTCGAATTGTCGTGAAAGAAATAAAATAAACAACAGTTCTGCTTAAAGTGAGTTTATATAACATTTAAAACAACTGTCAAGTAAGCAACCAAGAATAGCGAGAACGACGTCGTTTTCACAAAAACATTGCTCATGTCAAGACTTTTTATTGTTTCATAAGAAGTAAAAATTTAATTCCTTATCGACAACTTTGTCTTTCATGAATAATTTTTATTTCAATACAAACACAACGTTAATAACTCACCGTTTTTGTACAACGATATTTATTTATTGTTGTGTATTTTTTGTCACTTTATACTTCATGATTAGGTACATGTTTGTCCATCGTTATCTTAAACTTCACTTTCACAATAATCTTTGAAAATAAACTTTATACTTTGACCTTTACATTGATGTGACAAATTAAACTGCGCAACAGAATTAATTATTCTTAATGTTTTTAATTTTATTCATGCATTTTTCTTCTGTTTTGTGAGCAAATTATTAAGAAATATATAAGAACTTTAATTTTGCATTGCGCAAATTATAGCATGCTTGGTTAGAACTGTATAAAACGTTTTTTCTCTTCTCCAGTACTTCTATATTCATACGTTTTGATTATAAAGTCAATTTCGCAACACAGCAATAATTACCGCAGCAGTAACCATACACGTAATGTTCAAAATTGTGAAAATTCGAGCAATTGAACCAATGAATCGATATTAGCAGATATAGACTGCTTTAAACTGTGCATCTTTTGTGGATCATCTAAACCTCGTGTGATTTTTGATCATATCATTTCATATAAACTGTAATTTTTTGTAAAGATTTTCGTGAAGAATGGTTTACATACTTAAGCCAATCATGCATAAAAAGAGAACGACGACAAACACTAAAATGTTTTCTCTTTAAAATGAATACTTTGTAACTTAGTCTATAACTCTTGTAAATCAAAATTTTTTTATGTTGATAGAGACACTTAATACAAACTCACGTTTTATCCAGTGACTCAATTTGTTTCTTTCTGTAATATCACTGACTCACTTCCTCGTCTTAACTATATACATTATGAGCAAGGAAATGTATGTCCTCGATGGTTTAACAAATTTCGAATTCATGCACATTGTTAAGATAAAAGTGCACTTAACAATTCTCAAGTTGAAACAAACTATAGTTTTGGTCCGTATGTATATGCAATGCTTATGATTGAACATATTTTTTTGAACGAACTTTATAAATAACGAAAGAAACTGATTTATTTGTTGAAACTCTCAGCTTAATTTGAGTTGTGATTTTGAATTATAGCGAATTAATTTTTTGAGGAGACGTAGTTAGAAACACGTTTGCAATCTCGAAGTTTGTCACTTTGTAATGCATCAACTTTCATATGTCAGTGAAATTTTGTCTGACGACTTTGTGTCTTAATAAATTAACACTATTTCAAATTTCCAAATTTTACAGATCATAAAAACTTACCTTTTTTTGAAGACGATATTTCTTGTTCGTTTCAACCTCTTCTATTGATGATGAACTAATTCTTTACCTCAGATTCTAGACACGTTTTCTTGGAAGATGCGCTTAATGGCCAACCTTCATGCCGGTAAATGAGAAATTAAACTGCGCAATGGAATTTAAATAATCTGAAGAATGGATTGCTATGTAAAGCCATAATACACCTTGTGATTGTTATTGTATTTATTCATGATAGCTACTTTCGATTTGTAGTCAATATTATCAAACTCATCAAAAGATATAAAAATTTATTTTGCGATGTAAAATTACTGTTTTAGGACAAAATAGAACGTTTTTCCTTTTCTACGCGATGCTTCTATATATACATGTACTTTAAAGTCTTTGATTTTAACTCAGTTTGTACGTTGTAGCTGTGTTACCATGGTTGTAACCAAAAACTTTGTTTGGATATCTAAAGCTCGTTCGTCTCATGTCACAGTAGACCAAACTCAAATTTTTGTACGTTGTCGCTATACTAACATGGTCAGGTCCAAATGCTTTCGTTTGAATTTCTATCGCTCGTTCATAACAATCGTTTTGCTTTTTCGTAATTTCCCATGTCACAGTAATAAATAATAATGTTGACCTATATGTCGAATTGTCGTGAAAGATATATAATAAACAACAGTTTTTATAGTAATAAGGATAAACTAATATTGTCACGGAAATTTTCTGCTTAAAGTGAGTTTATATAACATTTGAAACAACTGTCAAGTAAACATCCAAGTATAGCGAGAACAACGTCGCTTTAACAAAAACATTGTTAATTTAAAACATTTTGTTGTTTTATAAGAAGTAAAAATTTAATTCTTTATCGACAACTTTGTGTTTTCATGAATAATTTTTATTTCAATACAAACACAACGTCAATAACTAACCGTTTTTGTACAACGATATTTATTTATTGTTGTATATTTTTTGTCATTTTATACTTGATGATTAGGTATGTTTGTCCAACGTTATCTTAAACTTTCACTTTTACAATAATCTTTGAAAATAAACTTTATACTTTGACCTTTACATTGATGTTGCAAATTAAACTGCGCAACAGAATTTAATTATCTTAATGTTTTTAATTTTTTTCCTTTCATTTTTGTTCTGTTTTGTGAGCAAATTATTAAAAAAATATAAGAACTTTAATTTTGCATTGCGCAAATTATAGCATGCTTGGTTAGAACTGTATAAAACGTTTTTTCTCTTCTACAGTACTTCTATATTCATACGTTTTGATTATAAAGTCAATTTCGCGACACAGCAATATTTATCCCAGCAGTAACCATACATGTAATGTTCAAAATTGAGAAAATTCGAGCAATCGAACCAATGAATCGATATTAGCAGATATAGACTGCTCTAAACTTTGCATCTTTTGTGGATCATCTAAATCTCGTGTGATTTTTGCTTATATAATTTCATATAAACGGTAATTTTTTGTAAAAATTTTCTTAAAAAATTGTTTACATATTTAAGCCAATCATGCATAAAAAGAGAACGACGACAAACACTGAAATGTTTTCCTTTAAAGTGAACATTTTCTAATTTAGTATATAACTCTTGTTAATAAAAATTATATTTATGTTAATAGAGACATTTATTACAAACTCACGCCCTATCTAGTGTCTCAATTTGTTTCTTTCTGTAATATCACTAACTCACTTCCTCATCTTAACTATATACATTATGAGCAAGCAAATATATTTCCTCGATGGTTTAACAAATTTCGAATTCATGAACATTGTTAAGATAAAAGTGCACTTAACAATTCTCAAGTTGAAACAAACTATAGTTTTGGTCCGTATGTATATGCAATGCTTATGATTGAACAGATTTTTTGAACGAACTTTATGAATAACAAAAGAAACTGATTTATTCGTTGAAGCTCTCAGCTTTATTTGTGCTGTGATTTTGAATTATAGCGAATTAATTTTTTGAGGATAACGTAGTTAGAAACACGTTTGCAATCTCGAAGTTTGTCACTTTGTAATGCATCAAATTTCATATGTCAGTGAAATTTTGTCTGACAACTTTGTGTCTGAATAAATTGATATTATTTCAAATTTCTAAAATTTACATATCATAAAAAACTTGCCTTTTTCTGAAGACGATATTCCTTGTTCGTTTCAACCCCTTCTATTGATGATGAACTAGTTCTATACCTCAGAATCTAGGCACGTTTTCTTGGAAGATGCGCTTAATAGCCAACCTTCACGCCGGTAAATGAGGAGTTAAACTGCGCAATGGAATTTAAATAAGCCAAAGAATAGATTGCTGTGTAAAGCCATAATACACACTGTGATTGTTATTGTATTTATTCATGATAGCTACTTTTGATTTGTAGTCAATATTATTAAACTCATCAAAAGATATAAAAATTTATTTTGCGATGTAAAATTACTGTTTTGGGACAAAATAAAACGTTTTTCCTTTTCTACGCGATGCTTTTATGTATATGTGCTTTAAAGTCTTTGATTTTAACTCAGTTTGTACGTTGTAGCTGTGTTACAATGGTTATAACCAAAAGCTTTTGTCTGGATATCTAAAGCTCGTTCGTCTCATGTCACAGTAGACCAAACCCAGATTGTTGTACGTTGTCGCTATACTAACATGGTCAGGTCCAAATGCTTTCGTTTGAATTTCTATCGCTCGCTCATAAAAATCGTTTTGCTTTTTCGTAATTTCCCATGTCACAGTAATAAATAATAATGTTGACCTATATGTTGAATTGTCGTGAAAGAAATATAATAAACAACAGTTTTTATAGTAATAAAGATAAACTAATATTGTCACGGAAATTTTCTGCTTAAAGTGAGTTTATATAACATTTGAAACAACTGTCAAGTAAACATCCAAGAATAACGAGAACGACTTCGTTTTCACAAAAACATTGCTCATCTCAAAATATTTTGTTGTTTTATAAGAAGTAAAAATTTAATTCCTTATGGACAACTTTGTGTTCTCATGAATAATTTTTATTTCAATAAAAACACAACGTCAATAACACTCCGTTTTTTGTACAACGATATTTATTTATTGTACAATATATTAAATGGTTTGAACCCGGGAGTATCGTTACATGTTTGTAGATGTAGGTCGTCCGGTGTGGTATAGTCCTGAGAAAGACTGTTTTTGTTGTTGTTGACTGACGTTTCGACAACATTAGCGGTAGTCATCTTTAGAGTCAAATGAGGAGTAAACGTCAGGTTGGCCGTACTTGTTATCTGGTTCTTCGTCATTGTATTGCGGGTATTTCCTGTACAACATTTCTTCAACATTTTCACGTTTTCACAGGTATGTCATCAAGGTAGAAGAATCTTTAATCTCAAAACTTCATCTTTACTAACTTTTACAACGTTTTTATCTACAGCAATCATCTCTCTTACACATAGCTCTTATTTTTCTCATGCCATCTTATCACACTTTTGTTATCTGTTATTAGATTTCCATCGTAAATCTAATTTATAGCATATCTTTTGCATCTCTATTTTTTACCTTGCGAATCTATATGAATCATTCTTTCCTTCTCTACAATCTTATTAATAAAACAAGTCATCATATACCTTATATTTTGCTTTTACCACTACGAATTTAACATCATGATATTGTACTTGTGCTCCAGTTTACTATCTTTAGCTATTTTGTTATATTCCACATCTTCTTTCCATTCTTTTTCTTATGACCCACACCTACACTTATTCATACTTCCACCGAACGTCCTTATGTACTTTACTTCCTCACAACATACAAATATTTTTCAACCCGTACTCCAGATCACATTTGCTTGAATAGCCAGTTCTCTGGAAGCACATCCTGATCACTTACAGCCTGTTTCAACTTCTCCACATAAACTACACAACACTCTTCATTTTTCAGTCTCTAATACTTTCTTCTTTTTAATATCTTTGTCTAATTTATCATCCTCTCAGCTATAGCTATCGCGCACACTATTATTTTGTACTGTCTAGCTACACGCCATGGCTCATCTGCCACCACATTCACCTGATGTTCGTCTCTCTTATGAAAAAATCTATTTAATGCAGCCATTTCTATTATTTTCGTAAACTTCCCCACCAACTGTCTTTCTATGTTCTTATTGTGAACGCAAAACCTGCTCATTATTTCTTCATCACCTCGGTTGCCTGCATCGACATGTCCTCTGAAGTCAGAACCAATAACTATCCTCACACTTCATCAAATTTTCTGTACCATTTCATCATTGGCACTAAAAAAATATCTTCTTCTAATTTGCATTCTACATTTGGAGCTCAATATGAACCACCTATTGCATTAAACATCAAACCTTTAATTTTTAACTTCACGCACATTACTGAATTTCTATTCTCTAAATAATGAAACAGAGACTTTCTCGTGGTGACAAACTTAAAGATGGATTTCAAAATAGCAAATACCATGGTGAATGGTAATAATAACAATGTAATAGTTCTTAAAAGGACTGTTTTAACCAGAACACTAACCCAACAATTTAAAGGAACCGTTATTTACAGCTAGAAAGAGACACTATGCATTTCGGCAGACTACTCGTCAGGTGTCAACGTCTGCTAAATGAGAACCTCCAAATCATGCTATATTTATAATGTTACAAATGGTCAATGTCATCCCTGTTTTTAGAGATGACACTTAAAACAGAGACAGATTAAACACGTAATCCTTTTGTCGGCAAAGGACAGGATTAGTCAATTTAATTAATACCGATTCCAGCTACGCGTCATAGAGTTAGATATTTACTTTTTCCCATTAAATTATCACCAACTGTCTAGCTTTTACTTACACTGTCCCAACATTTAAAGTTCTTACTTCATGCAGTGCTCGACACTGTCATTCGTCTACTTTTTCTTTGTGAAGATACGTTTTCTCCTCTTTGCAGACCTACAGTAATTCAATTCCATTTTCAGCAGGCTGTGCGACTGATCTGGTATGGAAGACAAAGAACTGATTTACATATTTTTAATGGCAATGGTTTTTAAGCCGGATGTTCTTCCTTAAGACGCAACCCTCTGCATTTTTCAGGCATTTGACTGGCACATGTAAAAAAATATTGATGTATAAATTTTAACTTTAATTAATTTCCTTAAGATCTTTCCTTCTACAAATTCATACAACTGCATGATATATTGTTATATATTGTATAAAAATATTTGAACAGCGAGTGAGTTAACTTCAAAACAAAAATGCAGCTCTCAAGAATTGTTTCATTCTTTTTTATTGCTAAAAGGGCATATAACTTTCCAGTTTTGATCCTCCAGTAACCTTGGACACAATACAAAAAAACAATTCTATATTTCAGTGATTAATCTATTATAATAAGTGTAAGGCTAAATATAAAACTCTCCTATATAAATTGGAGATGTTTTGAAATTGTCAATACGGGCGTGGTGTGTAATATACTTCAACAAAATATAAGTAAGATGACAAGATGCTTTCCAATCAAGCGCCATCATTGCATGGCATTAGCACATTCACGAAAACAGCCACAGCTCTCACAGTTTTCTTCACCAAATAACTTTTTTAAAGCCTTACTCAGTTTGAAGCATATATAATACCTATACTCTGGCTCGTAGAGTTCCTCGTGATAAACTTCAGCAATACCATAACCAAAGGGAATTCTTCGTCCATGCTCATCCCGAAAATATACTAGCACGCCAGACTCACCACTTTTAAGGAAATGTTCTTTGCTTTTCACTAGAACGGCATCCTGATACACGACCTTCCCTTCAGGATCATTACAGGAAAAAGAAACATCATAAATTTTCCCAATTTTATACCTCTCATACTTTTTTACTTCAACTGTCTCGTGCTCAACATGAACTCGTTTATTCAGCTCCCTCCATACATTATTCCATGAAGGTCTATGTATTTTATTTCGTCTGCAATTTTCTTTAAAATCTTCATTGACTTCTATTGACAAAATGTCCATATCAGTTTGTAAATTATAGTCGCTGAAATATCCTAAGTGAATATTGGGTTCTGAAGATGATGTGTAGTTGTATTGATTTGTATTCAAATGTGATTTGAATTCGTTTGGGTCATTTTTGTTTTGATTGAGCATTTCATAAAGTTTGTCATCACCATCTCCGTTGTAGCAAACATGACAACAGGTCAACGCGTAATGTTTCCCGTTCTGATAACAGAACATCGTTAATGTGCCTCTTGAAACTGTCCGACTGTTTCTTTCTACTGCAATCTTTGATAGCAGTTGAAGCTTTGGTGTTTTCGATGGTTTTGGACGAAATTCAAAGTACCTCGAAGCATTCGGTCCAAACATTTCATCGATTTTATCTTTCAATTCAGCTTCATGAACATTCTTGTAATCAACTGTGATAAACAAATGGAAATATGGTAGTTTCTCGTTTGGACCGACTTTTCCATAAATGCCCCGCATCCAAAGCAAACTGTAAAATAAAAGTGAAAAACAAGAAATTCGTCGTGCTAATAAATTTAAAAATGGCTCTGAACAGCGTATTTGTCATGGTGAATGATAACCCGTCATGTAGCCACCTGGCAGGAACCTGGCTTAAAAAGCACATAATTTCCGAAAAAAAAATAAAAACTCTTAGCTGCAAATCCGAATACACTCACTTTTGCCTCACCATCTTAGACACTGTCAACACTCAATTTTCTCTCAAACTTATAGATCTCTACACATACGCAAACACAAACCGATCTCAACCAACAAACGTGATATTTCAATTAGTGTTTATGACACTCACAATGCATGCCATGTAAATATTTATGACACTCACAATACATGTCATTTGACTCTGAAGATGCAAAACGTTTGTAGTCGTTAGCAAGTTGTTCGCTCTGTCATCCAAATGATCATAATAAAGTAAATGGTTTGAACACGGGAGTATCGTTACATGTTATAGTCTCTGAAGATGACTACCGCTAAGGTTGACGAAACGTCAGTCAACCACAACAAAAACAGTCCTTCTCAGGACTATACCAACCTGGTTGATCTACATTTACAAACATCTAAGACTTTATTATAAAAAATTATCCCTCTACTGATTACTACTCCATATGTGTCATATGCATGTCCTACTGTATATTTAACATTGTAAATACTCTCCTTCATTTATAAATTGGTGATGACTTAATGTTATAAGTCGATTGTCTATATTTTAAATGCTTAATTAATCTAGTACTATTAAGATCATACGGAATATCATCCTCTTTTACTAAGAGTAAGACCCTAGACGTGACTATCGAGAAAATAACCTTTTGAGCTTTATGTGCACATCTTCTTTAATGTCATATTCATCATCAAGAAACATCTTTTCAAATAAATGATCATCATCGGAATTAAAGAGATCATTTGACGCACCATAATCAGGGCCATTATTGATGAGATTATCATCACTAGAACTGTCATCTCTAGTAATGTCATCATCAGAACTGTCATCTCCAGTACTGTCATCATCAGAACTGTCATCATTAAAGCTTTCATCATTTTTATGACGACTAAGAGGACCTTTGAAAATTCAGAACAAATAATTGAATTGATAAATTAACGAAAGGAAATGCATGATGTATTAATAAACAAATATTACATAGATCAGAAAAAATTTTAAATCGTTTGAAGCCTAGCAACTTTATAAACTTAATATGCTCGCATATGATTAGCAAATTCAAAATGAAAAGCGCTTACGAATACCGATTATTTGGGTAGCCCATTGGGGTAGCCTCTCAAATATATCGCCTCAAAATGGACTAGAATAATGAGCACAGTTTGAATACTGTATGTGTTTTGTTATTAAAAGTACCAAACTTCTTCAAGGCTTGAAAATGAGCTTTTTGCTCATTGTTCAATTGAATGACTCAGTTGAACTGTCACAAACCCTTTCTGTATTTTCTGAAATTCCTCACTCAGAATGCGTAATACGTGACTGGGGTCACATCAAGGAAATTACAGCCCTTAAGATTTCTCCCCAAATTTTAATGATAAACTTTTGCCACAAATACTACATCGTCAACAGTTTGTTTTCAATCACTTTTCTAAGGTATAAGAGATGTCATTCTCTTTACTGATAAATGATTGATTAACGTATATACGACTTGTATTTCCATTTTGGGGTCAAAGAGCTATGTTTGCGTAATATTAAAGTAATAACATTTTGAACAAAAAGACTATATTTTTGACGATTTTATGCAAATAATGTTTAATCTTTGAAAATGAACGCTTGGTAAATCCATTCATTCAGACAATATTAGCTAGTATTCTGCCCTATATTTAACATACCAACAAAGGACTATGATCATGCAGAATCGAACTTCTTTTTATTTTGGTATTAACAGATGACCACATCCAGGCAATATAACTTCAAGTGTATGTTCTGGGTTTTATCTAATACTTTTCAACAACAGTACGATAAGATTAGGGCTCTTACCATTCTTTGCCGATTGCAAGTAACTTTTATTTGATCTTTGAACGCTGATGGAGCCTTAATATCATGCAAATATTTCATTGAGTTTATTACACAAAGATTAACAGTTGTCACGCGCTAAATTTGTTCTCGTTGTGACCTCACTTACTTCGACATGCAAAATTTAGTTTTGCCTCACAAAAGTTTAACGATGAGCTGTGGTCATGTGTTCGTTTATTTCAACAAATGCCAAAGAAGTTCATTGTAATGAGCTTCGCAATAAAATGACCCTAACAGTTTTCAACTCTCACACATAGCTGCGCATGCGCAGCAGCTACTAATGAAATTAAAAAATAATATGTATGTATTCAAAGCAAAAAGTGGTTTAAAACAACTATATAGCTACTATTGATTAGTAAATTACTTATTTAGACAGAGCGGTGTGCCGAAGGCAAATTATGAAAGTAGTTGGAAATAAGTCCTTAGCAATCCATTTATTTAAATATAATTTTAAATACCAAAAAACAGTGGTACATCTTCTGTACTCCTGTAAGTTTTCTGAACTAAAACCGCTTTCTTTGTTATAGTCAGAAAAATGTTTTTTAAAAAATTATCATGTGTGGTGAAAATATGAGCAAAAATATTGGAATATTTTCTGATGGATTAAAATATTTTACATATTATCTTACAAAACAATATACCTAATGTAGCTACTACAAACATGAATTTTTATTCATTTTTAAGAGTAAATCTCTAAAATATGAATTACCTGGTTGAATCTTAATGAATTACTTCAATTCATATGCTATATTCAGTGAAATATCTAAACAAGACGTACACATACCTTCTTTTCTGTTTTCTGCACCATGCATATGACTTAGCAGAACTTAAACCTTTACAGTGTGCTATCTATCGCCGCTGATAGTAAAATTTACTAACGAAAAAAAACATACCTCGTTTTCTGTTTTCTTTACCTTGCGGAGCTTGTGGAGTTGAATGACTTCCAATAACTTCATCTTTATTCAAAGCTATAATAATAATTATACAATATTATCTGGAGTAAAATTTCACAATATAAATGTTATATTTTTGATTTTCTGCAACCTAAAAACCGCAGGCTACAGCAGTGGGCAGTTTTTTACGATGTCTTGGCGATTGTCTGAAGGTGATGTTTTTTCGCAATAAATTTGTTTACAAAGTGAAATTTTAATGTATTCAGATGGTAATTGTTATATCGAAAGTTAATTTTACTATCTAGACGAAGAGAACGTTGTCAAAAGCTCCACTTAACAAGCTGCATCGGCCATTTTTCAATGTGAATTTCTTTATAATAAAAACATTATTTACCGTTTAGGTCAGTAAGTACTGACGTTTTAGTATTAACGTCCAATCAAGCCGTTAAATAATACATATATTCATGACAAACAATGCATTTAACGAAAAAGATATTTTCCTGATGGCTAATATGTACAACTCTGAAGCAAAAATGCAAGGTCAGAGAAAATTATTGGTTAAACGTTTACTCTGCATTTTATTGGTATTTATACAAAAACGTTTGCACGTTTCATCGCAGTAATTATATATAAATTGTGCATGCACCAACACGTTTACAATTACTTCAAAATATTAACATCTATATAGTAATACAATTTAGTTTGCTGTGCTATAAAGGCAGCGTGGAGAGTGATTTACATCTTATATGGAAAATGTTTTCCTCTTTTCAGCAAAATATATCGTTCATCATGTTGCTCATCCCTAATTGTCACGTCAAAGAATTCACAAATGTAATCATTGTTGACATTAAAAAACACTATAATGTCAAACAGACAAAAAAATGTGTAGAAGACTCGACTTTGTTTTAAAATCAATAGTTTCACATTTTCATCATTTTCAAAAAAGTCATCGATCAGATTTTTAAATTTCTGTAAAAAATATATGAAATCATCAAGATTTTATCATTATTACTCATTCAACTTATCTCACACTTACTTTCATCATCAGCAACTAATTTGTTTTTTACAATTTCAATCGCTCGTTCATAAAAATCTTTCGCTTTTTCGTACTCTCCCATATCATGGTAAACCAAACGCAGATTAATGTACGTTGCCGCAATATTAATATGATCAGCTCCAAATGCTTTTGTTTTAATTTCTATCGCTCGTTCATAAAAATCTTTTGCTTTTTCGTACTCTCCCATTTTACTGTAAACCAAACCCAGATTGTTGTACGTTGTCGCAATATTAATATGGTCAGTTCCAAATGCTTTTGTTTGAATTTCCATCGCTCGTTCATAAAAATCTTTTGCTTTTTCGTAGTCTCCCATATCTTTGTGAACCAAACCCAGATTGTTGTACGTTGTCGCAATATTAACATGGTCGGATCCAAATGCTTTTGTGTCAATTTCGATTGTTCGTTCATAAAAATCTTTTGCTTTTTTGTACTCTCCCATTTTACTATAAACCAAACCCAGATTGTTGTACGTTGATGCAATATTAACATGGTCTGGTCCAAATGCTTTCGTTTCAATTTCCATCGCTCGTTCATAGAAATCTTTTGCTTTTTCGTACTCTCCCATATCTCTGTAAACTGCACCCAGATTGTGGTACATTTTCGCAACATCAACATGGTCAGGTCCAAATGCTTTTGTTTGAATTTTCATTGCTTGTTCATAAAAATCTTTTGCTTTATTGTATTCTCCATTTTTCCACAGCAATACACCCAGCTTGTTGTACGAATATGAAACATCAATATGATCAACACCTAACACTTTAGTTTGAATTTCTGTTATTTCATAAAGTACTTTTGTTGCCTGTTTGTAGTAGCAGAATCTTTCCAATGCAGCCACAAAATATTTGGCAATTTTCCAATTTTTTTCATTAAGTTTTTGTTTCAATAATTTTACATCGATCAACTTATTTAAAAATTGTTCAAATGACAAATTTTTGATGAATTTAATTAGATGTGGAATTATTTTGATTTCATCTTCTCTGTCTTCAAAATGATATAGTGCCCAAGCAACGTGACCGGCAAGATCGGCAGAAGATATCGCAAATATGTTTTCTTCATGATAATTTATAATGGCTTCATGTACAACGCTGTGCAGGCGGATGTCGTTGTTTTTAGATTGAAGAAATATCGAACATTGCTTTAAATGAAGACAAACATCTTCGGCAGATTTTTGGGGATCAATGCTTCTAATAAATTTGATAATGATATCTTGTGGTAAAGGATCGAAAGATATTATTGAGAAAAGTTTAAAAAGATGTTCCAACAAGATGGATTCTTTAACACTTTTTTGTACTGCTAACTTTAAACTTTTTGCTCCTAAGTAAGCTGAATTTATTCTTCGAAAATTGACATCCATTTTCTGTCGCTTTCCTTCATTCAACTTATCTAAGTATTTCTCCACGTTTATGTCAGATTTGCACTTTTTACACTACATACGTTGTAAGCAGCTCTTGCCAGGACCAACGGTTGATGATCTAATTTTCCTAATAAATAATTCAAATAGTAACTTGTTAAGACGTTGGTGTCGTTAATTTTCATTTAAGGCAAATTTTGTCTAACATTTAGCATGCTGCAAACATTTATAAGTCTTAGATCATACAAAAATATAAGTATAGTTAAGATATTAAAAATTTGTCTGGTAACTTTTTCCAAAGAATTACACGTGTAAAATGTAAATATGGCAGACTCTTAGATTTTACACCGTGGTTTTAACTCAAAGATTTTGCCTTTCATGTATCTAATAAAGATTTATATCTTAGATGATAACAACCCTAATCGTAATATCGGAATATTATAACTGGTGACTCTACAATGCAATCAAAACAATATGTAACCGTACATTCTGTGTTGCAAGTGCAGGAGAATAACACGTCAACTATGATGATAGCCGGGAGGGCACATTGTTATACATGAAGTATAATACGCTTACTTCGCATACGCTGTTTGAACAATCTTGGATTGTGTTGAACGCCTCATAATAATACGTTCACCACATTTGTGATCTGCAAAACTCTCCGTCATAGGTTTGAGAAGTTCGACGAATTTGCAAATCAATTTCTGTGAAAGGCATGAATAATTTAAATTCTGTGATTATTTTGATACAGCCTTAATTTTGTAGCATAACTTATAAATAATATCCAAAACAATCTATTGGAATGTTAATGTGTAAAGGTCAGGATTGCTAATTCAGGATCACTATTCATAATGTATTTGTGACAGTTTAAAAATCCCACTAAAATCAACAAATGTTATCCATAATGTAAATGGTTTGAACACGGAAGTATCGTTAAATGTTTGTAGATGTAGATCGTTCAGGTTGGTATAGTCCTGAGAAGGACTGTTTTTGTTGTTGTTGACTGACGTTTCGATAACCTTAGCGGTAGTCATCTTCAGAGTCAAATGAGGAGTAAACGTCAGGTTGACCGTATTTGTTATCTGGTTGGTATTATTCACTTATAAGTTATTTACGACAATTAAATCACAATATTCAGGACACAAAAACAAAATAATTGATAAATGGACATAAAACATTCAATCACAAAATTAGAATACAGTATTACAATGACAAGTAAACTTAAAATCAACATACTTTCACAAGTTCAGAAAGATTTAAAAATACGCTACGTACTACATGATGTATTTGTTTCTCTTGCTTGATAATAAAGAAATTGAAATGTTCACTAAATGCTTAATTTTAATCACCTGCTGTTTTCATTGTAAAATATTCATATCTGTTCATAACAGCGAGACGATAGATTTAGAAATAAAAGTTTTATATATTTTATATACTGCATACACATGACACAAAAATTACTAGATTTTAAATGCTTTCTTGATGACAAAGTATACATGAATGATCTCTTTGAGATAAAATTTATAAGAATTTAGCTCAATAAAGTTTCCACTTTCCCTGTAGATTTATTTCAGTTTGTCAAGAAGCTCTAAAAGGACTTGAGGGCTATATAACTTCACTGCTATCTTTGAAGTCAAGACTAAAGCTTTTTTGAGGAAAAAATATTCGCAAAGCATTGTTTTTTCTCATCGTCACATCGAATTTGATCAAGAAACAGACGATGAACGAAGATTGATAGAGAGATAGATAGTTTATTTGCTGAAAAACTTTGCAATTCTGATATGGCTTTAAAGTAAACGGAGCGCTAATTACATACAAGTGAGCATTTCTAAAATCAATTCATGCACCTTGTCGGACATTAGTAAAAACTGATCCATCATGCTGTTGATGACGATATATGTAACCTCACACTTATTTTAAGTTAACTTTTATATTTCAATACAATTACATCATAAATAACTCACCGATTCTCTTAAAGACGATGTATTTAGTTATACTTGGCAATCAGGATTGACGAAGTTTGTTTGTAGCATAACTTACAACACTAATTCTACTGTCGATGACTATATATCTTCACTTCTACAGACAAAGTCGATACGTGGCCAATTATTTTGTGCAATGGAATTCAAAGCATCTCAGCGGATTGTCATGAAAGGCAAAATATTTACTTTATGAAATTTATCACATGATATTTTTGATCTGTAATGTATGAAATTGATCAAAAAGTATAAGAACTCAAGTTTGCGATACGTTTTTTTAGGATGATTGCTTTAGGATCTCATAAAACGTTTAGTTTTTTCTCCATTATTTGTACACGCATATGCATGTGTTTTAATTGCAAACTGTAGTGCATTGTATTGCACAGCAAGACTTAATCCACCAGTAATCAAAGCATCTGTACTCATGCAATTAACTCATGCAATAATTGCTCACTAACCTCACTTAATCCTCTTCTATCCCTCCTATTTTCCTCAAGTGATCCTTATTTATAATCATCTACTAACGATTTGACCGAAATTGTGAAAACGAGAATTGGTTTCTCGTTTGATTATAAATTAAAGTTAAATAAATTTGAACAATACAAGCAAATCGAACTTTTATCTCCAATGGTTTCAACTTACGGCTTTTAATTGAGTAAGAAAAGACCATCGCTCCGAGAAGATAAGGAACGGTTGCTGCTTTCACTATTCGGAAAAATTTACTTAAAAACATACACCAGTTTAATTCAAAGATTAAAGATTTGCTATATAAAATTTCAATGAGACAATGAATAACAGTTTTTCTTTCTTACTTTGATGTTTCATGGAATAATTCAAGTTCTGCCCATTGTAGTCTGCGAATGACACGTTAAAATGTTGATACAAAACTGTGGTGATATTTTTCAGAACTAAAGTTTCAAATAAGAAATAAGAGGCAAAAGAGACATTTTTCTAGGCAAGGAGAGCCCCTCTCCGCGGTTGCTTCTTTGTCCGGCGTACATGGACAAGATAGAGTTTTTGCTACACAAAACATGCAAGAAAAATTTTGATTTTAGCTTGAATAAACGTTGGTTGTATAAAATATCTTTTATTACATAATTCTCTGTGTATTTAAAAGAGCTATCCACTGTACCTTGATTCTACAATTTCTTGCCAGTTGTACTTGGAAAGCTTATCTCAAAACATTTTTAAAAAAATAATTTAACCAGAATGCTGAAGATGGCATGTTTAGAGTCGTCAAAATCTGTGTTAACCACAGTCAGTAACAACTTCATGATACAGAAAGTGCTTCCAGTCATTGGCAAAAGCTGCATGGTTTTTTAAGATGGCTGAAATCCCAAAAATTGATGTCACAACTCACGCACATGTTTTACTTCATTATATTTTTATTGTAGTAAAGAAGATAATGATGTATCATTATACTTAGTATTACATGAAGTTCCCTCCATTTTGTAACAGTGCAACCAAAACATCAACGTAAAAATTATTTTGTAAAGAAATGATCGAAACTGTAGAAAAATCATGTTTCTTTTACCGTACGCAACTCATATTGTTAACAGTTTACGACTTGGCATGCTAGAAGCATCAACGGCCAAAAAAGTTGTGCGAAAAATGTCAACAAGACCTCCTAATGTACTTATTTACACTGGGAAAGGAAAGAACTCTTCAGCTCCGTTTCAAAATCTCAAGGATTTCTTCGGGCGATGTTTAAGTCGGGATAAATATGTTTTATATCAGCTCAAAGATGAATCAATCTTGCGAGAGCCTTGGCAAGAAAACACTGAACTGTTGATAGTCGCTTCAGATTTATCTATAAACCTTGAAGAATCTCACAAAAAGTCGTTTGAAAAGTTCTTTCGTCACCAGGGAAAGCTGTTGGTATTTTCTAAGAACATTTCATTCAGTGATAACATCAGCTTGGGCCAACTTCCTATTCCTGATGATGAAATATGTTTTACTGAGAAAGTGAGAAAGAAACGATGTAGCATTGTGGCTGATGTAAATACGTACGTCAAAGGTAGGTTCAACAATGAACATAAAGGGATATTTATGGAACTTGTGATACAATGCGATAGTGAAATAAGTTGTGCAAACCATTTTGATTCTCCTCAAGAATTGTGAAAATTAAGATAAGTTGCATGAAACTAGTGGAATAGAAGATTGAGTTGTCCATTATAAAATTCAAGAACATCAAATTCTTTAATTCTTTAGAAATTTATAATTATGGCTACTAGTGAACACAATCCCATTTGCATACAGCACAACTGAATACGTGGACTGATAGTGCCATTGCATGGAACATTTACAAATATAAAATAAACACAATGAAACCCTTGCACGGATTGGTCTAGAGCTGTGTTTGCATTAGCCTATGCAAAACACATCTGAGCTCAACCAATCAAATCATTCATAACAGTCAATCAGTCAAAGAGAACTTGCAAATCGATCATGAAAACTTTTTAGAGTAAAAAGTAAAATGTTTACTTTAAATTTGTCTGTTTCACATTATTGTTAATTTATTAAAGAAATTAAAGATATTTTTCGTGTTTGCACTGGCTTATGCAAACCTCGGAGACATTTGTGAGAACTCTTGAGCAGGTGCAATCCTGGACCTTTGGTATCGGGCTTGCACTGATCTGCTCTCTAGTTCTCCCAAAGGTCTCCTTGGTTCGCATAAGCCTGTGCAAACACAGTAAACATCTTTTATTTCTTAAATGTAGAGTCTACTTTGTAGCATTTTGTGTGAAATGTTTTAAGTTCATCCATCATTTGTATGATGACTCTTAGTCAAACCTTGCAAAGACTTGGAAGTGTTGGCTGTCACCTCAAAAACATCTCAACCTGTTATCATCCAGGAATCTCGTGGAAAAGGCATACTGATATTATCAACAGTAACTGAACTGATCTCTAGTATTGCACTGAATGGAAGTACAGACAACAACATTGAAAATTAATGAAAATCCTATTTTGTAATCTTGGTATGATGTGTGAAGATGTCCCAGAGTGTCCGCTTACCCCTGCAATGTTATTGGTTGATCAAAAGGTAAAGGCTCAACTCCATTTTTACATCTCTTTCTCCTTGATTGAAATTAGTCATGCATCAATTTTTGTTAGTGAATTGGTTATATGTAAGTAGTCCATAGTTAATCTGGACAAAATAGTAAAAATATGTTATTGGTCTTCAAGATACTCCATAAGTTCTCTACATAGTTACATACATATAACCTTTGGAAGATCAAAATCATTACTTGGGGGGTGGGGAGGGGGAGGCTCGTATTCATTAATGAATGATATTCAAATTTATATATGTTCTATTGAAGTCCATTATTTTCTATGGATTATTACATTCATATATGAATATGAGTAACCTTTTAAATATCAATCTTTCAACAATCTTAGTATGAAGGTCTTCATGTACCATGGCTTTGTGTCTGGAGAAAACAATAATTTTGATCATATTGCTATTGAGCTCATTCAGACCATAGTTTAATATTTCATTCATTTTAATACCTAGAACAAAGACCTCTTTCTTCGTTGTATACAAGACCTTACATCTGATTATTCTTTCCATGGTAACGGTGTGAAGGTTTCATTCACGGAGGATCAAGATGCCATCGCTACTGTTGAAAATTTTTCAGTCATAACAAACCCCATTCCTGAAGGCTACAGTACTGTCAAATTTTCTCAATACAAAGAATTATTGAATACGAAACATTTGGGTCACGTGATGATCTATACTGACGTCATCACATCCACACAGACGATCGTGAATGGGTAAGGTAACAAGCTAAATTCGTGGTCTTAGTATTGCTCCAGTCTGAGTTTTCCCTTTGATACTGCAGTTGGATTGTGGGAATTTTCAGATCATACATAGTTTTAACATGATATCTTTCTAAATATATTACATGTTTTTTTATTTAACCATTTTTCCTGCCCAAACATTTTTCCCCAAAAAAGAAGGTTCGTTGTACTTTTTTAAAAAAAGGTTTCTTTGTTCCTTCTTTGTTCCTAGTTTTCAGTCTAGTAACTTCGTTAAATTCTTTTAAACCGTCCGAAGTCGAAAGAAACCATTATGTTTTCAATAAAGGCCCTCAGTTTAGGAAGCTGATTTTCGGTTGTTTTCATGATAAATTCAAGTTCAAAATATACGTACTTGCATAACTTTATTTCAGAAGTCTGAGATTACTGAAAGAATTACCTCATGGTCTTGGAGTTGTTGTTATTGCAAGACAACAGACTGTTGGAAAAGGTTTGTAATATGTTTTTGATATTTTCTTTTCAGTACCATTCCAACATCCCATTAGTTTCCTTTGTCTTACATTTTTTTGTATCTCCCAAAAACCATCCACCAATTATTGCTGTTCTTTGAGAAATAAGTGTTTAAGTATAGTGGGAATGATGTTTTTTCTGTAGGTCGTGGAGGAAATGCTTGGCTATCTCCGGATGGTTGTCTTTCATTTTCATTTCCTTTGGAAATTGAACTTAATTCTAATCTTGGTCAACGTCTTCCATTTGTACAACATATCGCAGCCCTAGCCATTGTTGATGCTGTGAGGGACATATCTGGATATCAGGTGATTTATTTTTGCGTTTTTCATGTGATATATTAGAACATAATGCATGGAATAAAAGGATCTGTGAGAGATAATGGAGGATTTAAATTAAGAACTCGACGTTAAATCTTTCCTAAAGAAGACTGGTGTCTTCTGTAGTAAATGCGAATTAAAGTTTGAACATCAGATCATTTCTGATGAAGACATGAAACATGAGTATTTAAAGATGTAGATCGTCCAGGTTAGTATAGTCCTGAGAAGGACTGTTTTTGTTGTTGTTGACTGACGTTTCGACAACCTTAGAGGTAGTCATCTCCAGAGTCAAAATGGCTACCGCTAAGGCTGTCGAAACGTCAGTCAACAACAACAAAAACAGTCCTTCTCAGGACTATACTAACCTGCACAATCTACATCTACAAACATGTAACGATACTCCCGGGCTCAAACCATTTACTTTAGTATTTAAAGAGTCGAGTTTCAACAACAAAATACTTTTAACGAAGTTACTAGACTGAAAAGTACTAAAGTTTTAGTGTTAAATCATTCTTGACAAAGAGGTTAGACTGGAATATTCAAATTCAGGGAATGAAGTTTGATGAAGGAAGATTTATGACTGAAGTATAGCACGCAACGCAAATTTATGAAATTCGTTCATAAGCAACCAAAGACAGTATCATAATTTCAGTCATATTCTTAGGATTTAGATTTCCGAATCAAATGGCCCAATGACATCTATTTTGGAAATAAGACAAAAATTGGTGGTGTTCTGGTCAACTCTATTATTCAAGGAAGATGTCTTTGGGCTGTCATAGGTATTTGAACTTTTCACTTGTCTTTTTTTGTGTCCAATGTTAAAGTAGATGTGTGTATGACACGCAATATCTTCTTGTCGCAAATAAAAGAAAACTATTTTCTAAAATGTGACTTTAAAAGGTTTTGTCTCTCATTCCGCTCGTTTAACGCGTGTTTATTTTATGTGATGCTCAAAATGAATTACATTTTGCAAGTCTTTTGTCTCATCAGCAGTTTCTAAACTGAGAGTGAACATAGAATTTATAGCATGACATCCGTTTCATTGAGTTATGACTGCAGGCTAATCGTGGAAGAAAATTATAATATTTCAGTGTTCTCAAAAATGTGATTTTTCTCAATCGCTGTCGAGACGTTTTTATCCAATTCTTTCCAAGACTTGTAAAAACATTTTCTCATACTAAATCCTTTCCATACTTAGCGTAAATGGTCTAAATACCCACAGTTGTAAACATGAGATCATTTGCAATATTTAGAAATCTATTATTTATACAGTGACAGAGTAAACACCAAACAAAATGACTTTGCAGACCAAACTTGTTGGCTGACTATGTAACAGATGCCTGCATTCTCCCACAATTTTTATCTTTTCAAACTTTTCAATTTTAGGGATTGGAATAAATGTTGACAACCATCAGCCAACAACTTGTATTAACGAAATCATCGAGCAACACAAGTTATCGAAAAAAATCAGCAAAGAAGAGCTTCTTGCTAGAATTCTTAACAAAATGGAAGAACTTGTAGAAGACTTTCAGCTCAATGGACCCGAAATGTTTCTTCAACAATACTACTCACGCTGGCTACACAGGTCAGTTTATGATTTTCTTCGACGATAAAAAACAGTGAGCTTTGTAAAGCATGAAAAAATTCTTCCGCCGAGCTAAGCTACAAGAAAAACTGCGGTTTCTGACTAAACCGATTCTCGAATTTTTTATGACCCCTCAGCATCGAAAACTGTGGCGTAGCAAGGCGAACCTTTTACTCCAGATATGGAAAAATTGTTAGGTAGTTTCACTGATTATATGAACAACTGAAGAAATGATTAATGATAAGGTACAATAATTTACATAGTACGACTATATCTGCTGGCTGGCTACGCTATTGATTGACTTAGAAGTTAGATTTAGTAAAGACAATCGCTTCGTCGCTTTGGTCTTTAAAAATTGAAAATTTGAAATCAACCTTGCAGGATATTTAACTGGCGTAATCATCAATCAGAGTGTTCATCGAAAAAAACAAAAGCAATGAGTTTGTGAATACGTAAATAATTTTACTTTTTCATCCCATTTTAGTGAGTCCAAAGTAAGACTGGATAACGAAGATGGTGAAATAGTTACAATCAAAGGTTTAGATGACATGGGTTTTCTCTGTGTAGTTAATGACTTGAATGAAGTTAAAACACTTCAACCTGATGGTAATAGTTTTGATATGATGAAAAACTTAATAACAGTGAAAACAAGAAAATAATTCAAATTATTCAAATAAGGTGTTTAACCAGTATAATTGTTGGTGATGACAGGGAGGAGTGACTTGAAGATGAGTGGCAGGGGGGGTGCTATTTTCTTATACTCAAATTCACACACCTCAGAAACTAACTTCAAAGTTTCAATGCATGCTACTTAGGAGGTGAAAAGTGCCAAAAATGTTTTCTTATTGGCCATTCACACACCGTAACAATATGATGAAACTACCATTAAGCAAAATAAGTTACAATACTGGTTTGAATTTAATATTATTTGCCATATAAGTTAGAAAAAGTCTATCCATGTATGATGTGCTATTAATGTTATGTGAATCTCTATTTTATCAATTAATATTTCATTTTATAGTATATCTACGTATTGAACACATTATAATTTATAAATAAAAAGGTATATTTATTAAATAAAGGCACTATAAATACTTTCTACTGACTGTCAATAAATATCTATAACATGAGCACAAAAGCTGTGTTAACTTAGCATAAACCTCACACTAATTATAACGTAAGTACTTTGTATTTGAACTTTAAAATGCTCTATTTCTACAACATGAATGTAGCCAGCACAATAATTGTGGGAGACATATATTCATTTATGAATGTTATTGTAGGTAAAAATGGATTTCAAAGGAACATAATATGTAAGTGTATGCATATTGACCCAACTATTGAGCTTCTATGTCTCTGCTCTATATTCTTTAAAAAATGCAAATTTTTTGACTTGCAAGTACACCATCATTCTCAAATGGACTGGTGATCAAACAACAAGATTTAGTCTTTCCCCATGTTGTATGGGTACATTAAAAGCTGGAATGAGGAACTGCCACCAACTTTCACGTGAATGCCAGAACATGACTTGAAATCGACTTTTCTTGCTTTTAAAAATTCTCTTAAGGATAAATTGTAGGAAATCTGTGAGATTTCGAGATCTTTGCATTTTGGTGAGAAGTTCAATAGTTGAGCAATTGGTTGCCAGAAGCAAAGACTGTAACAGGAACATTGAACCACAAAACATTGCCATGAATACTACAGGAATAAACAAGATGGCAAAGTCACCAAGCTTTTTGCAAACACCATTATGGTACCATGACAGGGTGTCCAAGCGATCACTTGTAGGTACCATGCATTGGTAAAATGGTTCATATGTCATGTACATTGCAAATAGTAAACCAACGTTACTATAACAGATAAATAGGAAAAAATATGAATAATTTTTGAGGCCAACACAGTTGCTTGTAAATGGACAGTGATGACACATCAAGGTAACGCATGTTCCACACGTGCTGCAGTGATGGGTATCAATTGATTTCATTCGATCGCATTTACAACAAAGGACGCTTCCTTCGTCCATTTTGAAACCGTTTTCTTCCATTTCGGACGCCGTTAACGGATATCCAGGAGACTTAAGCATCGCCGCGAAATAATTGAACGCGACATTTAACCAGAGGTAGCAAGCTGAAGCGATTAAAATAATCCCTTCTCTAGATGCGTACGGTTTGTCAACTTTAACTGGCAGAAATATTAGGAAAAATAGCCCAATAGCTGATAGGACCATTAGGATAATGGGACTGACAAGAATGAATCGGATGGTTTGTCGAAATGCTTTGTGCCTTGCTAGACCTGGAAAAGCTTTCTGGATTGTGCTGATAATAAATGAAAATTGAATTATACCCACTCCGCCAGCTAACAACATCACAATTGCCATTTTTTGACAGAAATTCGACTTTTCACTTGACAATAAATATGGATGTGTAGTAAACAAAAAGAATTATCCAGTTATATGTATACAGTTCAGTGACCATTATTTTGTTTATGACATACACTTTATTTGCCTTCAGTTAAAAACCAAATTTTCTTCAGCTAAGATGCAGCCAAACATTTCACATAACTTTCTTAAATAATTCATAGGATTTGGACAAGCCAGTAGAGAGGGAGCTCGTTTTATAAAATCAAGCACTTGAGTTACTTGGGCACCTGTGACGTGCCTTAAACCCATGTCTTGAAACTACGCCTGAACATCGATCATAGGAAAGCTATATGTATGAGCAATTAAAAGATTTCCTCAATCATTGAAGACAAGGGTTGAATTTCCACTTTTTTACACTCCTATAGATTTCAACTCGTTTTATATATGCTTTTTTCTTTCAAATTCAAAATTTCTTAGCGAAGCAGTCCAAATTTGAAGCACATCAGCACATGGCGAAGATTAACCAATGGCAACTATTGGCGCCTTGTGGTGTATGGAATAAATTTTGGCGGTAAACTCAAGTGGAATGTGGCATAAACATTTTCTGAATTGATGATTTGTTAGTTTGTCGGCAAAATAAAAATATGAAACGGAAAATCGACTGTGTGTCTAACTTCAACTACAAAAGGCGTCTACCAGCATTGGGCTTTCGCCATGTTCAATCTAATGGACGAATTTCAAATTTTAACAACGGAAATAAAACAAATAATAAAGTACATGATATTGATAAAATTTGCAATGACAATAATTCTACAAATGTACAGACAGATGATAAGTATTCCACAATATGCATGTTGGATAGTGACAGTAGCGATGATTTGAACGTGCGCTCCGTGAAAAGCAAGAAAAATTACAAAAATTTGCCTCTTGGGGGAAACTGTGGTAAAGATAAAGATGTCCATGGTGATAGTGTTAGGACGGTGAGCTCGAAGATGGGTAAACTCAGAAAGATGTTTGATGAGGATAGGAGATTGAAAAGCAGAGGAAAAAATGGTAAAACTTTTAAATCATTGTTTATGAAGTCTAGACTAAACAATGCTATTGGTATGGGCATAATTTGTTGTTATGTTTTATGTGTTTTGGACTAACTGTAAATTTTATTTTCTTAATACCATTGCATAATAGCAGCATTTGCATTTGTGGCTACCTAACTAAATGAGTAATGAGAATTGTTATACCAGTATTGGTTTGTGATTTATTTATTGGCAAAGCTTTTTTTATTTGTTTGTGTTTTTGAATAATTTTAAGTTTCATGATTAATGATAAAGTGATTTTATCTATTTCTTGTGTGTACTTGAATTATAAATTTGAAGTTCGCATAGAATATCTTGTTAAGAAGAACAATTAAGCTTTTCAGATTGGGTAAATGAGTTTGTAGTTGTATATCAAATGTTATATAATAAATATGTATTTGAGTATGCTAAATGAAAGGTTTATGTTGTACTCGTGTATGGCTTATATCATTTTTACAAAACAATAAATAATATTTTTTTGTTGATTTTTACAGAATGTGGTGAACCATTGTTGGTGGTTGTACGAAGTGGTAATCCTGGCAAGAAAAAGGATTGGGACAGAGTTGCGTTATTGGACAATGGTGACATGAAAGAAGAATTAGAGAATGGTTGGAGAATGGAGACAGGGTGGAAATGACAGGGAAAGTTGGTGACAGGCGGAGAATTGGAGAATGGTGACAGGTGGAGGAATTAGAATGGTGACAGGGTGGAGGGTGGAAAATGGTGACAGGGAATGGAAAATGGTGACAGGGTGGAGGAATTGGAGAATGGTGACAGGACAGAGGAATTGGAAAATGGTGACAGGGTGGAGGAATTGGAAAATGGTGACAGGGTGGAGGAGTTGGAGAATGATGGAATGGAAAATGATTATAGCAGTGATGAAGAAGAATTAGCAAGCTACTCTGAGCAAAAATCCATAATCAAATTTTTGAACTCAGCTAACATTAGCGATTTATGTCGAGTAAAAGGATGTTCATTGGTTAAAGCAAAGAAACTTTGTCACTTACGTCCATTTGATTCATGGAATGATCTGGTATGGGTTTTTTTATCTGATGATGATTTTTATAATTGGAGAGGCATTAGAAATGTTGTCTTTCATCACTGAGATGATAAATTTGTTTTATCTTGACTTATTTTTAATTCACAGTATGACAATCACAATAAAACAAATTAAGTGACTACATGTTTATATTTTGCACAGTGGCGAAATGACTTTGCACAAACTTCCACCAAACACAATGTAACAAATGTTCAAGTCTTTGCATAAAAGGCATTAAACCTGTTAATAATAAATTGTCTACAAATGAGCTAATATCTTAGCAAGTTAAGCTCTTATAGTAAACATTTCTCAGGAAAATTGTCTTGTTTTACATCCGATCAAACTAAGAAGAATTTTAACTCAGTAAAAACCCCTTTAACTTTTTAACAAATCACAAGATCAAGAGTAGTTCAGTACTTTGAAAAATTAGAGAATCCATGACTTGTACATACTCTAAATTCGACTGTTTTACAGATGGATAAAATATCACAGGCAAAGCACCTGACTATTGAGGTAAGAGATTATAAGGAAAGTCATTTAACCATTGACGTTACATTTTTTCTTTACGTCATATTTTTCTTTACGTCACCTTTCATTACGTCACCTTTCATTACGTCAGAAATTTTTTCCCAACGGTGTAATCACGATTTTTTTCACAAAACGATTCACAGGAAATATTTTTGTATCTCGCTGGAAATTTTTGCAAAACAGACTTAGAATAGAGAATACGGGCATAGTATTCTGTATTCTGTATAGTAAGCAGTGAATATACGAATTTGCTGCCTGGCAACCGCCAACTGCAATGCGCGAAGACTTGTTTTCAATAGTTATTAATGAAAAATTTTGCTGTAAAGATTTTATTTTTGAAATTTTTGCTGGGAAGTGAAATGCTTTAAACAGGTCTGAACTATATCACAGAAAAACCCAGTCTGACATTAGAGAATGCGTTAAAAAAACATATGGATTATTCATTCAAGAGAAAATTGAGGACTTGTGAGAAAGATTAATCTTTAAATTGCAGTGTGAGCTCTTGTTGATTGGAGAGGGGGGTCGTGGGGACTTGTGGTGTTTCGATTCCTAAGTCCCTCAATGACCCCCTCGACCCTCGTTGTTATACCGTTATATTGATATAAATAAGTCATAATTAGATTATAACATTTGTTTCTATAAATGTCTCCCCCATTTCTTTATCTCAAACATTAAGTTAAATTCACACATCATGCAACCGGAGCGTGTTTCTTCGTTGTACTTTAAGTTGAAATCAACGGCCGGTGATTAATTTTAATGTATGCGAGTAGTATAGGGACTACTATGCGTCTCTATACTACTATGCGTTTCTTTATTTAACTTCAGCTTGCCTTGGAGTGTCTAAATGTATTAAAACAACGAGAAAAGATGGAAGAACTAATAAAGAAAAGTGAATGTATCAGTAAAAGCATCGAAGGTCTCTTTGAAATGAAAAGATGTAATCACGAGGTTAATGTCGCTACCTTATATTTCTCTTTCTCAAATATTTGCTTTTTACAAAGCAATTTTTCTGCTAAAGCTTACCAGCAAAAAAAACACAAGTTTGTAGACAAGTGTTTCTATTTTATTTTTCGAAGTAGCTGATTAGGTTCCAACCCTCATTCCATCCCGCTCATTTTCTTTATATTTTCTTTATTGTAATGTTTCAGAATAACGGGAGTGACTCGACATCGTCCATGTTAGTTGTTAAAGAAAAATACGCTGTCTCTGAACCAAGTCTCGTGGCTTCTGGGTAATTTATATGTAGACTATGACATGATATTTCAAAACACAGTTGTAGTTTCTTTTATATCTTAATAACAATTAATTCAGTACATACTCGCTTGCTTTTGCGGAAATTATGTGAGAATATTAAGCTGATCAAACTTAATGCAATTAGTAATTTGTGAAACGCCTTAATCTTGTTTTTCTTACACTTAAGCAATCATAATATATTGAGTCCTCTCACTCCTTAGTACGTCATAGAGACACTTTATTCTCAGGAAAGACCTTCCGCGTCAATTGTAAAACGGATTTGTGCAAATTAATGGTTAATGAAACCTCTATTTTTTCAATTTACTAGGTTTAAACTCAAGTCTTATCAACTAACCGGTCTGAACTGGCTTATTGCGTTACACAAACGAGATGTTAATGGAATTTTAGCTGATGAAATGGTATTTGTTCTCCTCTGTATTTTTCACTCTGCTTCCACGTTTTGTCATCCATTGTCTTTTCTTATCAATGGTCTTCTCTTATAGGGATTGGGTAAAACTATACAGGCAATTGTCTTTCTAGCGTATCTAATCGAGCAGAACGAAGGACCTCATCTTATTGTAGTACCATCTTCAACACTTGGTGAGTTATAAGATAAAAAGTTGATATGTTGTGCCTAAATAACCACAAGACTTAGGGCCTGTTTATATGGAGCCGAGTTACCCGGCTAGGCGAGTAACTCGGCCCTTATATAAAATGAATGCATTTCCCGGTGAATCGTTTATATGACACATCCGAGTAACTCGCCTTGCCGGGTAACTCGGTTTGTGTAAGCGAGTTACACGGCTAGGCGGGATGAATTTTTCCATATAAACGCATTTGCCGGGTAACTCGGCGAGGCGAAAAAGTTGCCTCTGTTGGTACGCATGCGTACTAAGCCTTGTACTTGCAGCATTATTATACAAAAACATACACATATCATAATTTTCAATTTTATATTCACCCTTTCCATTTTTGCTGCGAAACTGTGAGGCTTTTTAAAATCTCGCGCCTTTACTCGAAGTTAGCATAGCCAAACTTCATTTAAGAAAATTGAACGGAAGTACTAGCCGAGTTACCCGGTGCCATATAAACAGATAACTTTTTCAAACCCGTTGAGCGAGTAACTCGCTTAGCCAGGTAACTCTGCTCCATATAAACAGGCCCTTAGCTAGGATCATTTACACATACAGCGGTCTTTTTGTTGTATTACCAAAAGTTCCATTTTCCACACATTTGTGACAAATAAGGTTGAAGTGTGTAGAATTTACAGCCCGGAAGTAAAGGGCTTCCTGTCAAAGTTTGACTCTCCCTCCCCTGGATCTATTTTTATTTGTTGTAATGGCTTACGGTGAAACATAAAATCGACAAAAATATTGGTGGGTATTACGCACTTCTAAAACGTCATTTTTTCTTCCTGAACTGATCGCAGATAATTGGAAAAGAGAACTGGAGCGTTGGTGTCCTTCAATCACGTGTTTACTTTATTACGGTAAGATTTGATTTGTATAACGGTATTAACGACTGAAGACGAGAAGAAGCTTTACACGAGGTCAGCAATGAAGCTGAACACACGAGTAAAATATCATACTTTACTTCAATGGGTGAAAGAAAACGAACTTTCGCACATGGGTTGATATTTTGCCTGATTTCAACCCGCCTGTTAGACTTCTTCTAATTTCCACATCATTTTTTCTCTACAGGGTCGCAGGCCGAGAGAAGAGCATTTAGAGACGAAGTGCTGTATTCCGAACGCAAATTTCAGATACTGCTTACAACGTTAGTACACAGGGGGTTGTTGCAGTATATTATTGACTGACGACGTTAGTACACATGGGGTTGTTGGAGTATATTATTCATTGACATCGTTAGTACACATGGGGTTGTTGGAGTATATTATTAATTGACATCGTTAGTACACATGGGGTTGTTGGAGTATATTATTAATTGATATCGTTAGTACACAGGGGGTTGTTGGAGTATATTATTGACCGACAACGTTATTACCCATGGGGTTGTTGGAGTATATTATTGACTGACATCGTTAGTATACATGGGGTTGTTGAAGTATATTATCAACTGACAACGTTAGTGAACATATACCGTTTCCAAAGCACACAGTTAGACTGGCAACGTTAGTCACGTAAAGAGGGCGGGTTGTTAAAGTGTATAATTGCGATTGCTATGTTGAATTATCGATTGTAATGCTTTCTCTTTTTTTTCTCTTTTTTATTCAGTTACAACATGGGAGTAAGTTCATCATTTGACTCAAATTTTCTAAGGAAATTGAAATTTCATTACGCTGTTTTTGATGAAGCACACATGCTGAAAAACATGAAATCTCAACGTTATCAACAACTCATGCGGATCAAGGTACATGATACTTTGGGAAGATTTTAATGATGAAATCATTGCAAATTATTAAACAAAACATTAAAACACGTGCGTTGATTGGTCTATAGCTGCGCTTCCATTAGCCTGTGTAAACCGTTATGAGCTCAATCAATTTGATCATCAAACAGAATTTGCAAATCAATCGTTTCAGAGAAAAAATCGAAACGTTTGTTTTCAATTTATCTGTTTTGCATTATTGTTGTTTTATAAAAGGAATAAAAGATGTTTTTCGTGTTTGCACTGACTTAAGCAGACTTAAATATTTATTCTGTAGTTGCGCAATGATAAACTGGAGGAATGGAGCGGTTAACAGTAAGATAATGATGTTCTCATCAAATTTTTTTTCTTTTCACACATTTATAGCCACGTAGGATGCTGTTGTTGACCGGTACTCCGATACAGAACAATCTTCTTGAATTGATGTCATTGCTGTATTTCAGCATGCCTGATGTATTTGCGCAGAGCATGGATGGAATTATTTTGTTGTTTGGTGAAAATCACAAGGTAAATAAATGTTGAAGTACACCCCTATTTAAAGTGAACGGTTTGAACACGGGAGTATCGTTACATGTTTGTAGATGTAGATCATCCAGGTTGGTACAGTCCTGAGAAGAACTGTTGGTGTTGATGTTGACTGACGTTTCGACAACCTTAGCGGTAGCCATTTTGAATCTGAAGATGACTACCGCTAAGATGACAACCTTAGCGGTAGTCATCTTCAGAATCAAATGAGGAGTAAACGTCAGGTTAGCCGTATTGAAGGAGTAAAGAGTAAGAACCAGATAACAAATACGGCTAACCTGACGTTTACTCCTCATTTGACTCTGAAGATGACTACCGCTAAGGTTGTCGAAACGTCAGTCAACATCAACACCAACAGTTCTTCTCAGGACTCTACCAAACTGGACGATCTTCATCCACAAACATGTACCACCCCTATTTAGTTAACCCTGTCATATCAAGAATAAACTTTAGTAGAATTGAATAAGAGATCAAGAGTACATAGAACTTAATAATACATTATTACATCAAATTTTAAGCTTTTATCGTCATGACATAAAAAGTGCATATTACTTGTCAATCACATCAACATTACACGTCACTACACCCAACATCAATGGCATTTTAAAAAGCGCAATTGCCATCGTGGAAGGCAAAATTATAGAGTTCTCAAAAGTTCTGAAAATTAAGAGAAACCCAAGAGTTCTAAACTCTAGAAATTTTTCGGCCATTCACCATGGCAATTGCGCTTTATTTGTCACCCCGACGAATTCTCTGTACATAATGTCACTTAAAATTTATGGTGTTATTTATATTTATCGTGCAAATGATATGAGGGAACTTGACAAGAAGCTACAAAAACTTTAATCGTGAAATTTTATTTTCGTGTATTTTAATGTGAAGAAAAAAAACATCGAGGATTCTCCGTATGAACAGGAAACAGTTGATCAAGTGAAGCGTATAATGGCACCATTTGTTTTAAGACGATTGAAAAATGATGTAAGTTGATTTCTATTTATATTATGTTATATTCTTTCAGTCTTTGTAAAAGTGTCTCCGTCTTTTCGATTCTTCAGGTACTTTATGACTCTCTACCTACCATAACATGACTACTGTTTTTTTGTTCTTCAGGTTCTTTGTGACTCTCTTCCTCCCAAAACATGACCACTGTTTTCTATTTCTCAGGTTCTTTGTGACTCTCTACCTCCCAAAACATGACCACTGTTTTCTGTTCTTCTGGTTCTTTGTGACTCTCTTCCTCCCAAAACATGACCACTGTTTTCTATTTCTCAGGTTCTTTGTGACTCTCTTCCTCCCAAAACATGACCACTGTTTTCTATTTCTCAGGTTCTTTGTGACTCTCTTCCTACCAAAACATGACCACTGTTTTCTGTTCTTCAGGTTCTTTGTGACTCACTTCCTACCATAACATGACCACTGTTTTCGATTTCTCAGTTTCTTTGTGACTCACTTCCTACCAAAACATGACCACTGTTTTCTGTTCTTCAGGCTCTTTGTGACTCTCTTTCTACCATAACATGACCACTGTTTTCTGTTCTTCATGCTCTTTGTGACTCTCTTCCTACCATAGCATGACCACTGTTTTCTATTTCTCAGGTTCTTTGTGACTCTCTTCCTACCATAACATGACCACTGTTTTCTATTTCTCAGGTGCTAGGTAACTCCCTTCCCCCGAAACATGACCATGTTATCGAATGTGAGCTCACTCCACGACAAAGAACTGTGTATGACAACGCATACACTGAACTTCGTAAGAATCTGGAGTCGGGAGAGGCATTTTCAGGTAACGTATATGTATGTGATTCATTTCATGAAATGCAAATTTCTAGATTGGATTATACTACGGTTCACATCAGTCATAGTTGTCTTCATAATCCACTATAGTCATGTTTTTATTTGACCAGGTACCTATGATATCTTGAATATCTTTGTGTACTCGCGTGTACTTTTTCATACCGTAGTGTACTAAGTTGTACTCAAGGTACCATCATGCACAATTAGTGGTACGCTCAGGAGGCCATTCATAACATTGTGTACTTTGATGTACCCTAATCTTGCCCTAAAATTATACTATTATTTTCTACTATTGCAGGCAGTAGCGGTTTGGGTTGTCTTACTGAGTTACGAAAAGCTGCAAATCACTCCCTTCTCCTTAGGTCCCATTACAATGATGAGATTCTGCATAAAATGGCAGTAAAATATTGCAAGGTAGCCTTTAACAAGTGTCCTGTTGATTGTTCGTTTTGTTCATTTGTCTCATTTCGATAGATCTTTCCCACAGGATCCATGTCATCGCGATTCTGAAGTGAAATTTGTTTTCGAAGATCTACAAGTTATGTCAGATTTCGAAATCAGCAGATTTTGTCGCACAGAACGGGTAAGTCAAAACCTACCATATTTAACCTGATTAACCATTGTTAAACCAAAATAAAGATGGCGATAACATTGAACGACACGATGCACTGCGGCAGACTTCTCCTCAGGGGTCACGTCTGCTTTGATGAAAACCAAATATCTACTTCTAGTCTTCTATTTATAACGAAGACAAGGAACAATGACATCAACCCCTAAACTGGATATTGACGTTTAAAATATGAACGTATCATGGAGAGCCCTAGTTCGGAATAGCTTCTACTAAATTGAGAAAAGAAGACATGTATTTTGAATTTTAAATGCCTGGTCACCATTAAAGAAGTTTGACATCACATAATAATGAAAAAGTGTAGCATTCCTTGAACTTATAGTTTGATGTATTGTATAAAACATTATGCAGGTCCTTGTAATTCAGCTTTCGGTCTTTTGAACGCTTTGCCGTGAAGTTGAACTTTGAGTTTCGAATCAAACTAGCACACTACAGCTATTTATTTTGTTTTTATTTCTTGTCGACCTATTCGGACGTCTCTGTCAGTTTTAGGTTCATCTGTAACGGGGGTCGCCACGTATTACAAAAAATAACCTATGGCAGTGCTTCGTGCATTGACATTATCTGTATAAAGTCGGGACTTTAAATTCTTTATCATGTAATATATTGATATAAAACATGATTAATATACATTTATGCTAATTCTTATCTATAAAAGAAACCAGTAGTCGTGTACATAGGTAGTAGTCTGACTGACAGAGTCAGAGACGTATCGAGAAAAATAAAGAATATTACATGGTGTCAGGAGTAGGATCGCAATAATGAACGATATGAAAGGACCAGGCGAACTCAATTTTGAAACGGCAAATCTATCAGAAGTTTTGTCGAAATGGAGGCGGAGTATACAGTATTACTTAACCGCGACATGTAAGAATAAAAGCGAAGAATAAAAAGTCACTATCTTCATGTGCATGATCGGTCGACAAGGACAAGACATCAGAGATACCTTTGAATTCGAATTAGATAAAGATGGCCTAGAAATAGTGACAGTACCAACACTATTTCAGAAATTCGAACAATATTGTAAACCACGGAAAAATTTAATCGTGGAGAGACATAGATTCTTGACAAGAAATCAGAAAAAGTCGGAAACCATCGACCAATATGTAACTGAACTTAAGACCTTGGCAGCAAGTTGCGAGTGGGGTGAGATCAAGGAGGACCTAATTTGCAGCAGAATTGTCAGTGGTATGATCTCAAAGAGTCAGAGAACGACTTCTTCGAAAACCTGACTCGAGCGATTGAAATCTGTCAAGCGGACGAATTATCATTACAACAATTAAAACTGTTTGATAACGACAAAGAAATCGATTCTATCCACAGTCCTCATCATCCTCGACGAGTAAACTTCTCTAAAAGACAGCACGTTGATAAGGCAAAAGGAAAATCGTGATGAAAATAGCATAGAAAAGAAATGCATGCATTGTGGAAACAAACATCCCAAACAAAAATGTCCAGCGTTTGGTCTGCAATGTAATAAATGCAAGAAATTCAATCATTACGCTAATATGTGTCGCTCAAGTGGAAAATTAAACTCAATTGAGACAAAGGGATCTAACAATGGATCTAATCAAGAAGAAGGAAGCGATGGTTTTCTTTTCCTCAATACAATACAAGCTCAGTTCAGTGGCCATTATTGTATTTATGACATACACTTTATTTTCCTTCAGTTAAAAAGCAAATTTTCTTCAGCTAAGATGCAACCAAACATTTCATATATTTATGCAATAATTATTACATAATAATTACAATTATTTAAGTAATAATTTATAGGATCTTGACAAGCCAGTAGAGAGGGAGCCTATTTTATAAATCAAGCACTAGAGTGACTTGGGCACCTGTGACATGCTTTGAACCCATGTCTTGAAATTACGCCTGAGCATCGATCATAGGAAAGCTATATGTAGGAGCAATTAAGAGATTTCCTCAATCATCGAAGACAAGGGTTGACTTTCTACTGTTTTACACTCCTGCAGTCAAAGCGTAGTGTTTCTTGTCTTTGTTACAAAATATTGTGACAGAATCTTTTGCCCTTGTTTCATGGATCACTCATTGGATTAGGACCGTTTTCTCTTGATGAAAACGAGCTCCAAGTCTTATTTCTTCATCCATTAAAGAATGATAATAATATTCGTTCTTGTCTGTTCTTTCTGTTGTAGAAATTGTCTCGTATATTTGCTTTATTTCCTCCCAGTCCTCGGAAAATTAAATTCGTAATTAACTGCTCGTCGTTCAGTGATACAGCTAGTGTGGAAGCAAGTCAAGGCGTAATGTTTGCTTTCTTTTCTACAAAACATTGTGACTGTACCTTTTCCTCTTGTTTCATGAATCTCTTCACTCATTGGATTAGGACCGTTTTCTCTTTTTACTACTTTAAGGTCTGATAACCATCGAAACTGCGATTTTCCTTTTGGTTCTGGTTCAAATTCAAAGTAAGGAGAAGTTTTCCATCCAAGAGTTTCATCAATTTCTTTTCTTTATGCATCTTCATCATTCTGTCTTTCAGCTGCCACAGTCACATACAAAGATAGATAGGGTTCCCATCGTACACCATATCCACCACATATCCAAGGAAAACTACATAATATACAATGATATTCAATAAATTGGGTACAACAAAAACAACATGTATTAATTAGATTATGTTTAACAATTTTCCTGTCATTCATAGAAAATGCTAAAATCAAATTAATGATAGAATAAGTAAAAGTTGTTCAGAGGTGAACGTAGCACTAAGTCATGTTGTTTTTAATGTTATTACCCACTGAAACTTGATTTTGAGCCTATACTCAGTATAGCAGCCCGCAAAAATTAAACCTCGTCAAGTTTACTCAAGGACTGAAATCACAAGTATCCGATGAGAGCGCGTCAAAGTCAACACAACATGCTTCTACAGATGAATATTCAGAACAAATTCGAACCAAATGTGAAGATGTATTTACAGGTCTTGGCTGCCTCTCAAAACTATATCACGTGGAAGTGGACCCTGATGCACAGCCGGTCATACATCCGCCACGAAAAGTTCCACATCCTCTGCGAGAGCATCTAGCCAAAACCATCGAAGATATGGTGAAGCAAGGATTTGGTAAAAGTCGATGAGCCGTCGGATTGTGTCAATTCGATGGTTGCTGTCAAGAATAAAGATGGAAGTTTACGCATCTGTATTGATCCTAAAGATCCTAATAAAGCTTTGAAAAGAGAACATTATCAGCTTCCGACTATCGAAGAAATCACTGCTCGAATGCCAGGTGCATGTTTCTTCTCCACGTTAGATGCAATCGGGCTATTGGCGAATACCTCTGGACGAAGAAAGCTCCAAGATCACGACTTTCAATACACCGTTTGGGCGTTTTAGATTACCCGAATGCCGTTTGGAATCCGAAGTACTCAAGAAGTGTTTCACAAAAGAATACATGAAATCTTTAAAGATGTAGCTGGCGTCGAAACAGACGTCGTTGACATTCTTGTTTGGGAGGAAACACATAAAGAACACGATGAGCGTCTCAAGGCAACGCTGGGTCGAACTAGAGAGTGCAATCCAAAGTTTAAGCTAGAAAAAAGTCACTTTAGAAAAAAAGTGTGGTGTATATTGGACATCAGCTCACACACAAAGGTGTCAAACCAGATCTACAGAAAATAGAAGCAATCGTGAACATGCTACAACCCGAAGACAAGAAGGGAATTCAAAGGCTTCTTGGTATGGTCAATTATGTTGGAAAATTCGTACCAAATTTATCGGCAATCACTTCACCTTTACGACAGTTACTTAAAAAAGACATAGCGTCTCACTGGACCGTGAGACATTCTCATGCTTTTGAAGAGATAAAGATCTTACTCTCAAGTCCACAGCCTGGCATCTTGGCATATGAAATCAGTTTATGTTCAAGTAGACGCCCCGAAATCGGGACTAGGAGCAGTACTTATTCAATCGAATAGACCAGTAGCATACGCTTCAAGATCTTAGACACAAGCAGAAACCGGATATGAACAGATAGAAAAAGAATTGCTAGCGGTCGTGTTTGAGTGTAATCGTTTCTATCAGTACATTTATGGCAGGCATGTTATAGTAGAATGGGATCATCAGCCACTGGAAACCATCAGCTAGAAATCGTTGGATAAATCACCACTTCGCTTGCAAAAAATGATCCTGAATTTACAGCGGTTTGATATTGAGGTAAAATATAAACCGGGAACTGAATTATACATAGCAGATACGTTGTCCAGAGCCCATTTGTCAAATTACAAATCAGAGGAAGGTACACTTGATTTGCATTATCAAGCGATTGCTATGATCTCAATGCTACCATTGTCTGACGGCAAACTAAGAGAAATTACAGAAGAAACTAAGAAGGATGAAATGATGAAAGAGCTAGTGAGAGTGATTACTGAAGGTTGGCCGAATGATAAGAAAAATCTTTCAAGCTTCTTAAAACCATTATGGAGCTACAGAGAAGAACTGACAGTAATTGAAGCTGTGCTTTTCAAAGGAGAAATGACCTTCATTCCACCCTCACTGCGAGAAAGTGTTTTAAATAAAAACCATCAAAGCCACATGGGCATTGAAAGACGTAAACAGCGTGCAGGTGAGCTGGTATACTGGCCAGGTTTAAATAAGGATATTCAGACAGTTATTGAAAATTGCTCACTTTGTGCTGAATTTAGATGCAGCAATAAAAAAGAACCTATGTTACCACATACAATACCTAAATACCCATGGCAGATTGTGGCAACAGACATGTTCTATTGAAATAATGATGATTACCTTCTGGTTGTGGACTATTACAGTAGATTTTTGGAGATATTTAAAACTACCAACACAAAGAGTCCTGCAATAATAGATAAAATGAAAACACTCTTTGCACGACATGGAATTCCAGAAATCGTTAAATCCGACAATGGTCCACAATACTCCTCAAAAGAGTTTGCTGAATTTGCCAAAACGTGGGGGTTCGAGCACATAACGTCCAGCCCAGGGTATCCACAATCCAACGGTGTAGCAGAGAAAAAGGTACAAACGGCAAAGTCCACTCTAACGAAAGCTCGAAAAGATAATCGAGATTTAAATTTAGCCATATTAGAGCAAAGAAATACACCAATTGATGACATTGGATCACCAGCACAATTAAGCATGGAAAGAAGACTCGATCAAATATGCCATCCTCGACAAAACAACTTATTTTAAAAACAGTGAATCCTGAAATCTTTCAAATAAAATTTGAAATGAAGCAAAAACATACTACGACAGATCGTCGAAATTTGTCGAAAACTTGATTGAAGTTGAAAATATTTATGTTGAAAGAGAAAGGAAATGGAAACCAGCCGTTATCATAAGCAAAGCGGACACCCCAAGAAGTTATAATGTGAAAACATCTGAGGGTGCAGAATATCAACGAAATAGAAGACATCTGAGGAAAACTAACGATCAAAATTTGCAGTCTCCCCTTCGTTCGCAATCAAAGAAAAATGAAGCAGACACAAAAGAACAAACACAACTTAAAGAAACAAGAGTAAAAGACAAGCAATCGACATGTTCTACTGGAACCACTTTATCACCAATGAAGACAATATCAGGATGTATCGTAAGTAAGCCAATACGATGAAAAGACCATGTTTAACCTTTAATATAGACATTTATAAAATCAGATCATTAGTTACATTACATAGGGAATAGTTAGTTAATCGTTTATTTAAACTAGAATGAAATTGATAGATAAATCAGACAGAAAAATACAAGGATACTAGTTTTAAAACAGGGGTTGTAACATATTGATATAAAACATGATTAATATACATTTATGCTAATTTGTATTTGTAAAAGAAACCCGTAGTCGTGTACCTAGTTAGTAGTCTGACTGACAGAGTCAGAGATGTATCGAGAAAAATAAAGAATATTACGGACTTTAATTTTTTATGAAATTTTTATGAAATATCGGACTTTAATTTTTTAACAACGGATTTTAATTTTTTATGAAGTTTCATCAAATAGCAAAATCATTAATGAACACCATGATGTGTTTGTACTGTTATAGAGCGTTAAAGATTATCACCTGTACGAAGACTTCCTGATGGAAAGTGGGAAATTACGCTACATTGACAAGATTCTACCGGATTTTAAAGAGAAGGTAATAAAGGCGAAACTTGTCTTTGCGGTAATGTGCAGGAAAAAGCGATGACGCGATCTACTTAACTTTCATCATATGCTGAGAGAAGATGATTGAGATACACACATCATATGTTTATTTGGAAATATGTAATTTGTGTGTAGAAGGTTGTAATTTGTTTGTTATTGATATTAACGTTTTACTATTCAGCCTGTGAGCTCCTCTTGGCGAATAAAGTCTTCGGATGTCCAACATGCAGGAGTAAAATATAACATGGTTGACATATCGCCCAAATGCACTGTGAATGATCACAATAGCCGATGTTTTATTGTCACATTATATCTGTGTAGGGAGATCGCGTTCTTCTGTTCAATCAGTTCACCTTGACGATGGATATTCTTGAAGTTTATTTGCGAATCAAGGGTTTCAAATACTTGAGATTTGATGGATCTGTATCTGTGGAAGAAAGGTGAAATTATTTAGGCCTCCTTTACACGACATATAGGATTCCCTTCTCACGAAATCTTTGTTTGTCATTGGAGAAATTTAGCAAACGCATCTTCTTCCTTACTTTATATGCGAGCCTTTTTAGTTATTTGTTTTACATATTCTTTTATCTTGGTGTTATTTGTTGTTTTTTATGAAACCGTAATATTCGTTAAGTATCATCTTTTCTCTCTTACTTTATAGGCAAACTCTTATCGATAAATTCAACGCCGATAACAATATATTTATATTTTTGCTGTCAACTAAAGCAGGTGAGAGATTTTGTTGGTAACTTTTGAAATATTTAGCGCATTTATTCTTTAGTGGAGAGGCGTCCTTCCGTTGTACCATAATTGAAATAGTTTAACCCGTGATGAATCGCCTCGTCTGTCAAAACGTCAGCATGAGCGCCAACCTGAAAAATCAAAGTCTACAATCATATGAAATAAAGTTTAACTCTTATGAAGCTTTACTTGCTACAGTTTTCAAACTTTGTTGACTTTTCGTTTAAACGGTGTAAACAATATATTTTCTCGACCGTAGGTGGCCTGGGTATTAATTTAACTTCGGCGAACGTCGTTATCCTCTTTGATTCCGACTTTAATCCTCATAATGACAAACAAGCGGAAGCTAGATGTCATCGTTTGGGACAGACAAGGTAAAATGGTTAGATTCAATGACTTAGAACCCAGTCTACTAGATATCTGACTCCACCAAAATTGCATAGTATTGAGTGAGGCGAGCCGCCATCTTGAAAGGAGGCAAAATTGACGATATTCACGACCAATATCTGCTTTTGTTGAGTTGATTTAGAGATGCAAAGTTGATTGTCTAGGTTTGATTCTTAAAATGTTTGATAGGATGGGTTTTTTAAACTTTGTTTTGACTTATTTTTCATTTTGAGTTTTACTTTTCGCCACCTTGAAACGGCAGTTAGACATCTAGAAGATTGGATTCTAAATCATTGGGTTTGATTCTATTCAAAGGGAGGTGTATATTGTAGTGAAGACCGTGAATGGAGGGAAACATTGACTGTACTAAAATAGAACCGTACGGTAAACATTGACGGTACGGGAAACTGAACCATATGGTAAACATTGACCGTACGGAAAACTGAACCATTTGGTAAACATTGACCGTACGGGGAAGTGAACGTTTTGGTAAAAAATGACCGTCCTAGGAACTGTACCATACGGGAAACTGAAAGTATAAAACTGAACCGTTTAAGAAAATCCACCATTCAAAACCTATTAGTATGTAAAGTTTACTTTTTAATTTTTTTTGTATCTTTCATACGTTTTCCCTTGTCTGCAGAGAGGTGAACGTTTATAGACTGATTTCGACAGATACCATCGAAAATACGATTTTGAAATGTGCCAATGAGAAAATACGTCTACACGAAGATGTTTCAGGTAAAACTGTTAAAGATGGATGGCTTCAATAGTGGCACATTTATCAACAAAGCGTACAAATTAACGTATAATGCCCTTCACGATGCTCAAACCCACGGGTTCATTAAATATTGGCAGCAAAGTGCATGACATAAATTATTTTACTTTGTCACTGGCACAAAAACAGAACATCTAACAACAAAACCTCTACTGTAATGCACCAATGAGAATAGCATTGGGACAAGGGATTGAAATTTCACTATAAATTAACATCAAGAGGTCTTTTTCTTTGACACATCCTATATGTATCCATGTTGTTTAGGTTATATATCAGGCTGTGTAATAGCCCGTCATGTATTTTGTTTGACTTTTTCAGGAAATCAGAGCAGTGATCAAAAGAGTATTGAGGGTTTTCTTACTTCGCTGTTCGGATCGACGAAAACTGAGAAAAAGAATATGTATGAATGAAATTACGTAAAATTTCAATAATTAAATATATAATAATGTAAAAACTTGACATTTTCAAAGAAAAACTTAATAATTTTTGAGGATTGAATTTTCTCAATGAAAGCAATGAATGTGAAAAACATACGATTGCTATTATGGATATAAGTATGAAAACACGCGATATTTATCACGGTTTGTGTATTTTAACACGTGATGGTGATCATAGAAGTATATTCACACGTGTTATTACTTTACTTAGAGGTATATGGACATTAGATTTTGTTATTATGACCCAGGCCTCTAAATGTCACCGATCGTTATCCAGTAATATTTTTCATTTTGACCAGCAAATGAAAATCTCATGATTATATACACGTTCCACATAGTATTTTTTCTGAATGTACTCAAGTTTTGTTTAGAACTTGGCATATTTAAATCATCTCTAAATAATTATCATTAATCATAGTAATCAAACCTGGAAATTTGAAATTACAGAAATTAAAATAGGTTACAAACAAAATCGGAAAATCTAAAAATTGAAAGGTGATCAAAATGAACTGTTTATGCTTTCAAAATTCACTTCTAAACCTGATATGAACAAAAGTTGATATTTATCCTGTAAGTTAAGCAGGCAGGCTCCTACATCGCTCAAAAATTTATTATTACACAAAATAGAAATAATTAATGTTAAATATTTAGTTATACAAAATAATTACCCACGATATATTATAACCACATGCAATGTGTGATATTCGCATCACACTAACTCAGTTCAAATGCGCTCAATTCATTATATTTCCAAGAAACATTAGTCTGTTAAAACGCAGACTTCTTTAAATTCGGCACGCTTTCATTTTTTGCCTCGTTTTCATTGGACGTTTGTTCTTTTCTTGTTACGTCATCAGGCATGTTACGTTCGAGTCCCGTTTTCCCATTCAATTGTATGTCACTATCGGAATTGCTCGTTGCTTCATCGGAAACGTTCGCCATGTCTTCAGTAGGTGTTTTATCGTCGTCTTTTAACTTTGGATTTCTTTTCGGTGGACTGGAATTTCTTTCGTGGGCGTCCGTCTCATCTTCGCAATCACTCAAATCTATATCGTATCCATTATGTTTTTTAGGATGGTGAGCTAATTTTTTGTGAAGATAATCAGAGAACTTTTGCAGGCGTTCCGATATATGAAGTCCGTTTGGCCAACGGCGTCGTGACTCGAGACCGGAATCCATCGACTTCGCGTTTACTTTAGTCAAGTTTGTTTTGTTGTGAGAATCACTTTCAACGTTGTTTTCGTGTTTACCCCTACGACTTCGACGAAATTTCTTGAACGGTGATTTAAACGGTAATTTGAAATCTCGATGTTTTTTTCTGGTGACGAACTTGATGATGTGCGTTCTTTTGCGTTGGTTATCCGATCTGAGGCCTCGTTGTCGTCCTTTGTTTCTTCACCCTCGGAAGTTTTCCGCAATTTAAACCCTGTCGTAGGACTGGGTAGTTTCCATCCGCCAGAGGGCTTTGGTGGACGTGCGGGCTTGACTGGCGAAGTCTGAGGTGTTTCTCCGTCATCGGAAAGGTTTTCATTGGTTATCTCTGTGTTCACTTCTATAGGGCCTGGTATTTTCTTGTTCAACTTGCTGAAGGGCTTTGGGGGAGGTGTCGGCTTTATTGGCGAGGTCTGAGGTGTTTCTGCGTCATCAGAATGGTTTTCATTGGCTATTTCTGTGTTCACCTCTTTAGGGCCTGGTATTTTCTTGTTCAACTTGCTCAAGGGCTTTGGGGGAGGTGTTGGCTTTACTAGCGAGGTCTTAGGTGTTTCTGAATCATCAGAAAGATTTTCATTGGCTTCCTCTGTGTGCAAATCCGTATGTTCCACCTTCGTGCTTTCTTCTTCGTCATCCTCCTTAATATCTTCAGATATGACAAAGTCAAAGTCCAGGCTAGCTTGAGACTTCACGAAGGCTCTTGATGGAGGTCGTCGCTTTGGTCTCATTTTCACCCTGTCTTTGTTGATATGCTCCAGTTGAAGTTTTGGTACTGTAAAGAAAGATATTCTAGACTATATGACGTTTGTTGGGTTAATTAAATTTTCACGTTTTTCAATATCAAACTGTTGAATCTAAGTTCAATTACCCACAACAGAACTTGTTGTGCTGCTAAATTTTCTTCCTGATAACTTCTAAGTAATGTGTGATTGAGTAGGATACTCATCTCCCCTACTTTTTTATTTCATCTTACTGTACATTTTGATTCGGGGGGGAGATTGGTTGAAACTGTTAAGAAAAACATTTCGCAATTTTGCCACCACATATTATTCCCCTTACAATGAACCATAGAGGCTATTTTATATCTTCATACCTTCCTCCATGAACGAGATCCCCTCTTCATCCATGTTTTCTGTTCGTCTTACCCACGTGCCATCCTCCATACTCCTTCTAAAGGAATCAATGAACATGTGAACTAGAATCTCGGGAAATGCTTACTTAGGGCTACCAAAGGTAATCTCAAATACGTTTTTTCCTATCGTGTCGGGAGATGACAAAAATCACGCGTGACTGACACGAAGTACGTAAACCAATCGAAATCTTTCTTGGATCCTTTCACACGTGATTTGTCACTAATTACACGCATAATGAACATGATCGACATGACATAATGCCACGTGTGAAATTACTTTGGACGGCATTTATCGTAAAGTGTTTGAAATTTTTTTTGCCAAAAATCGGAAAATTTAAGTATACCAAAACGGACTGTGACTACAATAATGAAATTCACACACACAAAAACTTAACTTGAAACAATCATTTTCTCTTTGTCCCTTGTCTAAGGAATTTTTTTTTATCACACACGATGCAACAAATATTTCAATAGTATATACACCCCCGGCCCTTTATCACACAACAAATTTGTGCATAAATTATTATTATGATAAGTCCAATTTACCGGCTCGATTACCAGATTATATATTTATCGATATTTTGTTTGATTGCTTAGGCTTGCCTTGGTGAAGTTTAAATTGACAAACATGAATGAAAGCAAGATGAGTGCTTGCCTTGTTCAAGCAACGTCTTTCCTGACCGCCCTTTCCCTCTTAAAAAAATCTTCCTAAGCCTCAAATAAAGATTCCTGTGCGCACGAGAAAGACGTAGTTGTCAATTTTCGATAAGTGTTTTTGAACTATGCAACAGGCCGTGTTAAAAATCAGAGAATTTCCGTCGTACCGTAGTGGATAAAAGCATACCTAAATTCACCCACTACACACTGATGCCCGACGCCATAAGTACAGGAATCATCAAATAAATACACATTTATACATATATATATAGCATGCGAAACTTACTCAAGCAGATTTGGTTCAGACATCCATTTTCTTGTCAAATTAGATTGAGCTTGTTTCTATACGAAGGGAAAGCTTCTTTATAATTATAACTATATGAAATATGAATGACTAGTATTGTTTAGATCACTACACAAGACATTAGTGTTCGCTGAAGTCGAACATGAATGTCAGGTATTTCACCATCGCTGCATGTTTCGTTTGCCATATGCAGCGTATTGTTTTGTAAATATTGCTTTGTTCGCTCTACCGCAGCGTTAGGCAGATTGCTATCCACCATATATACACATGGATCATGTCAAATTGTGGATTACAATGTGTACAAAACTTAGTTGTTGAACATATCAATGACAATTAGTTCGAGTATTACAATATTTTAATTTATGTGATAGCTTAATCCTTATAAGAGAAATTTAAAAGTTAATTTGATACATTAAGTCAACAAACATAATATTGTGTAGACCTTAGAATTAATCTAAAACAAATGCTTTAGTTACTACAGTTCGTCCTCGCCAACAGTTTTCAGTTAAAGCCTATCATTTGAATGCCACATTGTTCTAGCAAGTGTACAACTACATACAAACTCTCTCCTGTAATTTACATGCGGGGGATTATGGCATTCTTGCCAAAATCTGACAGTGTTTACTCAATACGATACTTTTACAACGTGTTATGTAGAACGGCAGTTTTCCTAGGAAAAAAAAAGACATTTCTATCGCAATTATTGTCACACACAGAGTCTCAGACACGTAATTGTTAAATATTTTCGCAATATTATGTTAACTTTGTATTTACAATGGCTATTTAACTGTAAGATTCGATGTCGTGAAAAGTCGCAGGTGCTTGAGGTTACGGCTAAACACAAATCTCGACGTATAAACTACATTTGCAAGTTTCACAATGGCAGTTTCACAAAATATAATAAAACACTTCGTCCGTCTTGCCTAGGTCTTGCCTTGCCAAGCTCAGATCAGACCGCTTAGCAACATTATCGCTTCTACATACAAGAGCAGATTTGTGAATAAATAAATGAAAAGGTTGCGTCGATAATCAGCTGACTTATAACTGTCATAGATTATTAATCTAAACGTTCTCCAATAACAGACGTCAACCGCGAGATTTGTGCATTACAATTTCTAGCTGTTCTATTATTCTTCTGTGTATACAGCATTATTAACATCAATATGTCATGTCGAATGTAATAAATTGCCGTCAAAATAAACATTAATATAAAATGAAAATTATCTGAAACAATGACTAGGAAATTAAAAACATATGGCGCACAAGAAACGAACAACAGATACAAATATAAATCCACACGGTTGCGTCGCAGACAACGTAATCTCTCGCTGATATTTGAAGTTTTGAAGTTCTTTCCCAGTAGCCTGCTGTTTTGTACTACATATACAATCAACAGATCCATTTCATAGCAATTGCAATGTGTAACTCAAAGTGAATACTGTGTTCATGCGTATATTGCAAACAATTACCTTGGGTGATCCGCTTTCAGTGTTTGAAACGTCAACCATTTTCATTTAAAGTTTAAACTTTCTTCTGTATGATTCGAAATCTTGCTTCAAATGACAGTGAATTGTTTTGCTGCCTTCGTTGTTTCCATTTCTTGGCGTTGTGTATCAATTTTCGTTTAAAGGCACACTGTTTTACATTCTCAACTTCCGTGATATTATGTCGCCAGTTTGCATTTCCTTCGCTCAAACCGTGTGCTTGTTTGTGTTGTAATGTCGTAATGACACCAGCTTGTGCGGTAACTGTTAAATTCTTTCTTTTGCTATTTGTTTTTTAATCTGTATATTACCTTACAGGTGGCATAGATAAACACATTGTCGATTTCTAACTCATAATGACCGACATTATTCATACGTCATTTGTTCCTACTCAAGCGTTTGCAGACAGCTGTAGTTCTTTGTTCACATAGAAGAAGGGAAATAAATTAAATAAAGATGTGGTTTTGTCCTGGCCACACTGACACATTAATATTTTACGGAAAATTTTTGCAAATGCCGTGAACATAAGGTCAGCTTCTGTGAACTTTGGTTGGTAGCAAGTTCAAGGATTTCCTTCATTCAATGTCCCATCAATTTATACAAGACCAATTGTGGACTATGAAGATATTTCAAAAAAAAGTTCTAGTTTCTTTCAGATTATAATATCATTGATAATAACATCACGTTGTTTTGATGCATGAGGATAATCATCGTCTCCTATGTTCTAAGTTTTACGGTTCTAATAACTTATGTGCAAGACCAACTACAAAATTGTACATTTTGTAAAGTGTATAGATATCTTATCCTCAATATGCAATTACTCTTATTAATGTACGTCAATATATTCTACTCTTCAAATCTTACAGATACTTTGTGTAATACCCAAAGACCTGATGAAAGAAATGTTTAATTTTATGTACGTAGCAAAGTTGTAGACCTTGAATTTCAAACAAATGTTTTGTTTAATATAATTCATATCTGGTTAATGATTTATTTAACGCTAAATGTTTAATAGTACGATGTGAATTTTATGATGGTCCCAAAACTTGCAAGTGAACTCAATTTCTTCACAGGTGATAAACAACAAACTCTTCTGAAATTTTTATTTTGAGAATGATAACTGGAGATTATACTTATGACGTTTAGTCTGATGCTTTCGAGTAATCAGATATTTTTCTCTTTCTAATCCCTGACGATGGAGAAAGTGACATTACAACACTTTGACAAGATTCGTCACCACAAAATTATCTCTAAACTTTTATTTCCACTTCAACCTTGAGGAAAATGTTATCATTTTTCAAAAAACCGCGTGTATGTAATTCTTCATGACTGACAAAATTGTCAAATCCTACAATTATCGATCTATCATCGCCTAGAGGACGGGGGATACCGTTGCCTGTTTTATCCTTCTCGTTGTTATCTCGTTTGATCTCGTGAACCTTACGGCGTCTCACGATGTCACTACGATGCATGTCGCCTCGATTCTGTTCGTAGAGTATGAACGTGAACTGAGGCCGTATGGGCCATTGCATGATGGGGTCATAATCTCCGGCCATCACTTTCCCGTAGACAGATATTGAATCCCTAGATAGTGTCCCCGACCGTTCAAATACACCCATACGCATAGCCTGTAACCAGGCAGTCCCGTGTAAAAAGGCTCACTTCTAATTGGATCATCAAGTTTGCCGGAGCGGATGCGCCTTAAACGTCTCGTGTAGTTTCTAATTATCCAAAGATGTTCTCCATACCACGGGCTATCCCTGAGATCAACCGTACTCTTGAAAGTGGCATATTCAATTAAAAACTGATCAAATTTATCGCTCAAATCTTCAAGCGTCTCCGAGAGATTTTTGTTCTGTTTTGTGTAGTCACACGTAGTTTGGAGACATCCTGTTGTACATCTTTCAAAGTTGCTATTTCAAGGTCTACATGCTTTTTTTTCTCGTCTAATTCTTCCTTGTATTTTTGAAGACGTTCCTCTACTCGAATAATGTATTGCTTTTGTTCTGCAATCTTCTCATTTAGTTCCTTTATCCTCGTCTCTTGATCTTTCACAATTGTCCGCAACATTGCGATGTGATAATTCAATTTCTTTTTCCGTTTTTGTCTCATTTCCTGTTCATCGTCCAGCTCCTAGAAGATTTGGAAAGAAAACTATCATCATTAGTTATCCTAGATATTTGGTCATCCGGTTATTAATCTTATCATCCTTATTTAAAAGTATTTGATCAGTTTCTTTCGGAAGAAAACGAAGTACTTGCTTTAACTGTTGCTTATTCTTGGTGGCAAAGCAGGGGAGGTAGGGAAGAGGATATTTTTTCTATTCTTTTTCTCCCCCTCCTTCTCGAGTTTTACTCAATGTATTTGTCCATTCACGGCTTAACGCGTTTAAACGAATTTTAAACTTACAAAACAAAACCTGTTTTAAACTTTACACCTGTCACTGACATTTTAATCGCTTCATAATGCCTGGTTTCCATATGATCGTTTCTGTCGCTAGAGTCGTTTCTGTCTGTTGAAAAAAGTCCCCTGCGGTGATCAAACGACAGAAGCGATTATTGCGATGAACTGGTTTCCATTAATCGTATGCATCGTATCTAATTTGAACTAGTCACCATACACTTACTGTATGATATATTCAAAATGACGGCAGTCAATCGAAGAGGAAGACTTGCAGCGTGTTATTTTCTTTTGCGTGTGCTGAGAAGAAGGAGAGAGCGAAAGAAAAAAAGAAAACATCGTTTTGGGTTTTAATATTTCGAAAATTTGTTATATAAACAATCATACTTTTGTACTTCTTCCATAAATGACATTCATACATCGCTAACGTAGTGTAAAGCTCAATTGAATAAGTTTGAACAATCTTGTGAATGGTGACTCCACCAGCAACTATGGTTTGATACATTGGCCAAAAGCTCTAATCTTACGTCCTTTTTCCAAGTACAGGAGTCACAAATTTACTTTGGAGATAACCGGGAGGACACATGGTTTATACAGCACATATATTTATTGTTTTTTTGCATATATGTCTTAGTAACAGTCCTTATGTTGATGACAAGGTATTAAATGGGATATAAATAAGATTAAAGGTGTTCATCTGTCTTTTGATATCCGGAAGCTGTTTAATAAATCTGGCGAGAGCGTGAAAATAACAAAGAAACGGGCGACCTTCAATCAGCTGGAGATCTAATGATCCTGGGAAATACAATTATACAGATCTCAATAGGAAAACTGGATCTGTTTAAGCGAGCCCTGAATCATACATTATTTATAGGATTCAATCTTCTCGGTCATTTTGATTTTTTACACATAAGGTTTTGATTTTAATTACCATTCTCCTTTCCGCATTGAACAAACCGACCGACCATCAAACGAATTCCAGTCATATTTTACGAGACTGATTCTCATAGTTTACTTCAAAAAATATTTGTACGAATTACTCTTGAAAGACGCAACATATGAATTCGTGAGATGGGCTAACGTATATTTGAATGTAAATATACAAAAAATAGAAGTTGATGTGGTGTATAAGGACTTTTGTCTCTGTTTTTCATTGATCCTTACAAACGTCATTGCGTGTTTTGATCATTAATCTTTATACTACATTCAAATACTAACGATTGAATCTAACACGTTATACAAAACCATCGAGATTCTAACAGCCCCATGGGAACGTCTATAAACTTCTGTGGGGAAGCAATTATTTTTAAAATAAAACTGCCAATTCCTCCTCAACATATACAACATCAAATAGTGCTATTAGTAATCTTACTCTGTCGTCAAGAAACAAGCTTATCTTCAACAGCCAATTGTCGCTATCTTCCATTTCTTTTTATCAAGTCTTTTACGTAATTTTAATCATTCTGGTCATTTTCTTTTTAGATTCTACACTTTGTGTTTATCCAAGGTCAACTTTCTCTGCCAAGTGCTGATCATTATTAAAGAGGGAAGCTGTGCAAGTGTTATAATCTTCTCTATCATTTATTAATTAACTTCTACTATTGTTTAACAATTGAGTGAAGTTTTAACAGCTTGATAGCTTGTTACTTTGCTGCGATTGTGTCATCACTTCTATCAACAGCTCTTTTTTCATCTCATTCAACTTTTGCTTTGAAGACTAATTATGTAGTACCTTATCTTCTCACAAAAAATGTTCTATATATCAGACCTTTACGAGCAATGTGTCAAAACAGATACTTTTGCGCTAAGAGGAGAATTCGTCGAATTCTCCTTCATTTCTGCTTGGGTGGCAGGAAAATGAAAACGTTTGTTGAGGCAAATTGTCTTGAGTCACTAAGGTTGACCCCGATTGACCTTTAGAATGAACAATTTCAAAATTGAAGGAGCTTCTCAAAGTATTACAAAATATTTACTCAGTTAAAAATTAAGTCTGAAGTCAACGATAATCAAATTTAAAAACATAAACACAAAAGTCTGACGGTAGATTTCACATTGATAGAGTCCACCAGCGTAACCAGGCCAGATTTACCGTTGGTTCTATTGAGTAGACACCAATGTTTTTATCAATGAATTAACTACTTTAGATTATCGAACATGCCGCTCTAGTAGATCCATAAACTTATAACGAAAAAGCTATTATGGATAAAGCTTTAAAAGCGTGCTGAATTGAGGTACTTGTTCCCTTCGTGTTTTTTTTATGAACATCAGTTTATACTCCTGTCCGGTTGATAGACCTTTGTCACTGAATATTTTAAAAAAACACTTGTTTGAAAACATTGATTTTACAAGATTTTTATAAGGAACTTGTGATTAAATTGAAAAGATTTCGTTGTTTTCTTCACCTCCCCACACAACCCTGTTGCTGTTTTAAAATTACCTGTCAGTGACGAGTCAAACCGCAAATTATAATCCTGCTTCCTGAGTGCCAGTTCGTAAATTAATTTATCTAAGCCAGCTATGTAAATATTGTTCATTTTCTTAAAAATCAATTTATTTTCACAAGGACTGCGTAAAAATATACTCCCATAACATGACTACAGGAGTGAGTAAACAAAGCTGTTAACAAATACTAATTAAATATAAATAAAACAGTTGGATCGTGGTGTTGTACTGAATTTTTCCATGTAACTTTTTGGGTAGAGATTATTTCTGAACGTTCGCTTAAAATTGAAGGACGGCTGTTTATAGCAATTTTATTAACATGCGTAACACTAGCCTTTAAGGATTACTAGCCATTGTTAAACATAATCTTTAAGCTGATTTCCTCCGTGCGGAAGATTAATATGAATTCCACCGAATCTGTCATAATTCCACAGCTCAAAATTAGTTTTAAAATCCGATCAAATCTATTTCGGTTGGGAAGTCATAGCGATATTTAGTGTAAATTTTTCATTGTTGGCAAGGACGAGTTTGCGTCGATAAACGGTAATTAATTTGACAATTTTTATCACGATCTATCCTGCCAATTTGTTGACGTGTTTGTCTGTGCTTCTCTCTAAAACCGTACACCTCTATGATAAGTGTTTTTTTTAACTTGTTCGTTAATTGCACTGAAATTTAATGAAGAAAAAAGCAAGGATTAGCAAGTACTTGCTTGTTTATTTAAGGAGCGCAGATATGTTTCTAATCTGAATTGGTATTTGCCTTTTTATTTATAACCAAAAATAGAATTTGCTGTCTTAAGTAATTTCCATAATCTGCGTAACCAAGACGCGTGTACATCGACGGGAGTAAATCCCCGGGATTTAACATCGTATTTTTGAAAGCGTTCCACGGTTGTCAATGTAATGATGTCAGACAGGAGAAAAGTAAAACCTCTCACAAAATGGGAATAGCTATTTCAAAACCAGGTTTGCTGTCGTGAATTCTTTGTTTGCTAGTTGACGCTTGCGTTTTTATTGCTTGTATTTTTGCTTTGTAACAGGAAAGCAAAGTTTTGTGCAAGAAAATCCGAAGTTCAAGATAGTCCTTGTAGGTCTGTAAAAATGTGCATGTCCCTTGCATGTATATATGACCTGCCTTTTTTACGTTTTTCTTGGCGGCAGATTAATACCAAGGGATGCAAGTATTGTTGCTAGTGTTGTCTAGAAGCATTCGAGTGACAAATCTGCCTGCCAATGCCAGAATAACGTAATTAAGTGCCAGGCATGTCGTCTATTGCAGCGTTACCAGACTTCCAGTCATGTACTAGCGTATGCTAGTAGTTACTTAGTCAAAACTGGAATGCCTTTAATTAAATATGCCTTTATTTGCATTAATCCAAAGTAAAAGTCTTCTATTTTTAACTCACTCTCATTATAAACTTCACTTGGCCACAAAAGAAAGAGAGCTTGTTGTATGTATTCTAGGCTTCAAATTTTGGCAGAAGTTGGTCATTCAGTTTTATGAAATAAAAACATTAAAACGCATGCTGTGATTGGTCTAGAGCTGTGTTTGCATTAACCTGTGCAAAACACATCCGAGCTCAACCAATCAAATCAATCAAAGCAATCCATCAGTCAAAGAGAATTTGCAAATCGATCATGAATACATTTTAGAGGAAAAATTAAAATGTTTGTCTTTTTCACAGTATTTTACTTTATAAAAGAAATTAAAGATGTTTTTCGTCTTTGCACTGGCTTATGCAAACCTTGGAGATGTATGTGAGAACTCTCGAGCATGTGCAACCCTCGACCTTTGGTCTCGGACTTGCACTGATCTGCTCTCGAGTTCTCCCAAAGGTCTCCTGTGTTTGCATAAGTCTGTGCAAACACAGTAAACATCTTTTATTTCTTAAATATTGAGTTCAATTCAATGGATGTGAGTTTTCATCTTAAACAAATTTTAATCCCGCAGGGGAACCTTTTGTTGGCAAGAGCAGTATATTCCTTCGATATACCAAAAACCAGTTTGACTACAGTTATCAACCAAGCGTATCTGTTGCAATTGGTAATGTGGTGAAAAAGGTCAATATACCATATCAAGAAGTGGTATCTGTGGTAATATGGGATATCCCAGGACGTGAGGAAATGGATCTGCGAAAGAGCTACTATAAAGATGTTGATGCAGCAATTGGTTGGTTAAATACAGTTTGAAAATGCAAATATTGAAATATTTAGTTTATAAGTTCAAGAAGTGTTTGTTTTACAATTGGCCTTAAACTTGCATGTCATTGGTTGTTCAATTCTATGAATGACCAATCATATAAAGACTTCAAAAACAAAGTAAACTAGTGTAGAAGAAACTTTAAAAGTTTGAAAATGAGCCTTCAAGACATTGTGCATACTAAATTTTGAAGGAAAAGGAATGAAAAAGGGAAATGCTGAACAAAATATTTGTTTTGTAAAATTCATTTGCAATAAAGAGGGGGACATGATTATATCGAATTTTTTACTCATATGATAATTTATATTTTCAACTGAATAGATGAATATACACCCCCCTTGCTAATTCGTATTCTAGGCATGGCATAATTATATTGATTTTCTTACTTAGATGATAATTTATATTTTCAACTGAATAAATGAATATACACCCCCCTTGCTAATTCGTATTCTAGGCATGGCATAATTATATTGATTTTTTTACTTAGATGATAATATATATTTTCAACTGAATAATATGAATATACACCCCCCTGCTAATTCACATTCTAGGCATGGCATAATTATATTGATTTTCTTACTTAGATGATAATATATATTTTCAACTGAATAATATGAATATACACCCCCCTGCTAATTCACATTCTAGGCATGGCATAATTATATTGATTTTTTTACTCAGATGATAATTTATATTTTCAACTGAATAATATGAATATACACCCCCCTGCTAATTCACATTCTAGGCATGGCATAATTATATTGATTTTCTTACTTAGATGATAATATATATTTTCAACTGAATAATATGAATATACACCTGCTAATTCACATTCTAGGCATGGCATAATTATATTGATTTTTTTACTCAGATGATAATTTATATTTTCAACTGAATAATATGAATATACACCCCCCTGCTAATTCACATTCTAGGCATGGCCCTGATCAATTTCCTCTGCTATTTGTAGTGGTAATAGATCTTCAATCCATAATCCGCAATTTCCTTTTCCAATGTATCACTGGATTGTAGTGTTTAAAAACAATTTTTTCTCTCCAGTTGTGGTGGATGTTTCACAAATAGACACCATTGGACTAGCTCCCACATGGAAACAAGATGTTTTAAATCATGCGCAGTTCACTGCATCCCACGATAGTTCAAAGTCTATCCCAGTATTACTCCTTGGAAATAAAGCAGACAAGTTAGAGGTACTTCATGTTATTATCTTCTTTGCTTCTTTGTCGTTTTGTTTCCACGTTTTGTGGGTCGGTATCTGTATGATCAAGGTGTATAATTGGTTCAAACTGCGTACAATAAAGAATCAATACAAATCTAAACAGTGAATTGTTTCTGTTCATCTCTATGACTTGATTAACCCAACCACCCATTTATATTTTCTGCTGGACTGACTCCCGCCAAAATTTAAAACTAGCAATGTAACTAGTTCTTGTCTTTTCACGCTCGACCAATTAAAAGATAGTTCATTATGACGAAAAATACATCAAGATATCAAGTTAAATAAATTTGTGGCTTTTAAAGTGAAACTTAAAGTTAGCATTTTTAAAACTGAGAAAAATTGTTTGCGTACGCGTCCTCTTTGAATTTGTGGCACCTTTCCACCCTAGAAATATCTTAAAACTTGCAATCCAAACTATACTTGGGTTGAAATCTAACAAAGTGGAAATATTTTAGGAAAGTTGTTTTTCATAAAATAATGTTTGCTTGTTTGAAATTTTTATATTGACCTTTAAAGGAACGTCCTTCGACAAATGAGGATGACAATGTTTCTTCAAAAATATCCTTGAGTTCTGTCTTAAAAGAAATGGAAGAGACGGCCGTTCAGCACGGTTTCATTGGAAGGTAATGTTATATGAAATGTTCATGTGCATGGAATGTATAAAGACTTGCAAAGAAAGAAAAAGCTATTTCCACTAAAGAAAGACCCAGTTTCCACGATACAGTAAAGCCTGTTTTCCACTAGCCACTTATCGTAACGTATCGTAGCAAAACGTAACATGGCGCATGCGTACTAATGAATTTGATGGTCAATAGGCGCAAGCACGCATGCGCCATGTTACGTTTTGCTACGATACGTTACGATAAGTGGCTAGTGGAAAGCAGGCTTAATACTTTGAAAACGGTACAAATCTATACCGTTTCCTTTGCGTTACGATTCGGCGAAACTTTTTTCTCTTCTAAAAATGACGCGATAAAATACTCGAACGTAGTTGCCACGGCGATGGATATGGTCAGCAAAAATAGATAGACTTCAAATAAATATAACTCAAATAACGTTAAAGCCAGCGTCAATCCGGGGTAGTGTGAACACGACGCCAAAACGAAACAAAACTCTTACGGTATCGTGTGAGCAATAGGTACAAAACGTTACGAAACTCTTCCGGTAGAGTTTATTACCGGTATTGTGTGAACAGTAGCTATAAAACGTTATGAAACTCTTCCGGTAGAGTTTATTACCGGTATCGTGTGAACAGTAGCTATAAAACGTTACGAAACTCTTCCGGTAGAGTTTATTACCGGTATCGTGTGAACAGTAGCTATAAAACGTTACGAAACTCTTCCGGTAGAGTTTATTACCGGTAATGTGTGAACAGTAGCTACAAAACGTTACGAAACTCTTCCGGTAAAGTTTATTACCGGTAATGTGTGAACAGTAGCTACAAAACGTTACGAAACTCTTCCGGTAGAGTTTATTACCGTTATTGTGTGAACTTTGTCTAAATGTCAATAATTATAAGACTTTATTCTTAACCCATTAGCGTAACTGTATCAGCGAAGGATGGAGACGGTAGTATATATACAGCAATTCAGACTTTGGTCCGTCATCTTTTAAATGGTAAAATGAAGAAGAAAGACAAGAAAGTGGTCCTTGAAAATTTCTTTAACGCGAAGAAAATGACTTCCAATGAAATGGACGATGTCACGGAGTCCTTTCAATCTTTTCCAAAGACTGGAATCAAGGAGGTACGTATGAGGCTGTAGTCTGTTTTATTTACATCACTAAATGTTATGCTTTTGTTTAAAAAAAATGAACAGGTTATAGCTAGTGCTGTGGCTTTTGTTTAAAAAAAAATGAACAGGTTATAGCTAGTGCTGTGGCTTTTGTTTAAAAAAAATGATGAACAGGTTATAGCTAGTGCTGTGGCTTTGTTTAAAAAATGATGAACAGGTTATAGCTAGTGCTGTGGCTTTTGTTTAAAAATGAACAGGTTATAGCTAGTGCTGTGGCTTTGTTTAAAAAATGATGAACAGGTTATAGCTAGTGCTGTGGCTTTGTTAAAAAATGAACAGGTTATAGCTAGTGCTGTGGCTTTGTTTAAAAAATGAACAGGTTATAGCTAGTGCTGTGGCTTTTGTTTAAAAAAATGAACAGGTTATAGCTAGTGCTGTGGCTTTGTTTAAAAATGAACAGGTTATAGCTAGTGCTGTGGCTTTTGTTTAAAAAAAATGATGAACAGGTTATAGCTAGTGCTGTGGCTTTTGTTTAAAAAAAATGAACAGGTTATAGCTAGTGCTGTGGCTTTTGTTTAAAAAAAATGATGAACAGGTTATAGCTAGTGCTGTGGCTTTTGTTAAAAAAAAATGAACAGGTTATAGCTAGTGCTGTGCAAACTGGCCTTTCATTTCGAGTTCACAGCGCTATTGCCTGCATAAAATTTCAGAAATAGATAAGCTCTAAAGATCGCAAATACCATGGTGAATGGTAAAAGTAGTAAGTTAATAGTTGTTAAAAGAACTGTTTTAAGTAAAGAGCACTAACCAATAGTTCTAAATTAAACGACACGATGCATTTCGGCAGACTACTCCTTAGTTGTCAACGTCTGCAAAATGAAAATTTAAAATCTACCGATATTATAATGCCAAGAAAAAGTGTACTTCATCTCCAAAATGGAGATGACGCTCAAAACAACGATAAATTGAAAACATAATTTCATAACATTTCTTTTAGAAGTATTTGTGTTGGTGCTCTTTACTTAAAACAGTTCTTTTAAGAACTATCACCTTATTACTTTTACCATTCACCATGGTATTTGCGATCTTTAGAACGATTTTCAGAATTGTCACCACGAAAATGTCTCTATTTTATTAAATAGATTAGCGTAAAAATATCCTTTTAACTAAGTTGCTTTTGTTGGTAGCTTAAAGTTACGACTGCTCTGTCTTAAAGGTTTAAATGAACTTCATATTTCCGTGGAGAAAGATGTCGTTGAAAAATATCATTGCAATCTTCCCAGTCCAAACTTGTAAATAGGGGAAGAGCAATAATACACTTACCCTCCCCTCCCTGTGTGTTTGCTAACAAATCTGTGTCATGGCATGGCATCATATTGCAGATTGATGACGTATTCAAACAGTGCGAAGAACCAATGAAACTTATTGAGGGAACTATACTAGAGTATACCCGAGCACTAATCATATTTCAACGAAGTTGTTGCATTGCCGATCTTACACCAAGTACTCGATCAAGCATTGAAGAATGCATTATGGCGCTGAAGGAAGTTACTGTGGATAGTGAAGAAAACAGTGGAATGAAGGTATGTTTATGGATATGTGAGGATATTATATGGTGCTTATAGGTTTGCAATGACTTTGCCTTTTTTTATTGCTTAGTGGAGTCGCCTTTAAGCAGTAACGCATCTAATGTAGCTCAGTACTTGAATTGTTTTTAGTTGTTTTGCATCAACAAAAGAATACCTAAAGTTTTTGTTGAAACCTTTAATTGTCCCAATCAAAAGTAAATATTCAAAAATCGCTTCAGCTTACAGTTTAAGGAATATGCAATAGGTTGCAGGTTGCAGAACTTTGTTGTGAAACTTGTCAGTGACGTAACCAGCCCGCAAATTCAGTCCTGCTAAGTAAATTTTACTGTGCTTACTCATTGTAAAAACAATAAATTTCTAAAGAAATGATTAATGTTAATGTGAGTAATTTACATAGCAGGACCAAAACTAGCTACTGTTTATTTGTACGGTTAGCAATCTCAGTGTTCCTATTGGTCAGAATATGTAATTTACTGACTGTTATAGTGTTATTCACATGCGTAATAAGATATGCGTAGCTCAAGAAAATTAATGGAGTGACCGTACTGTTTCTTTCCTTTATACTGAGATCTAGTCAGCCGAGATATGATGTTCAATGTTGAGCATGCTTGTGCGTATCTATATTAGTGTTCTGACCTGTACTTCGTGTAAGCGTTCTGTTCTTTACTTTCTAGGTATTAGTGTACTGATTTGTACTTTGCATAAGTATACTGTTCTCTACTCTGTATATAAATGATCTACCTTAACTTTGTACAAGTGTACTGACTTAGACATTGTATTAGTTTATTGACGTTAACTTTGTAGAAGTGTCGTGATTTGTGTATATTTTTTGTATTATTGTACTTCATTGTCCTCGTGTATTTTTTAAACTATTTGTTTTTAAATGTTTAGTGCGTAAATGACGGAGGTTTCGTAAAGATTGTCGTCCTGGATGATGTTATTGAGGATCTACCTGGACCAGTTAGCAAAATTCTGCGATTTTTCCACACAAAGGTTGGTAAAATTAGTTTAAAATATCACTGCTTGTGATTGCTCTTACGTCAGGGATATGAAAATATTACATTGCCTAGTTTTACTTTGGCAAGCTTTAATTGATTTGAGATGTTGAAGCTAGATGGAAGCTAGATGTGCGTCTATTGTAGTTGTAACAAAATGACGATTGTGAAAGTTACGTTCTGGCTGCTGTAAAACATTACATCAATCATGCATTTCTTTTTTCTATATTTCTGTTGTATGGAGAACACTTAATTTTATTTAGGCGTAGGAATTATGACGTTATAAAGATCGCAAATACCATGGTGAATGGCGGAAGTAATAAGTTAATAGTTCTAAAAGAACTGTTTTGAAACTAAAAGACACGATGCATTTCGGCAGCAGGCTACTCCTCAATTTTCATTCAGCAGACGTTGACACTTGACGAGTAGTCTGTCGAAACGCATCTTGTCTTTTAGTTTCATAACAGTACTTTTAGAACTATTGGGTAAGTGTTCTGTGCTTAAAACTGTTCTTTTAATAACTATTAACTTATTACTTTTACCATTCACAATGGTATTTGCGATCTTTAAAACGATTTTCAGATTTGTCACCACGACTAAGTCTCTATTTTATTATTATGACGCTTCGCTCTAGCAAGAACTACGTTGCGAATGTATAGTTGATAACCTGTTGTCTGACAAATCTAATGAATCGTTTGTGTCGAGTGAAATACAAATGTTGGAGCAGACTGCTCGTGCGCAGATATTTTCATTAGTAATGTGTGACTGAGCAAGCTTGTTAATCCAAACGCAGTGCAATTTGATCCGGTCGATCATTGCCATGACCATGAACTTAAACTGTTGGTCGTGTGGACTGCACATGCTCAGATAAGTTGTGATCTAGAAGCAAGCTACTGTACTCTCCAAACAATGCTAGGAGATACAGTTGATTGGTATGAGCTCCGTTAATTAGTCCAGTGGACTACGCAAGAATTCAGTCTTATATGCGTGTAGTCTGTCTTCTTTAACTTACTGCGACAAATACATTTTCAAAGTTGATACCTGATTGACCCTTGTTTGGCCAATGTGCCCCCCGCCCCATGCGCAGACTTCGATACAGTAGCATGGTTGTAGATTTATTAAAGATGTTGTGATTAGCCATTAATGGTACTCTGGCTTGGGGGTACATAAGTCAAAAGTAAAGAGACAAATGTATTTAACATATCTAAGGTTGATTCCAATTACAAATGGAAAAGGCAGTGTTTGTTTAACACTTAGCTTTAACCTAAGATACATAGTTGTTTATACTGTTTTTAAATTTTAGTTTATTGTTTAGGTTGCGCTAGCTGCCAAGGATCTTCTCAGATTATGTACATCCTCGATCGTCTCTCTTCAAGACAACGAGAATGAATTACGTCATCTCCTTGATACGTACGATGATCTCGCCGCGAATTCTGGACTGACCGCTAAACGACGACGTCATGTCTGGATTGATGTGGAGACTAATCGTTCTCGTGTTGAGGAATCGCGGCTTGCGGCTGTGAAAGGTTTGGAAGCAGTCGAAAACGATTGTGCGAAGATCAAGGCTGCAATGCTTTGGTAGTTGCATTTATTTCTATTACGAAGGTAGGTGATTTCATTTTTTGTGAGGGTTAGCCCGAGCCTTGACTTAAATTGTATTTTTTGGAAAAGGAGGCCTGGTATTGAAAGTGTGAGCACTGGCTCATAAAATTAAATATTACTTAAGTTGTTATGAAAATTGCTTCCGTTATGAAAAAAAGATGTTGTATTAAATAAGACTGTTTTGTCAAATTAGGAAATTCGTCATTCTGAAGGCACTAAGCAATAGGACTTTGACTAGCGGTTTTTTGCTATGTTTGCTTTAATTGTTTGGTATTAATTATCTTCACAATGTAACACAAACATTGTAAAGACAAACAAAATGTCTTCCTCCATAGTCATGAAATTTTACACTTTACGTATATCAAATTAAGTTCACCACATCTTTTTACACCATGATTTCAAACTGCGCAAGAGCCCAAGCTCCAAGCTTTTAACATTCACCTGCTATTATATGGCTATTACGACAAAAAATATTGATTTTGTGATATGAATAACGCCGGCCTTCCATAGCCACGCGGGGAATGAGAGGTGCATGTATGAGGAAGCAGTTGACCTGTGTGTATGTGTGTAACTTTACAAGCCATAGGGAGGAAGAGATGAAGGTGGAATGAAGCGATTGACTTGTGTGCTTGTGTGTAACTATAGCAGGTCATAGGGAAGAAGAGCTGAAGGTGGAATGAAGCGATTGACTTGTGTGTTTGTGTGTAACTATAGCATGTCATAGGGAAGAAGAGCTGAAGGTGGAATGAAGCGATTGACTTGTGTGTTTGTGTGTAACTATAGCATGTCATAGGGAAGAAGAGCTGAAGGTGGAATGAAGCTGTCGACTTGTGTGTTTGTGTGTAACTATACCATGCCATTGAGAAGGGGAGGTAAAGGTGGGCTGAAGCGGTCGACCTGTGTGTTTTTGAGTAGGTACAAACGATAGGAAAGGAAAGGTACAGGTGAGGGTAAACGTTTGAGCCATGTTTTTCATCCATCGACCACAACTCATGTTACCTAATACATCGTTTGTGTCTTAGCGTCTTCAATGAACATTTCGTTTGTTGTTTTTTGTACAAGATTGAAAGTCATGATTTTATTAGTGCAACGCATCAGTTTCTTAGGATTTACTGTTGATTACCTAAGATGAACAGCTGATGTCAAATTTAGTCGGTTTGATGAAGGAAAGCTATTGATTATTTTACTGAATTTAATGACTATTATTGATGATAAAATTTAACGTCAAGTCTACTGATTTCACCTTATGATGGCAATTTGAAGGTTTATATCTTTTTGGATTTCGTTTTCACGATGTAGTGTTATCTATTAGCAAACTACCGTGTTATGCTAGTATTATCGGTTCGAGATGAAATTATACTGTTTGCACTGCGCTGTTGCACACAGATAAAGTTTTACTGTTTGTACAGCGCTGTTTGTGCGCAGGTGAATGTTATCAAACTCCGTCCTTTTTTTCTTCAAAATTTGCATGATAATGCTGTTGTTTTTTTTCTACATTTAAATGTTGTTGATAAATGTTGTAGCCAGTACATTGAATGCATTGCTAGCTAAATTGATGTTTGTTTTAAAAGCGTGGGAAAGCAACATGCTAAGTTTCATGTTTGTTTGTCTGTCAATAAAAGTCTATATAGTTTTGTGTGTTGTCTGTTGGGAAATACGCACAAGTTGAGATTATATAACGTGTAAACTTTATGTATAATATGTATTGTCTTGCCTTCCACATTGTCATCAAAATAATCTGTTTAGGCAAACTATTTTTCTGTTTTTGTTATCGAAAATCTATGATCTAATGGAAGCGCAGCAAGATATTTTGTGAGTATATGTTTGTGAGAAAATCCATTTAGTATATTGGCTGAAATAATTGTGAACTAAATTAGATTTTCGTTTCATCTATATGTATGAAATGTGAAGATAAACCACTAATAACTCGTTATCGATTTAGCTATGGGTAGCTATAGTCTTTGCTTTTTGTTATTAAAAACTCTTGATAAGCGACAAAGTGTGTATAATATCTGACAAAATTTATCAGATAAGACTCGTATTTTTTTGGGTACTAAATCAAAATATCAATAAATATATTTCGAAAATGAAAACCCTAGTACTTAAGATGGCCGTAGAACGCTTAATATATTACTTTATATGCAAATACTATTCGGCACACTGTGATTAAATATAAATTTAATTTGGCTGCTTCACAGCTTTCTTGCTAATATCGAATGAATTTTTTCAAACATATGTCTTCTGAAAAGTTGGGCTTCGGCATTTGTCATAAATACTCATGTTCGGTAGTCGGTTGTAGAAAAAAAAGCGTTTTTAGCTAGCTAAGTATCTCTGTTAGTGTGTGGCTACATCCTTGATAGTAGTGTATAATTTAAGAGACACACATTACTCTGCAGGCGTCCTCTGAATTTTCACATCTTTAAAGTTTCTGAAGTTGAATAAATAGAAAGAACGCGGCAATTTTTAACTGCTTGCAGGTAGCTATGCCATTCATATAAATACATATATTTAAAAATATTGTGTGTATAGCATACGTTTTGTCTACACGAAAACTTTTTTACGACTATATATAAAATGAGTCGATTAAAAAATATGCAAAATCGAATCTACAAAGCCAAGTTCAGGTTAATTCATGATGGAAAATTGCAGTTTAATATGTGTACTTCGACGTCACGAAAAATAGACTGCATGCAATCAACACGCGTTGCTAGCGAAATGTTATGTTGATTTTTAAATCTATTATTGCGAACACGATTTAACTAAAAAATACGCAAATCGCCAGACAAGATTGCACAAAATGTTCTCTTTCTATTTACATGTATATGTAACTTCTATTTTTATGGACTTTGTAGTATTAGCGATTCTTTTATCTCTGTAAGTACAGTAATTAATTTTGGCTATTTTTACTTTTTCGTCGCGTCTTTATACGACATGTAAGTTTTGCAGAAACAGAATTGAAGAAAGACCTTTGCTTTGCCACAATTATATGAAATGTGGAAATTTATGTACTCAAGAAATGAAAAAAAAAATGGTCAAAATGGTGTAAATATGATTAATTCAGTAAATAAACTCCTTGGAGAAGGTGGAAGCTTCTTGAAGAATGAAGGATGCATGAAAGACTGAAAATGCCTGAAAGATGGAAGTTGCCAAAAAAAAATAAAGGATGCTTGAAGATGCTCGAAGGTTGATGATCGAAGAGTGCTTATGTTATGGAACATGCTTGAACGATAAAAGCTTTGTGGCATTGAAGATGCTTGAAGGATGAAATAATCACAAAATTGTCGAGTCAATCATCTTTTTTTTTTGTTCAATTTTTTTTTCACTACTTCATTTTGCCAACACTTAAAAATGAGAATCATTTGGTCAAAATCTTCTCCATGCAAAGCGATTTACTGTTTTTGCTAACTTTGCTAGCTTTATTAACGTTGTACGGTGCTAACTTTTTGCAATGCGTTATGAAGTGTTTTGATTTATGTTGTTTTAATATTTTTGCGTCGGTGGATACTATTTAAAGCTTAACTTTTTTCAATGCAAGCTGTTCAAGCCGTTTGTCTCATTATAAATCCCATTACCGCATGTTATACGTCTGGTTTTTGCATGTCAAACGGCACGTTGATTTTGATGATTGGCTGCTTAAATAAGACAAATGATCATTTTTAAATATTATTTCATTTCTCCGCAGCCTTCTTGTGATAGAACAATTTGAAATTTGATTTGCATTTCGAGGTAAGTTTCCATTTTATGTTGTACTATATATCGTAGTTTTTGTTGATTATATGAAAGTAAATTTTATCTGCAAGTGCTTTTTTTAGTAAAGTGAATGATTTGAACCCGGGAGTAACGTTACATGTTTGTAGATGCAGATCGTCCAAGTTAGTACAGTCCTGAAAAGGATTTTTGGTGTTGATACAGACTGACGTTTTGACAAACTTGGCGGTTGTAATCTCCTTGACTTTGAAGATGACTACCGCTAAGGTTGTCGAAACGTCAGTCAACAACAACAAAAACATTCCTTCTCAGAACTAATAACCTGGACGATCTACATCTACAAACATGTAACTGCTTTTTGTATTCATTATGTCGTGCAGATTAATTTAGCTTGTTAACTTGTGGAAACATTGCGTAAGAAATTTTTTCATCTCCTTATATCTCTGTCGTAGTGAGAATGTTACAAAAGAAATTAGTGTACATAATCTTTTTATATTCGAGTCATAGTGAGGATGGCACGTAAGAAATGAATGTGATCATGTCTTTATACTTATGTCATAGTGAGGATAGTAAGAAGTCAATGTATACTTGATCTCCTTATACTTATGTCATAGTGAGGATAGTACATAAGAAATCAATGTACTTTATCTCCTAAACTTATGTCATAGTGAGGATGGTACATAAGAAATCGTTGTACTTTATTTCCTTATGCTTATGTCATAGTGAAGATGTTCCATGAGAAATGAATTTCTTTTATTTCATTATACGCAATCTCTTTAATGTTAACATAATGGTTCTCATTCTCGGTGTTTAAAAATAGTTTGCAATCACTAACATCTCACAGATTATTATACTTTAACTCTTATCTTTGACAGCATTAATCTCGTTAGCCTCACTTTATTTTTAGATCTCATACGATTGTCTTGTCCTTCCATTAAAATGTCCAAAGGTTTGAACGCAAACGCTATGCGATGTTTTGGGGTGTGGCCAAACCCGGAAATATCCTTTACAAACGCTATTGTGTCGTCGCTATTCTCCGTGGTTACAATCCCCGGTAATCTTCTAGTCGTCATAGTCATCTTCAAAAATCCCAACGGTAAAATGCGAACGCCTTTCAACTGGTTCATTTTCAATCCGCCGTAGCCGACCTTCTCGTTGGCATGATTGTCGAACCACTGTCTATGGTCGTACACATCCGTGAGGACTGGGTCTTGCTATCAAATATGACGTATATCTGAAGCCAATCTACTTCACTTCCTGTACGGCATCCGTCTTTAGTCTGGGCATGTTGACGGTCGACCGCTACATTGCCATAGCAACACCAATGGAATATCGCGCAAAGCTGAGTAATAGCCGCGCTGTGTACAGTTCTTTGGGTATCTGGTTTGTTTCTATTGCACTTCCTTTTCTTCAAAGGGAAATCGGATTCCTTTGGTACTTTTCGTATTTGGCAACGCGTCTGTCTTGGTCACTTTTTTGTATTGCTTTTCACATACCTGCGCGTCCATTTCAAGTTGCGCTTGCAGATAAAGCAACTCGAAGGTGTCGTTATACCAACGAGAAAAATCAGCGGCGAACAACTCCTTCACATGGAAGCACGCATTACGAAAATACTCATGCTCATGCTTCTAGCTTTCATGTTTTGCTACACCATCGCTAGTCATGATATATTTAATGAATCTATGTACGATTTGTTCTTGTCAATGGATTCATTGGTTCCGTGATCTATCGTACATCTTTATCGTTCTCAACTCAAGCGTCAATCCATTTCTACGCATGGCGTTTACCGAATTTTCGTGAAGCCATCAAAACTCTTGTAACACGAAGTAATCGACGTCCCTCGACCACCACCGTCATTCCTACATCGCTTTCCTACTTGGAAAGTTGTCGTGCGCCCCCTGTTTCAATGGAGAACCACTGTCGAAAGATTTCTTCAAGTCAACACAATGAACGGAATGTTAGTGAAAATACGCGAAAGGATTCTAAAAACAACAATAGTCATGCTAGTGATATAGAAGGTGCTACGATCAACGAAGTTGCTATTCAGTTAGAAGAAAATTTATAACTTTTTTTGTTTTACTAAAGTTTGGCGCTGTTGTGGGCTGCTGTAGGTTAAGCCACCTTTGAAAGATACGAAAAGTTAGCAATTCATCTATTTGCAATATGTCGTAGCAATAATATAGGACAATATAGGATAATATAGGATAATATAGGATAATATAGCATTTATTTGCAATATGTCGGAGCAACAATCCCAAGTTTGTTGTCTGACCTCTCAATTTCACTCAGATCTCTCTGACTGGGAGAGTGCAGGACAGAAGTAGAATGCTTCCTTTACCAACAACACCTTATCATTTTAACTTTTTCTTTAACTTCCAAATACGTTTCCGAGTTAACTTGGCGCTAAATGATTTTTAATTTTTCCATAATTTTCTGTTGCATGTTTTTATTATTTAGTCATTTTATTCAAATGTTTCTCACTCTCTACAAAAATATGACACAAGAACTACACTTGAGAAGTGCTACTCTACCTATGTTACTGCACTGCACTCGAGACTGTGTGTAGTTTTTTTGGAAATAGTGCGATGGAAGGACAACAGTATGTTTATATCTAACTTATGAAAGGAAAGTTGTGTATTTATCCAAACTAAAGTAGTATGAATGTATTCATTAAATGTAATACTAATGTAATAATGTAAAGTAATGTTAAGAAAAACCTTTTAGTAGCTATAACAAAGTAAATAACAGTATTTGTTCATTGAGAAAATGCGCATTATGTACATACTCATGGCTGTTAGATGTGAATGTTTTTTTCCAGATAGTTATAACTTAAAGGTTAAAGAGTAGCAAAATTCCATCAGAGGGCAAAGCATCCAAAATATCTCTTCAAACGTAGCTCGAACTCCATGCATTAGTCCAGGATCATTAAAGATAATTTCCTCCCCCTTAGAAACTAATGGATTGTTTATCAATGCTTGTGGTTTTGTCTGTGATCGAGGAAGTTATTGTGGTAGATCTTGGGAAATTTCTAGAAGATCCAAGAACGAAGAAGACTGCGACGCCTATATGTGTCTATGACCTAGGCTACGCATCAGGCGTTCACTTGGGCTACTCAAGAACATTGTTTGGTTATTTGTGTACAATAAAGTAAATGGTTTGAACCCGGGAGTATCGTTACATGTTTGTAAATGTAGATCGTCCAGGTTGGTATAGTCATGAGAAGGACTGTTTTTGTTGTTGTTGACTGAAGTTTCGACAATCTTAGCGGTAGTCATCTTCACCTTAGCGGTAGTCATCTTTTGACTCTGAAGATGACTACCGCTAAAAACTTCAGTCAACAACAACAAAACAGTCCTTCCACTTATCAATATTACAATGATAGTTACTAAATTCCACAACAACGAAATTTGCGGCAATGCGATCTCACCTGTGGCACAGATTAAATATCATAACAGAAGGTCCACTCGTATCGGAACCTTTTAATCGTGAGTTATTAGTAAAATAGCATTCTCGTGCAATACTACTCCATATTGATTTTGTAAAAGTATCTTGCTGCGAAGTAACGCATGCGTAGTGAAAAAATACGCTACGATTTTAGCCGAGTGGGCCTTCTGTTCATGTTTCATTATTCATTATATTTGTCATTAGTGACAATCACGCGTGAAACGGTCTAAGAAAGATTTTGATTGGCTTAAGGTCTTCGTGTCACGCCTGCTTAGTGTATTCATCTGGTGTAATCTCGCGACAATACACGAAATATCCAAATATCAACCAGTATTAGCTGAAAATGAAAAATAGATTATTCACATGGTAATTCAAAGCATGTAATATATCATAGATCTATGTGAGAAGTGTATTAAATAAATCTTAAAAACTTTCCCAACTATAAGTCATTGTAAGAATGAAGGAACTTTTTGAAGTGAAATAGAAAATATCTTAAAATGTAGTGAAATGAAGAGAGATGAAAACCTAACCCCTAAAGTCCTAAACTTGTCAGGCAACATGTACACCCAATTGTAGGCGACGTAAACAAAATGTCCGCGAGGTTTGCTTGTTGCTAGATAACTGTAAACAATCAAAACAGAACAGTTAAAGTCCTTGTAAAAGCAATGCTGTAGTTCATACGCTCACTGGTAATGAGTTCCCCTTTTGAGAGTCTTAAAAACACAAAGAAAGTGCCTTTGAACGGTCCGAAAAGTTTTGGGAGGTACGGTCCTTAGGTCCTGTAAGATTTACTGTTTACTTGGTCGACTTTTTAGAGTTTTGAATACATTTAATTTTGACATATTCGTGAAAAATTGGCATCCACAGAATAAATGAAATTGTTAAGTTTATGATTCATGTTTAATAGATCAAGTAATGCACCGTACAGAAAGGCAACGATCAATCCAGGTCTGTTGTCTACAAGATTTTTTGGAAATTTTTCACCAAACTGGCGCGTGGTTTTCATACGTATATCTTTTATAGACGAGATCTTAAACAGACAGCTGAAAGAAGTGAAAACTGACAGAAATTGTACCACAAATGTCAAAGGTATCTTCATCATAGTATTATAGAAACAATTCATAAAATTTTGATTAAAAATATTTTCTTCCCTAGCACCATCTGATGTTGATTTACTAAGCAGCATGGCTTCAAGACTGTCTTGGGCAGAGCAACAGTTAGGACTCTCTACCAGGGAGATTATTGAGAAGGTAATTCGTATTCATAATAATGAAGTTTTAGGCCTCATGCAGTCTTAGTGAAAGTTTATTGTGGCTTTTTGGTGCAGTATTTTATCTTCTTGTTTGACTTGATGACTATTTCCTTTTGAAAATGATCTGTGTGAAGCTTTGAAATAACTTGAAGGTTCACAATTTAACTGTGGTGTGGTTTCAACTTTATATTAATTGTATCTTTTATCTTGTTCAAATTTATTTGTCTTATATCATTCCTGTACAATGTTCCAAACTCTGTATGTTCGCCTGTTCCTTAGCTGATACAGCAAAGATGTGTACATCATTCAGTTGTACATGCATATTATGTTCCCCTGGTCCTTAGCTGATACAGCAAAGATGTGTACATCATTCAGTTGTACATGCATATTATGCGGAAGAAGGACCTAAAGCAATCTTTGTTCAAGTAACAAAATGTGGGTGTTATCGTGATTTGAGTTGTGAGAAAGTACTCATGATCTTTTCCTGCATCCAACATGCCCTTTCTTATGCAATCTTGCTGTTATTTTATGATTAAATTTCATATTTTTTATTATAGAAAGACACTATTCTAACTTTAGATTTGTTATTTAATGGTCCGGTCTGTTCAACCCTCCAATATTATCTGCACAGCATTGTGAAACAATCCATTAAATTTTTTCGTGCCACATGTATCTTATTACGCATGTGTTTTTACCATAGTGGCAGCTAGTCAATTGCTTTTTTGACCAATAGGAATGATGAAATAGCTAACGGCAACCAGTAATCTAATTAAATGTACAGCAGTCAGCTGCACAGCTTAGTAGACTAGTATTTTAACCAGGTACCATCATATCTGGGGGGGTTAGGAAAAAGTTGGATAAACTAGACTAGTTGGGCAAATGGTTAACCACCTCCGAACAATTACTGCCCATTAAGGGTAGGGGGGGCTGTTGCAAAATGTTGGATAAACTAGACTACTTGGGTAAATGGTTAACCACCTCCGAACAATTATTACCCATTAAGGTTAGGGGGTTGTTGAAAATGTTGGATAAACTAGACTAGTTGGGCAAATAGTTAACTACCTCCGAAAAATTATTACCCATTAAGGGTTGGGGGTTTGTTGCAAAATGTTAGATAAACTAGACTAGTTGGACAAATGGTTAACCACCTCCGAACAATTATTACCCATTAAGGGTAGGGGTTGCAAAAAGTTGGATGAGCTAGACTAGTTGGGCAAATGGTTAACAACCTCAGAATAATTATTACCCATTAAGGATAGGGGGTTGTTGCAAAAAGTTGGATAAACTAGACTAGTTGGGCAAATGGTTAACCACCTCCAAACAATTATTACCCATTAAGGATAGGGGGGGTTGTTGCAAAAAGTTGGATAAACTAGACTAGTTGGGCAAATGGTTAACCACCTCTGAACAATTATTACCCATTACGCCCATGATCGAAGACAGTCAGACATTTTCATTCACAGACCAACTAACATCTACTACAACAAACAAGTTTCCACATCCTTTGCAAAATCTTGTCAAATCCATTCCTTGTTGTTTTGTTTTATTAAGTCAACATTGTGAGGCTGCTTTCCTCATAGGATAAGAAAATCAAAATTTTGGAAGAGAAAGTTTCATTACTTGAAAAAGCACGATGTTATGGTAATGATAATGTGAAAGATCTCGAGAGGAAATGTTTGGTTTTGCAACAGCAAATTCAAGAGATGGAGGTAGCCTTATGTCCTGTTTTTATTAACTACTCTAACATTCTTCCTTGTCTTTGCACATTTGATGTTAACCCTAACAACCATTCTACAGGATGTCTTAAACAGAAAATAACTCTTCGTTAAAATTAGCCGACGTTTAGAATTTGTATGTTCTCAGACATTTTTGCCTTTAAGAAAGACATTGATGCAAACGTTTTCATCACAAAATAATTTACTCGGCGACTAATATGTCTTTTTTATTATTATTTATTCTGCATATTTAATTTTAGGAGTTTTTGTCTGATTATGGAATGATATGGGTGGGTTCTCAAGGAGAAGATGAGCAGAAAGATGAAGGAACTGGGTCAGAAATTAAACAAGATACATGTAAAGTTTGGAATCCAGGTACAGAAAATTGGTTTAAATTGTATAAAATTTCAAAAAACATTTAACATTTTAGCATTTCCATAATTTATTAAAATAAGTAACTGTTTTTAATTCAAACCATTGTGAACGGCTTTGTGTTAACGCTAATTTAAAAAATATATAGTGGCACGTATAATTATATGTTTGACTCTTTCTCTCAACGGCAGAGGTCATTAACATGCCTTGGAATGATGATGAGTAGTGTGCTAAAAAAAACTGTAAATCCCAAAGGTTACAGCATATAAAAGGCCAAAGAGCAGCTGGTTTTGGTAGATTTATCCACGAGTCATGTTTAATAAACTACATTTTGGCAAAACTATGGAACACTTAGGATACGTGTAAAATTTTTTCAAATTTACGCAATATCAAGTAAAAAAGTTCTCAACTTAATCTTTCGAGAGCCAGCTCATATTTCATAAAAAGAAAACTTTTATCAAAATTTTTCTTATGTCCAGCACAATGACCATGACCGATGACCAGCGGTCTCCACCATGCGTTGACCATGACCGATGACCAGCGGTCTCCTCCTTGCGTAAATGTAAAGTTGAATGTTCAAGGTGATGCATGTTTAAATCTTTTCTATCACAGACTCTTCAATACCTCACAGACAATTCACTGTCAACTTTGATCAGATCATCAAGAATACTCAAGAGTTGAATCTCTTAAACGGAAGTGATCAAACTGTTGTGTCACGCACTAAAGCTGGAGCGACATTTATAGTATGAAAAATATAATACTTAACATGAGAAAACATTGCATGCAATGTAGATTTTACTAAACACCAAATCAACGAATTTCCATTGCTATGTACCAACCTCGCTGTACTACCATCACCAGACTCACCATACTAACATCATACTTTGCACTATATCACCACTACTAGCCTCACTTAGCCTCACCTTACCACCTTCAGACTACATATGCACGGTATCACCACTACTAACCTCATGCTAATATCAGACTAAGCACTGTATCACCACTGCCTACTTCACCATACTACCATCATACTATGCACTATATCACCACTACTAGCCTCACCTAGCCTCACCTTACCACCTTCAGACTACATATGCACGGTATCACCACTACTAACCTCATACTACCATCAGACTAAGCACTGTATCGCCACTGCTAACTTCACCGTACTATCATTATACTATGCACTATATCGCCATTACTAGCCTCACCTTACCACCTTCAGAATACATATGCACGCTATCACCACTACTAACCTCATACTACCATCAGACTAAGCACTGTATCACCACTGCTAACTTCACCATATTATCATCATACTATGCACTATATCACCACTACTAGCCTCACCTTACCACCTTCAGACTACATATGCACGGTATCACCACTACTAACCTCATACTACCATCAGACTAAGCACTGCATCACCATTAATGGCCTCATTATACATCCCCAACCATTGTATACTTACCAACACACATCACCGTATAAAATCTCTCAACCTCCATTCCTTAGTATGACTAACTACATCCATTCTCCATCAAAGGCATCTGATGTAGTTCCATTGACGTTGTATGCAAATGGTATTGTAATGTTTGCTGGACCATTTCGACCATACACCGATGTGACAACTAAGGTTAGTCATTTTTTACTTGTTGGCAAATATCAAAGTGACTTTCTTGAGAAGATATTCTTTTAACGGATCACATAGACCTGACTTATTTTTTTCTTTTATCATGTTGACCCAGTTTTCTTGTGAAGTTTATGTTGTCAGATAAGCTTATAAAATTTCTTTTCTAAAAATCAAAAATTCAACAAAGTACATGTGGGCGTTGTTAATAATTGAATTATAGACCCCTCCTGAACTTGATTTAATTTTTAGTCATATCAGGGGGGAATATATTTTGGTTAATAAGTTTCTCATTTTCAGCGTTGTATCAATGACTTGATGGATGGTTATTTTCCGTCTGAACTTCAAGACAGATACCCAGATGGCGTTAACATTAAGGTGAGTCATATGAAACGTTACCTTTATCATTCAGCTGTCACGTGCTTTTATGAATGATGTCATAATTATGACGTCATCAGGTTATCGATAGAAGAGATGTGGAGTACAAAGACAGACGAACGGAGCTCTTGTTTCCTGGCTCTGGTCAAACTCTAAATGATGTCGGTGGTCAGAATATTGCGGCTGATGCTCAAACACAATCTTCTAGAAATAAAATATGTTCACTGCATATAGATGGGAATAATAAAGGTATTCCCACCAAAATGTTGGGATACTCTGTGTTGAGACTTGATCATAAAGATTTCTTGTGTAGAGAATGTTGAAAATTTCCTTCATCGCTTACCTCCGTCTTTGATCGAGAATGGCAAAATTATCGATGTAAGATATGGTGTCGAAGAAACTCTGAAGGTTCGATGTATTATGATAAATATCTATTGATAATAAACACTGAAAAAATTATGCTTGTTGTCGTCACGTGGTCACTTACCCCCCCCCTCCAAATACAATGAAAATGACAATTGTAGGATTCCAACGAAAATTGATCTTTGGGGGTGGGGGGATATTTCCATTTGTTTTTGTGTGGTGAATCATTGACGCATAGTGATTTAAAAAAATTCAAGTAGATGATTTCTATTTGCTATTGTTCTGTAATAGATTTGAAATACTAATAATTTTGGTTTATTGAGCTACCTTGAATCGTTCTTAAATCATGATATTGCGGTTTCTTTAACTGATCTTATATCAAACCAAGTAATAATACAATTTGTGCTACCTTAATTTAGGGACCCTCCAATCTTTCTACCAAAAACGAAGTTCGTGTGATAAACACTCCAGTTGTTCAAGAGATCAAAACAAGGTACGAATACATGGGAAATGAGAAAGTATTTAGATGAAGCATGGATGGCAAAATGAATTTTAAAAGTTGGTATCCTATTAACGTCGTGGTTTGTGCCTAAATATCCTTCTGCTATCCTGTGAACTTAAAACAAAATGCACTTATATCGTTTTGCCTTCTTTCAGGGCTGAAAATATGGGTGGACGACCTGAATCTGCCCGCAACAATGTCACGACTTTACGTATCAAATCAGAAAGAGGTGATGAGGTAGTTACAGTAAGTTTATCATTCTATAGCCGAAAAAAGGGTCTGTATCGAGGTTCGATTTATATTCTTCTTCGTATGCCAAAATTACGTTTATTTATCAATTATGATCTTGTCATCAAAAAAATTCATAAACAAAAATTTATACTTCATCCAAATCTTTTCTTTAGACGTATATTTTAAAAATGAAATTCACAGACACGATTGACAAAGTTCGCTATTTTATCAACAAAGAAAGGTTATACTATTCAATTGTTTTATTTTACACAAGTTTAACGCGACTTGTTGGATCTTTTTATGCATTAAAACAATTTCTTTTAACATATGCAAACATAACTTAATCCTTGAGCGCACTGGTTCACCATACATCATGTAGACTTTCTTTTATCTTGTCAGACCCGAACTGCATGATGGGTACCGTATCAAAACGTCATTTCCAAATATGGTATATGATGACGTAATGCAGACCTTGGAGGAAGCGGGACTGGTACCAAATGCAATTTTACATATTCTTGTCTAAGATTTTAGCAACTGATTCTTTGGATTGAAAATTTAAAATGTCTGAAAGTATCGTTAACTTTCACCTCTGAAAGTTAACTTTATTATTTGATGACGTTACAATCGTATTGCGGCCATCTTAATTTATGAAATGACGTCACAATTGAGTGATTTTTTGAAATTGCCAATTGTTTTGGACGTTTAAACACGTATAACGTTGCGTTCGCTCGATATTCTTGACATTTGACAATTTTGACGGTTATTGTCTTTTAAAATTGTCGGCGTATTTTGGAGAAACATTGAATAGAAGCCTTATCATCTGTCAAGGTTGTAGTTGAAAAAGGCGGTAGTCTAGCCCGACTCTGGGAAAGTTTAGAAATATGAGTATAGTTCGAGGATGTTTCGGCAATGTGAATGGTTTCATCTCTTATTTATGGCATACTTTGTTATCAAGAAGATACGGTAAAAAACAGTCAACAGATGAGCTACTTCAAGATGATATTGGTGCCATTGTTGACGATAATTACTATAAACGTGACATACTAATTGTTGGTAAGAGAATGGCCTTGTCTACCAGCGTTGAAGAACGGATCAACGCTGTTCGTGATATTGGTCATATAGCATGGTTAGGTGGACCTGCTGTCGCCAGGTTGGCTGCCAATCATCTCATAGAGTTTGCACGCATGCTCCAAGATGATGAAGCGCCAGATGCTATGAAGATACAAATTTTATACACCATTAGCGAAATTTGTATGTGTAGCATTGATAATCAAAATACAGCACGATCCTACGGTCTACTTGATACCATTTACAGCCTACTTGAATCGGAAATACCGCTGATACGTTGTGGTGCAGTCGCATGTCTTGTCGTGCTTATCAACGAAAATTATGAAAATCACATATCTGTTCTACGTATGGAAAATATTGTAGAGAAGTTAATTGATTTGTTACAAGAAGACTGGAGTTCTTGGAAACGCAACGAAGCCAAGCGGTTGATTCTAATGCTGGGACTGAATCAGTCGGAGGATAACGTTGATGATGTCGATGAATTTGATCGCACTTAATATCTGGTCATGATTGTTGTCAGTCATATGTGATGTCGGGTATTAGAAAACGTTTGGAACCCATTATTTGAAAATTGTTTTTCTTAGAATCGTCTATATACTATCTTATGATTTGGAGATGTACATACATTTCATACTTATGTTTATTTCAAGGTTTATTTTGTAAATTAAACGTAAAACTTTGATAACTTATTGAGATTTGATGAATAAAGAATCCATATCTTTAACGTAAATTTTATTATCACATTTTATGTTTACAGTGAAGGTTGCAAGTTCGTAAAAATAATTATCAACAGTTTATTTTTGAATGAATTTGTTGTGTTTCAAAAAACTTTTAAAAAATTTTGTGTGATAGGATATAAAATCCTATTCGTTGTGAACTACGAATACTAAAATATATTTTATGCTGCAGCGCCTAAATATATTCGTGATAAGGCCAAACGCATAACTGACACTAACCAATCGCGTCGTTAGAAAATACTTTTAAATTTAAAATGGGCTTCTATAATTAATTTTGACCCACCCTATATCTACCACAGTGAAAACACAGGCTTATAACTACAGAACGCATTTTAAAAGACGGTAGCTACTTTTTGGGATCATCTTTTATTCTTGATTTGCACTGACTACTAAAAGAAATTTATTTTTTAGACATTTTTCATAAAAATTCGTAAAATGTAGCTAGTTTTGTTTTCAAAATCGAAATCAGATTTTGTCTACGTTTGACGTATTTCTTCCAACCAAGGATTAAAAACAAAGTAGGCAGTAGGTATACAAGGCAGGCATATGAAGCCATGAACTATTTTCCTTATGACACATTTTACTAGTACAGACATGCATGATATATGCAGCTGTCATATTACTAACAAAATACAAAGCGCATTACAAGACAATGCAGCAGTTGACCAATTTCTACCATTCTAAAGATCTTTATCATTTTTATGAGGTTTACAACGATGAACTTACTAAGATTGAAAATGAGCACTAGTAAACCTCACTAGTAAGGCATGCGGAGAGTATCTTTAGAAGATTAATGAAATTTGAAAAACTTTTTTTGCTTAATAGTTCTTATGGTCATCACATTACTGTAAAAAGTGTGAAGTAAAAGTACGAGTGTATAACAAGACACAGAAGTTTGCTAATTCTACCATTCTGATCTTTATCTTAAATTATTTTTTCTTGTTGTGCTATTAATTTTAATGCAATGGTTATTCAAGCAATTGATTTCAAGCAATTTCACTATATTCTGATTCGACAACGAGGCAAAACATTTAAAATTAAAATAACCAATTTGCCCTAATTTGAGAATTACAACCGGAATGACGTGTAGCAATTTGCAAACAGTTGCAATTTCTAACTTTGAAATTTTGGCATCTTTTAATCCCTTGAAATCATTGGGCTAGCTCGCTATCAGGGCCAGCTCGCCTCCATATTATTAGACCACTTTGGCTGTTTGTGAGGCAAAGAAACTTCAACGAGAGCTTAAACACCTAGAAAGCGCAAAAAAAGAAAAAAGCTATAAATATTTTTGTTTTTTTCTTTCCATTATGTACCTATTTTTGCGTCAAAACTCGCTGTTCAAGACGAGTTCTTTTAAATACAAAATAAATGTTCTTGAAATTGATATGACTGTCATATGATGTTTTTTTGACGGTGATACATGTACTTTTATTAATTAGTACTTAATATCATTGTTTATAAGATAACAGGCTTGTAAGTCATTGACGATTAGAAAACTGTCCATCCGTGCAGGTTATTTGTCATAATATTTTCCATTTTTTTCGATAATGCTTTATCTTTAAGGTTCTTAAGATTGACCAAGTCGTTGTTAAAGTTAAATGGTTTGAACCCGGCAGTATCGTTATATGTGAAGTTTGGGGTGTATTGGGGGAAACTCAGTCTAAAAGACTACAAAAACTTCAAAATAGAGCTGCAAAAATTATCATAAGCATGGGCATTGATGTCGATTATTGTAACGCATTACAAGAATTGATGTGGGAACCTCTTGAAATACTTAGAAAAAAAGCTAAAGCAAAGCTGATGTTTAAATTATTAAAAAATGCTGGACCAAATTCACTTACTAGATTGTTTACCTATAAAAAAGACATCACTGATTACAATCTACGCAATATTACAAGTTGTCTAAATGTTCCTATGCCTAGTACTAACTCTTTGAAGAAAAGCTTTGCGTATGATGGGGCTTCTGTTTGGAATTCAATTCCAGCAGAAATCAGAAATAGCAAAAGCGTGTCACTTTTTCAAAAGAAAATTGCTGCTTGCATTTTATGATTTAGTTTAACATGTAACTGATGGAATAAACTAAACTCTGTAAATATTTAAACTTCTCTTCTGTAGATAATTTATTTCTTAGTAAATTTTGTAATTGTTTTTGAACAAAAGCACGCCCCTTGTGGAAATCAACCCCAGTTGACAAGGCCAGCGTGTCAAAATAAAGATTTTCATTCATTCATTCATTCATGTTATATAACTTGGAACAAACCCCCCTAAACAGATCACAGCAATTACCGGCACCTTACAAACGACTTATTCACAATACAAACAAACGATCAACTAAAAACACCACACTTCAAACTAATTCACAATGACAATACACAATTGACACCCACACATTACAACTAAATATGTCACACCTAAATCACACATCGCAACTAAAAATAAAATATTTCACTTCACACTAATCCACAATGACAATACACATTTCCTGAACACACAATACAATGACGTAAGAACCAGATAACAAATACGGCTAACCTGACGTTTACTCCTCATTTGACTCTGAAGATGACTACCGCTAAGGTTGTTAAAACGTCAGTCAACAACAACAAAAACAGTCCTTCTCAGGACTATACTAACCTGGACGATCTACATTTACAAACATACAAGTCGTTGTTGTTATTCATCTTTTTGATGAGCAGCACAATAGTGCGTACACAAACAAATGTGATCATAGTTATTTATGTCTTTGATTTATAAATTACAAAATGTTACTAATCTTCCTAATAATTTGTCCACGTTTATGGCGGGAGATGGAGAGGTAGAATTGGCTCCGACGTTTTGAATATTTGATCTAGTGTTTGGGTCCTTTTAACGAAATAGCTCAAAAAGTTTATTGTTGGCCTATACAGGTATTTTGAATAAATTTTACCTCTCTCAGAAGAAAAAAAGTAACTGCTGGTTTGAGATGGCGCTTTGAAGCTATGAATTTTAGCAAAATATAGCAAGCTAAATCATTATTTCATTATGAAAAGATTATAAATAGTCAATGTAATATCAAGTTTGAAGCGTCTTTAAACAGCGGAAAAACCGTATTTTGATTCAGAGATTTAAATTTAAAATTTCATTGAAAAATGAAAGGTGGTGGCCAGCAAAGCGCAGGAAAGTCAAACAACGTGGACATTAAAAACCTTTGACTAAATACTTTACAGATGTGTTTTTATATCAGGAGTATTGCTGTTCTAGCATGATTGAATAAAACTGATTTGCCATGATCTTTTCTATCAAATTCTAAATCAAAAAAAGTTTTTCTATTTCTGCTATTTATAGATAGTTCATGCTACTTTATAGCTTTTGCAATATATATTTTAGTTTATAAAGAATAACTTTTTGAATTTTTGGCCCTTGAAATTAAAAATAGACCATTTTTATTGTTTGCATGACTGCCTGCGTAAAAAAGATTGTATCTAATAGTGCATTGACATCACAACGGAAATTTGTCTAATGTACTTTGTTTCAAATTAAATTTTTTAAACAGGCATGACACAAGATATCAGACTCGCGTGTTATGCGACAAAATTATTATGCTTTCGCGTAGATTGTGGGTAAAATACAGTATTTTCTTGAAGGAAGCCGGTCTCGCTTCTAGTTTTCTTCAATATGGCAAAAACTTCAAAACAACAATATGCAGTTGAAAAATAAATTTGAAAACTTCATGTAATGCTACTGAAATAGTCGGTACAACTCAATGACAGCAACCATATTGCTGTAATGTGTGAGTCTAAATACATTTTAATTTTTCCGCAAAATTCACCATTTGTTGGCAGAAATTAAATAGAACATTTCAGCCAGTCCAGACCACCTCATATGAATGCAAATACAAATTTGCCCAGCAAACTAGCTAGCACAACTTGAGCGGGCTGGCTCGTCTTCTATAAACATACCCTAAATCTCTTCTAGTTTATGGGAAAACAATTTTGTGGATGGGTAATTCATCAAAGATTTGAATGCGATAGCCAAGAAACATGTTGTGAATTTATTCCAAGAATACAACGTCGTTTTTATTGTTGCCCTCTTGCACGTGGAGTATTTTGTTATAACGGCAACTGCTGTCGACCTGGTGAAATTTGCCATGACCCTTATCTTTGTTTCATCAAGATAACACGACCAAAAACTACGATAAATGAAAGCCTTTTTTTCTTCATATCAAATTTTATGATTTGATTTCTAACTAATTGTAAAATGTTGTGAGTTGTTTGAAGTACATATGTATGAATACCAACATCTGATGGATGTAGCTACTTACGTATTTGAAGAAAGTTTAAATAAAAAGTGAAGATACTTGTTATAGAAATGAATCAAATTATGCGTTTCTGTTTTTGTTTGTTTTCTTTGTTTAAATGGTTTAAATTTGTTGGTCTTTGTTGCGCCTGCTTGCAACACCTGGCACTTTGGGATTGATTGCACTATACTTGCTTGTAATTGCATTTTTGTAGTTTGCAAACAAAAAACATGCAAGAAGTCTTGGATTCTTTGCCGATAAGCCAAAACTTATCGCAAAACTGCTGATAAAATTGGGGAAATTGGATATTTTATTATCTTTATTTGCGATACACGAAAACATGATACTTGAAATAGTTCACACGTACAGACATGCATAATGCATGCAGCTGTAAATTTACTAACAAAGTACAAAATGTTTAGTAAGACACAGCAGTTTACTGATGTCCACAATTCGAAAGATTTTTTGAATCGTATTATGATTTACACAGCTAAATATTTGTATAGATAATAGCCATCGAGCTAAAACATATGGAGCGCGCTACCTGCCCTAATAATTTTTTGAAGCCGTGATTTTACCGAGAAACTTTACCCCAGACACGTGTGTGTAGTCGTTGTTCACTCCGTGAGAGAATCTTGAAACAATACACACGCGTGTCTGGGGTAAAATCTCGCATGACTAATGTAAGATTTGGCTTCAATTATTTGCTTCAGGTAGCGTTCCATGTATTACAGTTCAGTGGTAATAAGATGGTTTCGAGTGCAACTGTACAATAGCATGATTTTGCACAAGTCTGCTGTAAACTCGTTCGCCAAAGAAAATCTACGAAAACTTACGCAAGCTTTTGTAATTAGTTTGTTTACAATAATTTAACCTTTCTCACTTGCTTTTGAAATGTTTTATTTTGTTGTATCTTAGATCACGTCTTTGTTTGACTAACGAATCTGGATGGCAATTTTCAAAAATAAATTACTCTGGTGTTTCAAATTTTTACACTGGCATTTACAAGAAAATGAAACTGCTCTTAACCAATCAGAATTAAGAAATTGTGTTCAAACATTCCAGGTGCACGAGCAATTATAAAGTATGTATTTCGTAAACATGCGATCTCACGAGAATTAAATGGTATTTATTGTGAATTTCGCTGTCTACAGACTATAAAAAGTTACATGGCCAAATACTTGTACAAAAAGTCACTAATAAAGTCAAATAAAGGGTGAACAAAAAGTAGGAATAAGCTCATTGTTCATGAAAAATGTTTCTCTGAATTTTATCAAAAAAATGCGCGTTAATGCAGTCTCAGCAGATTATAAAACTATATATTTCTAGATATCTTTATCATACAAAAAATGTGCTTTCCAACATTGAAAAAGAACAAAAACTTAAATAATGTGGTATTTAGATATAATTTTTATTTGCAATTCGAAATCATGAGATATGAAACAGTTCACTCTTTCAGCCATGCGTGATGCATGCAGCTGTCAGGTTACTAACAAAGTACAAAGTACGAAAAAAGACACAGCAGTTTGCTAATTTCTTCCATTCTCAATATCTTTATTATATTCAATCCTATTACGTATCAAATTTCTTTAATTTCTATAACGCGCCTTAATGCAGTTGCAGCGATTTATGAAACTTTATATTTCTAAAAAGTGTTTATCATATAAATGATGTGCATACTTTCATTGAAAATGAAGTAAAACCTTAATTATGAGAAATTTGAACATCATCTGTACACATGACATAAAACTTGCAATGTAAAAGCATGTGATATTAAGACAGAGCACACATACAATCATGTGTGTAACTGTAAGATCACTATAAAAAATTACGTTGTGTGATACAACAGAGTCATATGCATCACTCATATCCATGGAATTTGCGCATCACATGATCCAGTCTTCATAAATAACAGCAATCTTACAGTACCAGTTCAAAGCACCAGAGCTTCAAAGGAGGAATATTCTTGGAATAAAGAATACGAGGATATTTTCTACCATAGTCAGGTACACTTACAATTCTTACAAGGGAAACAAAAATAGGAAAGTGAAGTCAGATATTGCTACCTGAAAGTTCGAATGTAGGCAACATAAATATGACTTATCAAATTTGATAAAATATTGATTGTTAAACTTACGGACAGTAATTATTATTCTATTTACAACAACTTCATTTTCTAGAATTGATTTTACAGTGAAATGTGTCCGTTTGCATGCAGTGTATACACCTACTAACTAGGATATACATTAATTCATTTTGTTTTAGCGATGAAGACACTCTGCATTCTTTTGATTCTGATGGTTTGTTATAAATCTGGCAAAATGGAGCAAATGATAAATTCAATTTCGGAGATAAAACCAACTGAGGTTGGTGTTCTTGCTATATTTTGCCCAAATCTAGCTTATGTAAGAATAGTTCCGACTTCAGAGGATACTAATGTGTGTTTGGAAAGTTGATATTTTCAAATCTTTTATTTATTTGCTTTTTAATCATTAGATCAATGAGTGCAATTTATACAAAACAATCTCAAATTCACTTCTGTTATAGTTGTGAACAGGGTGTAAATGATTTAGTTACTTGCAAAAACATTGTTATATATTTATACAAAGACACAAACCAAACTTCACTAAAACATTATTTAAGTCTAACAGATATAAATTAAGACTAAAAAGCTGTACAATGCGTGTTTTAAACTAAATCCTTCAATCATTTTTAATTACTATGTTTTGTGTCATTCAATACTTGTTAGTACAGGTAATGGTTTCAAGTGCAATAGGCCTTAATATGAACATGAACAGGCCCTAAATCTCTTTTAGGGGAGGAGAGGACCATTTTGTGGATGGGTAAACCATCAGCGATTTCATTGCATAAATGGAGAATCGTGTTGTAGATTTATTCCAAGAACACCACAACGCTATTATTGCTGTCCTATTCGACCATCAGTATGCTGTAGTAACGGATTCTGTTGTCCAGTTGGTTCCATTTGCGTGGGCAATCATTTATGTTGGCATTATCCAAACATGACCAAAACCTACGTAAAATGAAAGCTTTTTCTCATCCATAGTACTTTTTATGATTAACTTTTTAAATAATTGTAAAATCTTGTGAGTTATGAGGAGTACATATGTATGAATACCAACATCTGATGGATAAAACTATTTCCGTGTTTGAAGAAAATTTGAATAAAAAGTAAAGATACTTGTTATAGAAATGAATCAAATTATGCGTTTCTGTTCTTTTTTGTTTTCTTTGTTTGAATGATTTGATTTCGTCGATCTTTGTTGCACCTGTTTGCAACACCTGGCACGTTAAGATTGATTGCACCGTACTTGCTTGCATTTGCATTTTTAGTTGTTTGCAAACTTTATCAGAAAGCATTTTTCATTTAACTCGGTGCGGGAGCTTTTGTTTACGTGTTCATTAAATTCGATAAATTCGTTGAAAAATACAGTCCCCATATAGTGATACTGAATCAGCATATGGAAAGCTAAGAGGAGTTTTAGAACATGGCCATCATCACATCATTTTAAAAAGTGTTGCTTGGAGCCAAAAGCTTTTTAACTCATCATTTCAATATTTTGTTAACAGTTCGACATTTTTCGCCCGTTGTAAAGCAAACTTGAATAGTGTATCACGCGCAACAATGTATCTGTCTATGAAGTTCTACTATTCTAAAGATCTTTGTCATATTTAATATTATACATACATTATTACGCGAATCCTACACAAAGTTCATCTAATTGCAACAATGTATCTGTCTATGAAGTTCTAATATTCTAAAGATCTTTGTCATATTTAATATTATACATACATTATTACGCGAAACCTAAACAATGTTCATCTAATCGCAACAATGTATCTGTCTATAAAGTTCTAATATTCTAAAGATCTTTGTCATATTTAAAATTATACATACATTATTACGCGAAACCTAAACAATGTTCATCTAATCGCAACAATGTATCTGTCTATAAAGTTCTAATAGTCTAAAGATCTTTGTCATATTTAATATTATACATACATTATTACGCGAATCCTACACAAAGTTCATCTAATTGCAACAATGTATCTGTCTATGAAGTTCTAATATTCTAAAGATCTTTGTCATATTTAATATTATACATACATTATTACGCGAATCCTACACAAAGTTCATCTAATTGCAACAATGTATCTGTCTATGAAGTTCTAATATTCTAAAGATCTTTGTCATATTTAATATTATACATACATTATTACGCGAAACCTAAACAATGTTCATCTAATCGCAACAATGTATCTGTCTATAAAGTTCTAATAGTCTAAAGATCTTTGTCATATTTAATATTATACATACATTATTACGCGAAACCTAAACAATGTTCATCTAATCGCAACAATGTATCTGTCTATAAAGTTCTAATATTCTAAAGATCTTTGTCATATTTAATATTATACATACATTATTACGCGAATCCTACACAAAGTTCATCTAATTGCAACAATGTATCTGTCTATGAAGTTCTAATATTCTAAAGATCTTTGTCATATTTAATATTATACATACATTATTACGCGAAACCTACACAATGTTCATCTAATCGCAAGTCTTGACTATCACTGGTGATGTCGTTTTATATTAGATTAACATCTTAGGGCGATAATCATGCAGTTTTTGATGAAAAGGATATTGAATTCATCGTTAAAATTTAAAATAAGTCTTAAGGTAATCAATATCTATATGACGTTAAAATAGTCATGTTACATGCAGTAAAGGTTAGTGGAAAAAGTTAGGAGTTACTGAGCAATTTGACTGAATAGTGAGCACAAAACACATTTCTCTCAAAAATTTATTTATTTGAAATTAATTTAATCTGACTATTATTCTGCTCTCAGACTTTTATTAAACCTCTTTCGGTTTGCAAAAATTCAACATGCATGCTAAGAATTTTCTCCACAATTGAACGATTTCACAGCGTGTGAGCACGTAAAGGTCTATGAGCTCAGTAAATGCTTTACATAGACATGCATGTGTACTTTCATAAATCATAGTAAATTATTTGTTATCTCACATGTAAAAGGTAATTTACCTGGGGATAAAGTTCGCCCATCTTCATCTGATAACGAAGAGTTATTTTACGAATAAAACGAAGATCATTGAGAGCTGCAAACCAAACAACATGCATGAAGTCTGAGATTCATTGCCGCCAAGCAAAGATTATTGCAAAGATTATTAACTGCGAATAAATTTGGGGAAATTGGATATTTTATTATCTTTACTTGCGATATACGAAAACATGATACTTGAAATAGTTCACACGTACAGACATGCATAATGCATGCAGCTGTCAAATTACTAACAAAGTACAAAATGTTTAGTAAGACACAGCAGTTTACTGATGTCCACAATTATAAAGGTTTTTATCATATTTAATCGTATTATGATTTACACAGCTAAATATTTGTATACATAATAGCCATCGAGCTAAAATGCATGGAGCGCTACATGCCTTAATAATTTTTTAAAGCTATGATTTTGCCCAAAACACGCGTGTGTATTGTTTCAAGATTCTCTCGCGGAGTGAACAATGATTGACTACACACACGAGTCTGGGGTGAAATACACCTATTATTGAAAATGAAGAAAATGTAAATAATGTGGTATTTAGATATAATTTTTATTTGCGATTTGAAATCATGACATATGAAACAGTTCACTCATACAGACATGCGTGATGCATGCAGCTGTCAGGTTACTAACATAAGAAAGATCAGACTAATAATTATAAATGCACAGTAGAAAGAAAAACATGTCATCATACTTCAGTAAAAATATACGTATCGAAGGCCAAGACATCTTGTTTATTCGGTCAAAAGATTTGTGAGAGTATATTTTGAACGATCATGAAATGGCCCAACGTGGGGCGAGTTGTATACGACGGTTTTCTAGAACAGCTTCATTCGAAAACCAAAGAAATGTCGAAGGGTAATATTGAACGACTTAGCGCCAAACGAGGCGGTTATCGTGGCGTGTGCACAAGGCTTGTAAAAGAAGCACTCGAGCTTCTGGATGCCACTGAAGTAGACATGGAAAGATGTAATGTCATCGCTGAACAACTCGAGAGTAAGATGAAGATCTTAGACGAAATAAACGACGAAATCATTGGGATATGCGATGTAACGGATAATGAACACAAATGGAAGAAGCAGCCGCCGTCTCGGATAGAATTCTAAGCACTACACGTAAAATCGAAGCAGCAAGAAAATCGGAGATTTGTCAAGAAACTATAAAAAGAAGGCAAAGTGCTACACCACAAGTCGAACAGATTCCTTTAGTGGTCGAAACAGCAAGAACGAGTAACACAACGATAAGCAACGATGAGAATAACACGAACACGAATGCGGTTAATACGAACACGATTGCGGTTAATACGAACACGAATGCGGTTAGTACGAACACGAATACGGTCTATACGAACACGAATGCTATTGATACGATTACGAATGAAGTGATTAATGCGAATTCTACCATTTTGAATGCCCCTACGAGAACAACACCAGCGATAATGATGCCAGAGCTTCCCAAATTGCCAAAATTCAGTAAAAGATCACCGAAGAAAACGCATTTTGGGACTTATACAATGCTACGATTCACAGCAACGAGAGTATGTCTAAGGTAAACAAATTCAATCATCTATTCTCATTAATTGAGGGTAGTGCAGCACGTTCGATAAAGGGACTTTCTCGAAGATAGATTCTGCAAGATAGATTTGGTCGAACCCAACAGGTATTGTCGCACATATGGATCAAATCCTTCAAATATCTGCATGTTCTGAAAATCGTACTGGGCAATTGAGATATATTTTCGATAAAATAAGTGTTCAGGTGCGACGACTTGATTCGCTTGGGGTATCTGCAAACCAGTACGGCAGTCTGCTAATACCAATAATTATGTCCAAACTACCGAGTGAAATAAGATTGCAGGTAGTACGAAAAGCTACTGGTGATGTTTGGCAAATTGGCAAGCTGCTCAAAACCATAAAGTTTGAAGTTGAGGCACGTGAAACGAGCGAGTCATCGCGTTTGATTGAAAAACCTCAGAAGAAAGATAAGCCCAACAAGCCATCGACAGCTGGAATATTTGTAGTGACAAAAAATGATAAAGACGGTGCCTGTAGCTTCAAGGTTAAATGCGTATACTGTCAAGGATCACATTATTCAGCATCTTGTGAAAAGGTAAAGGGAAGGGAAGCCCGAGTTAAAATTCTAAAGGACTCCAACCGTTGCTTTATTTGTCTGAAAGGGACACCAAGCAAGCAAGTATATTGTCACAAGAAAATGTCGACATTGTTCCGGGAGACATCACCAATCTATTTGCAGCAATCCTGCGACCAACAGTCAGGGTGTCCAAAATGAGAAAGCAATTGATAACGCCAATCCACAGAAAGTATTAGAAGGTGTAACCTCTCCAACCACAACAGCTGTCACACGAACTGTCAAGGGAAATGTTCTATTGTAGACGGCCAGAGCTCTCGTATAAAATGGATCAAAATCGGTTCCAGCACGAATTCTCTTTGACACTGGAAGCTAAAGGTCTTACATTCGAAGGTCACTTCAAGGCCGGTTAAGGTTAAATTCAATTGGTAAGGAGACATTTCAATTAAATACCTTTGGCCAAAGCAAGAGTAATGAGAAATCCGCGAAGTGTTCAAGGTAAGCTTTGCAAACAAGAGTGGAGGTGAGGCAGTAGAAATTAAGGCAATCGCATTTACAAACATATGTGCATCACTTCCTACAAGGATAAATATAGACGAATATCAACATCTCCATGGTTTAGAACTTGTAGACTTTGATTCTTTTGATGACAATTGTAGCTGTGATTCAATCGACATCTTGATAGGAGCTGATCATTATTGGGACGTAGTCTTAGGTGATGTCGTACGAGGAGAAAATGGTCCAACAGCGATGAGCCGCAAATTGGGATTCTTGTCTCCTTTTACGATAAGGCTCAAGATTGTGTTTCAAATCATGTGTTTGGATAGACTGGGATGGGACTGTGAACTGCATGGCAAGCTACGTGAACAGTGGAACGTTTTATTGTCAGAGTTATGGTTTCTAAATGATGTTCGTGTACCGAGGTGCTATTATCTACCCCAACCGAAATACTTTACTACACAAGTTCTTGGATTCAGTGATGCATCTGAAAGTGCAGTTGGTGCTGTTGTCTATGTAAGAACAGTC